GGAAGCCTGAGGGGGAGAGACCTCTGGGGAGACCTAGACGTAGATGGGAGGATAATCTCATACGGGATCTATGGGAGATAGGAGTTGAAGGAGACTGGATTTTGTTGGCCCAGGACAGGGTCCGGTGGAGGGCTTTGGTTAGTTCGGTGATGAACCTTCGGGTTCGGTAAGCCATCTAGTTAGTTAGTTAATCCTACCAGACTTAGGAGATGCGTTAATTCATAATATCAGCTGTTTCGTAATGTGACGACTGCTTTGAGTTACCGACATACTAGAAAATCAATGTCACTGGCTTTGTTTTTGGGGACTGCGTTGTTCAGAAGCTGGATTTTTGAACTAGGGTATTTAGTGTTCACGTTCCATCAAGGCAGATGCTGAAATGACGCTTCAAAACAGGTCTTAGACGTAGTTTTATTGACACACCACTTATAATGTAATGTCATTTCAATAGCTTACCGAATATTAGCATTCACTTAATATGCATATGCTGCTCATTAGCAGACAAAGACCCCCAGTGTCCAGAAAGAAATTCTAGTGGCACTCAATATTTATAACATGATAAGGCATTTCTGCAGCGTCATATTCACAAGCTGATAGCATATTTTTTATTAATAATCAGTCATCGCGCGCTGTAAAAAGCTAAGTCACGTGCAATTTCTCATTATGACTACTCTCAGAATTCATATTATTCTAGCCAGTCAATTTTATTATTACGATGTTGTTGTTCTGGGTTGTGACGCAATGTGGATTCGTAGGCAGATACCTCAAAGAAAACACTTTATCCTTAATACGATACTGTTTTCTCTAGTATAAAAATTCAGTTACTTATATTTTTTTATTTGAAAAGAAATTAAATTAATGTGAAGAAATGGTAAATTAACATAACTTGTTTGGATACGACATATTACAGAGCTCAATCAAAGAAAATTAATTATTCCTAGTACCTTGTACCGTGCCACGGTGGTCTAGCGGTTAGAACGCTGGCCTCGGGTTCGATTCCCGGCGGTGCCCGAATTTATAACTTGTGTTGGGCAAGGCCGTGGTCTAGGCAACACGGAGTTTTCCTCCGTGGCATCCCAACAATTACTCTATTCACACACAGAAGCAGGCAATGGCAAACCACTTCTGGATCATCTGCCAAGAACGTATATGAACAGGTCCCAGTCCGAGAAAAGGATGGAAGGATCCTGTTCATATGGACCTGTCCTCAGACAGAACACTACAAAAAAAAAGTCTTGTTTTACACTTACAAGTTATACCTGGTAGTTTTCATTCAAACAGGACCAAATATTTGTTTAGGTAGGTCTCACAGAAGAATTGCACACAGCAAAGCATTTTCTAACATGACAATTTTCTCGTGTTCCGTGAGTGACTTACTGAAGTTGCCAGTGAGCGCCCTGTCCTACTTATCTGACGCATTAGGAACGGGGCATTGACGTAGCCAACGTAGGTCATAATTTTTAATGAACTATGTTTCAACCTATCGCTGCTCGTCAGAATACATTATCTACCTTGGCAGTCTTCTAGAATAATTAGCAGTTGTTCAGACATTTTACATAAAACCCAATACTGTACTTTACTGGTACGTGCTCTAAAGCAGGAACCATAGAAAGCGAATAAAGAAGGAATTGTCCCGTGTAGAGAAGATGATTTTTATATCGGATATATACTCTGGGACGTACAGGCCTAATTTAAAATGAAAACTATCGGACATTTTAACATTCAACTATGACGTGGTTTAAAAGGTCATTGTTATAAGTACAAGGTACTTATTATTTTTATTTGTAGTGTTCTGTCTGACGACAGGTCCATATGAACAGGATCCTTCCATCCTTTTCTCGGACTGGGACCTGTTCATATACGTTCTTGGCAGATGATCCAGAAGTGGTTTGCCATTGCCTTCTTCTGTGTGTGAATGGGATGCCACGGAGAAACCGGGGAAGCCCCCGAAGGAAAACTCCGTGTTGCCTAGACCACGGCCTTGCCCAACACAAGTTATAAATTCGGGCACCGCCGGGAATCGAACCCGAGGCCAGCGTTCTAACCGCTAGACCACCGTGGCGGCTCAAAACAAGACAGCAGATTAAAATGACTAACCACTTCTGTTCCAGATGTATAAGATGTTGAGGTCCATTCATGCATGAAATGCAGCGTAGTTGTAGCAGCCAATACTCAAGTAGGCCGAACCGTTAAACCTTCTTAACGTTTTAAGGTTCAGAAGCCACCGAGGGAGATGAAGTAGGATTTCAGGTTACCGCGGAGGCGAGTATGAAGTCGATTGCCTTACGGAATATTGCGCCGTGTAGTTAGTCTTGTAGAATTTTACCGACGTTCCAGAGGTCACTCGTAGAATTTGACCGACGTTCCAGAGGTCGTTATGGTCTGCATCATAAAATTTCCCAGATGATGAAAGGAGCAAACACCTCTTAAATTGCACGGGACAATACAGCAGAGGGTGTCAACTTGGAAACAGATGGAACGTGTAAAGTGATATAGAAAGTACTGCTAACTGAATGTGTTAATATTCCGTGTTACATAGTTAATAACGTTTACAGAAAGTCCAATGTGACAGGGAAACACGATTTAAAAACTAAAGTAAAGTTAAAACTCGTAAAATTTCTATCAGAATTGTAATAGTTTCCTTGTCATTGCTGCTTCTGCATATATTAGCCTTGGGTTCAAAACCCAGTAAACTGAAACTCCGAACTACGGTCTGGCAGTCGTAGGATCGCGACGCTGATTCGCTTACCTTGCCAGAATTGCTTCGTCAAACAACTGACAAACACGTTTAGCAAGCATTCGTTGTTTAATGCATGTGTTGACAGGGATACAGAATGAACAGCACAAAGGACAAGATTACGTATTCGTTCACGGAAGTGTAAAATGATTACTTATGGAGATTCATGTTTCCTTGGTTCATTTTGCCTTTTCAATCACACTAATACCTACTGAGTGTTGATCATATAATGACCAATCATAAGAAAATCACATACATCGCTGTTCTTAATCATTTGTACTCCCACTGAGCATATTTATAAATACATCCTGTTAAATATTGGTTTTTACGTTCAATTTGTTAGATATATAAAAGTTTACTATTAACATTTCAACACTAATAGGCCGGTAGTACTCATCTACACTCATACTACGTTACACGGAGAATAATATCGACAGACATAACTCGATATCGATGTTGATCTTATCGGTTGTAACTTTCGCGTAGACTCGTAGGTAGATGACGTTTCGAAGGAACAACCCAGAACATCGATATCCTCACTGCAGTGAGAACCTCAAATCCATATATCATCAGAGTTCATCGCCGTGATGATGGAGGCAGCAAGGACCTTTGAAACGTTGACAAATACACGGCGTATAAAGACAGTAACAGTTTGAATCCAATGGCACCGAGTAGCAATGCATTTTACTTTCTGATCCAGAAACTTATTCTTGTGTTATTAAACACGAGACATCACTTGAAAGTAAAGTACACGAAGTGACGTAAACACACAAGAAACTTGTAAGTTATCTTGAGGTCATATTATCAGACTGTCTCGTGATAATGAAGTTATTATATTACATAACATTCGGGCACACACTCTAAATTACAAAACATGTTGATAACGTCATTCTTCTGGGCTGTTAAGCGTGAGTAGATATCAGCGCTTCGTAGAAACATTGCAATGTTGTGTGACCATTAATTAATTATGGTGACCTATTACTTTTCGGTTTAAAAGCTCTTTCGAAAGATTCTGACTGGGGTGTCGATAATGTTCAAATGAAGATAAGGTCTTTCCCGAGGTTCGTTTCGATTTTCATACAGATTATTAGCATTATGACGCAAAGACTTTGAAGCTGGCTGTCTTTTGGGGTGTTGTAACATGTAGTCAGGTAGAACTTTACCAACGATTATCGTCCCTATGAAACCTCAAATCCTACAGCCTTTGAAGTTTTCATCTGTGTTATTTGAGAAGCCTTTCTCTCACAACAGACTCATCGGTCCACACGACGTGATCCAGTGACCCATATCGAAACTCGCCTTCGGCAGTCAGCTCTAAACGTGGCTCTCACAGTGTCAGTGCTAAAGGAAAGTTGATGTAATTGTGTGCTCACACATCGCTTTAGCAGTGTTCGAAGTTCTGTTACTCTCTTCGGGGTTCACGAAAATGCATTTTAATGTTTCCACATCCGTCTGTCACATACATGTAATAACAAAGAATATGGCTGTCTTCTGGGATGTTGCGAAGTATAGTCTGGTAGAAACTGACAGAAATTTCAGGTAGTAAGCACCTCGTCTTCACAAGAATTCAATTCATGGTCACTTACATACACTGGTAAGGAACGTGCCACTACAAAGAGCCTTTCTTGCTACTGTGCAGGAAGGCATCGACCTGAAGGCCGCTTTCTTTTTTGTCTCCGACACTCTGAAAGTAACAGCATGATTCAAGATCAAGGTTGTTTAAAAATTGACGTCATCTGATTTGTAGGGCCGTGTCTGGTAGAAGTTAACCAACGTCTCAGAGGTCCTTGCTGCCTCCAACATCGTCGTACACGGAGCTACAACCCAGAAGATATCCTCTCCGACCTATCATTTAATGTTCTTGCAATATGGACGATATGGAAATTATTCCAAAGCATTAAAAACATGTTATTTCACTGATATGGACATAACATTAATTCTAGTAAGAAACTATTATACCTACAATTCTTCAAATGCATCTCATCTAGAAACAATTATACAAATTCATAATACATTCTGTCTATAATTTCTACTATTACATATTCTGAATCCACCTAACCTAACTTAACCTAACCAAAATCTCAACCAGTTTTAAAAAACATGGGTGATAAAGTGAACATTAATGTGGTTTGAGAAAGCATTAAATAAAATATAAAAAAAACTTCATGACCGAAGTCAACAACGAGTGAAACTTTACTTTCACATATCCTATAAGCCTTCAAGACAACTTCACGTTTACCTTAATACATATTTCAGCAAAGTAAATCTGTCCCACTACATGCCATGGAGGTGCATGAGGGGCATTCATTCTTCACCTCTGCAGTAAAACCGAGCTGAATGGTCGGTGTTACACCCTGGCAATGCTTTACCCACTGAATACGAGTCTGAATATGCCCAAGAGACTAGAAGGAGAATCCTTTGCCCCTGCCAAGGATCAAACCCATTGACAAGCCCACAGTCAGACATGACGCTGACTGAGATACCCTAGCTCTTCATGTGTCACTGGAATTCTACAGCTGTAAGACCTGTGTTAGCTAATGCATGAGTTACGTGTTCTGTAGATGTAAAAGTATTGATCGACTGTTTTCATTTCAGTGGTGACTGGAGCTACTGATGGTGTTGGCAAGGCTTATGCTAAAGCTGTATGTATTCTATCTTTATTTGTCTGTATACAGTAAAAATTCTTATGTCCTCTAAACTTGTTTTTAAGAAAAAATGGTACACACAACAGAAATCATTGTATTCACATACTGGAGGGACCAATTAATTAAGAATTATATAACTGACTTATGCACAGTCATTATTCATGATGGTCACCACAATAATACATAACAGATGAAACTAACATGCCACAGTAAGGTGTAACATATGAAAGCAAAGTTGTCATTATGGTAGGAAAGGCTTTTATTATGCATCCTACACCTCACATGAGTTGGGGAATTTTATTGCTGTACAGAGAAAAGCTGCCAGCCGTAGTGGCCACACTGTCTGAGATTTGGGCTTTGATCGTATGAACACTGGGATTATGGGTATGAATCCTGCTTAAGGCATGTATGTATGTCCATGTCTTTCTGTGCTGTGCTGTCCTGTCCTGTGTAGGCACAGAGGCCTTGCAAAGGGCTGATTACTCATCCAACGTGTCCTACCAAATGTCTATGTAGCTTAAGAAACCCTGCATTTGTGACACAGCCAAGGACCTTGAAGAACTGCAGAGCCATTCAGTTAAGTAAGAAGGATAGATCATACCTGCACAACACACATCATCCCAGCCATTAATTTGGTCACAGATTTTAAACTGCCCTATTTTATTAAACCACATCAATTAAAAATTACTTTTTTTCTTCTTCACAATATTTGGAATTGATTGCGCTTCTTCATAATGATGCGCAGATGTTTCTGTTCATTGTCAATCATATTACATTCCTGGGGTCCCACAGGCTTCACACGATTCTTATTTTAAATGTGGGTAATTTTATGTTTTGAAACATTACCCCAGCATTAAAACAGGAGGAAGTGAAAAATCTGTAAACTTCCTTGTTTCCAGATATCAGGTCCTGGCCAGTAAAAAGTAAAGTTTGTCCCACTCTACGCCATGTAGGCGTTTGGGGTGAGAGGAGGTATAGCTCCTCCCTTCCTTGACCTCGGCACTAGATGGGGGTGAGTGGTCAGCATCACGCCCCGGCCGGCTTTACCCCCGGGAAAGGACCCCGGTACCCATTTTAGAGGAGGCTGGGTGGGCCCCAGAGCCGGTCTGGACGCAGAGGCTAGAGGAAAAATCCTCTGCCCCCGTCGGGGATCGAACCCCGGTCGTCCAGCCCGTAGCTAGTCACTATACTGACTGAGCTATCCCGGCTCATAGGTCCTGGCCAGTATCCAATTATAAAATCGTAGTAGAAATGATAACGATTTATATCAAACACATCTCTTGCTGTAACCATTATGTGATTTTTCCTTTTATAATGCATTTAATGAAGGCTCATTATAACACATTTGTTCATTTTATCACACGTACTTTGGCCAGCTCTACAAACAGCAATGACATTGAATACTGCATATCTGTCTCTTTATCATGTTGTGTTTCATCCACTTTTCTTTTTGTAATGTTTCCAATTACTGTGTTAAAATTAGTGCAATATGCACTTACACATCTAGCTACATGTCCCAACTGTCTTTGATGAAATAAAATGGTCAGTCATTCCACCACAATATAATTTGCTTAACTGTTTAATACAGAGACAAACTTATTAACATGCACCTTCAAAGTCATCTTTATATCTGCATCTGAATTTGAATTATACATCAATGGATATAGGAAATGAAAATCTAAAACATAATGATAGTGTTCCTGTCAGTGAAATGTTCCATTCCATTATGAACAGTATTTATATTCATTCTGTTTATCTTTGTTTCAGCTGGCTAAACTGGGGATTGACATCATTCTGATAAGCCGGACAAAGACAAAGCTAGAAGCTGTTGCCGCTGAAATTGGTATGAACAGAAAAAAACATGGATATTTTATCTTTGTTATTACCAAGTATTTATCACTACTCATTCTGAGTCCCACAGAAGGAATGTGGAATGTTCTGAACTTTGATCTGTAGAAGTCTGAGACTTTAACAGCTAAAAAGTAATGGTTTGGTTAACAACTGTTCCATTTGCTTTGACTCCATCCGATCCAGTTCTGTTCAAGTATGTGGTAGAAATATTCACTGTGCAGTATATTTAAAATACTCCCTAAAAATATAAAATCAGTATTGGTTGACCTCAGCACTAGATGAGGGTGAGTGGTCAGCATCACGCCACGGCCGCAATTTACACCCGGGAAAGGACCCCGAAGTCCACTGGATAGGAGGCTGGGTGGGCCCCAGAGCCGGTGTGGTCACAGAGACTAGAGGAAAAATCCTCTGCCCCTGTTGGGGATCAAACCCCAGTTGTCCAGCTCGTAGCTAGCCACTATATTGACTGAGCTATCCCAGCTTACAATAATCATGTATGGCCACTAAAAAATGTGAATGTGCATTACGTCATGGAACTTTATAACAACACATATTGATTCTTATTACTTTGTTCGCAGAGTCTCAATACCATGTCAATACCAAAATCATTGAGGCAGACTTCTCTAATGACTCGCATGATGCGTACCATACTATAGAAAAGGAACTCTTTGGAATGGAAATTGGCATCCTGATAAATAATGTTGGCATGAGCTACCCTTACCCTGAATACTTCCTGGAACTTCCAGATCGAGATAAAGTGTATCCACAGATAATTAAGTGTAACATCTCTTCTGTGACCAACATGACAATGATGATTTTGCCTCAGATGGTTGAACGTAAAAAGGGTGTTGTGGTGAATGTTTCATCAACTGCGGCTATTATTCCAAGCCCAATGTTGACAATTTATGGGGCATCTAAGGTGAGTTGTTATGTTGGTAATATGCACAATGTGTGAGAACTCAGCTACAGAACGTGAGGGAACAAATGCTGATTATTTTTTAATAGGGGGTAGAAAATTTTGGAAACGTTTTGGAGGGAAAACTCAAATTTCAACACACACATAAACAAGAAAATGAAGGAAATATGAAGACAACAATCCATTAGATAGTGTCCCTTACAGATCTTAGAACTATTTGACATGCTACATGACTTTTTTCTTTTTGAAGTTCTGTAATGAATTACATTTGAGTGATCAGACAGCTGGAGTTAACTGAATGAGGAAACTCTTTTACCATCATTTGCTTTCCCCTCCCAATTTAAATTCAAAATTCCTGGGAAACTTTACAACTACCTTACCAATGCATGCAACAAAAGGATAAAATAACATATTCTTTTTGTAAAAGTGACCAGCTCCTGTGCACCTTCTTCTGATAGGCTTACAGAAGCCTATAGGGTAAAATCCCTTACCACAAATTAAAACACAGTATAAAGTATGTACTATTAAAAATAAGAAATCCAAATATTCTTTAAGTCTTTTCTTAGGGCAAGAGAAACACCAAGTGTAGTTCTTCATGCTCCTGTAATGACATTTCTTTGTTACATTTTACAGGCTTTTATTGAGAAGTTCTCAAAGGATCTCGCATGTGAATATGGAAAACGCGGAATTGTCATCCAGTGTATTTTGCCAGGATATGTTGCTACAAAAATGAGCAAGATCAAACGTTCCACATGGATGGCACCAACACCAGACGTCTTTGTTGAGCATGCTCTTCGCTCGACCGGAATTCAACAGCAAACCACCGGATATTTCCCACACACTCTAATGGTAAAAAGTGCAGTGAAACCCCAAACATCTACTCATTAATGAAAACTCTTGGAAATGCGAATAAGATCTTGCAAAGACCACCTAACCTTTAGTCACCATGAAATTCCAGACCAGACAAACCACTTAGTGGCTTTCATAGCATATACCATTACCCAGTCCTTCTGATTTGCTTTCAGAAGTAAATTACATTCCAAGGCATCAATTGCTATTGCAGGTATTTAAAAATATCATTGTATCTTTCATGGATGTTATACACTTCATATGCATAAGCACTACAAGTCAGTAGACATTTTCCCAAGCCTATTATGTCAAATTTTAATTATTAACTTAAACCTGCATTCCTCATACTTCATAACTTGTATACATGTAAAAAATATTGTAATATATATGGTTTATATTCCAGGTTGGTGCAATAAACTTCATGGGCTGCATTTCACCATCATTTGCTCAATGGGTAATTGTGCGCACTATGGAAACCATCCGAGGCAGAGCATTAAATCGGTGTCAACGATAGTGTGACATTAACTTCACATTTCTGTCAGACATTCATTACAGATGGTTCAGTTTTCTTGTTTACATGCATTTATTTTTATAATTACATATCGTAATTTATCTAAATAAAGTTTTACATCTGACACTAATTCTAGAAACATGAATTTTATAGGCAGACAGGATTTACCTTAATGTAGGCATGAATTTAAGGAACTCACTTTGAATATTAGTTTTGAATCTCTTAAAGTTCTATAACAAGGGAGAATTTATTTCACTAATGCAATTGCATGTCACAATCTTACACTGAGGGAGTGATTACGTTTAAGAACATAAAGTTGTGCATGTGCATGAAGTTGATTTTCTTTTTAAACAATAAAAGAAAGAGTAGATTTTAAGTTTGTCTCATTAAGGGAATTCAAATTTTTAAAATAATAAGTAAGACAATGAGGTACAAGTTCTTTAAGTAGCCAGAATTTATTTCATTTTAGTCCAATAATTTAAATGCAAGCCACGGTCTTGTTATGAGCAGGGATATTAATTACATGAATGTTAGATTTTATAATTGACTACTTGGTATTTTAGGCACCACATTTTTAAGTCAGCCTTGTTAAGGACATTTTAATATCAAAACATTAAGTTACATAATAAGAATGAGTTTATTTTTTGTTAATTCTGAACAGGATTGCAAAGAATAGTCTACTTGTTTTCATTTTTATTCAAATCATTAGTTATTGTTATTCTGTATGTCAATATAACTTTAAATTTTTTTTCAAATTTTGTGGAAGAAAACAAATTTGATTGGTTCTAAAGGGTTCTGACAATTGTGGATTACAATCTGGATTACTGAGGTTTTGGACTTGTCCATCATCTGGTATTATAAAAACAATATTTCCAGTGAATGAGGTTAGCTGTTCCTAATTGACCCAATGGAGAAGGTGTCCCCTTCCTTGCACCTGAAGAAACATTGTGTGTTTTTTAGAATACAAGATGATGGACAAAGTCTAAGTGTTCAGTAATCCAGATAACAAATTTGACGTTAATGAAACCTTAAAGTTAAGTGTCATATTTAATGTTAAATTTGTAACATCTTCACTCAAACTAAAATATGTGATAAATTTTTTGTGATGTCTTGCATAAACCAAATATTTCTTCCCTTTTTCTGTTTGTTTACTGATGGGAATTATTTGTTCTTTTAAATTATTTTAAATAAAATGTTTTTTGTTACATACATTATAATTTGGCAAAGCACTCCCATATCTGATATTAGTATGTCCTGCAACTGATATATTTTACTGACTGATACTCACTTCAGATAAAATGTCAGCTGTGTTATAACCTATCCCAGTTGAAGTTTACTGTTGTTTTGCTCAGTCCATCTAAATATCCTTTCCATTCATAATCACTCTCTCATTATCCTTAGGTTATCGTGGCTGGAGTTCAGTGTATAAGTTTAGTTTCCACATGTGAGCTGTGTTGAATTCTGATAATCAGGATGTGGAGTTGGTACTAAAATCTCCCTCCTTCATAAAAGCTCAATATACAATTAATAAGGATAAACCTACTAAAATGTTAAGTTGCACCATAAGAGATTTCATCACCACCATGTGAATCATCAGCCTACTTTTAGACTTATAACCTATATTTAAATATAAGTCTAATGGTTGTTGCAGATATCAGTTGATTTGTAGACAGTTTGCATTCTTAAGGTACCAGAGCCAAAGTTACAAAGCATTATTCCCACACCATGTGGCTCTACGCGTCGTTGAATCTCCCTAAGCGTGAGGCCACCAGCGGCTCACGCGGTATAGAAATTGTTCTTAAGATTTTATATCGAGGTCGAAGTCGGTAAAAATGTACCGACTCTGACTCTACAGCCCTGCTGAGAATAACCAGTGTTTTCATAAACATCGCAGTTGCCATCTCTCAGCACTTCTATAAAATCCTTGGATTTCACACATCATCATCAGACTACGTATTCCAAAATATAATTTATGGTGTAAATTTCCAATCAAGTTCACAAAATAAACAGAACGATTTAGCAAAGTTCCTATAATTCAAACATTGAAATTTCAGAGACCGATGACAAGTTCTGTTTAATATCAAGTTAGCAACTGTTATTGGCATTATTAAATCTTGATCTTTCATTCAATGCTTCATAACCTATGCATCTAAAACATCATTATAACAACACAAGAACCAATCACGAAGGAATAATAACATAAATAATAACAATAAAGTGCCAAGGTCAAGAATAAGTAGGAGCTATACCTCCTCTCCCTCCAAGCACCTACATGGTGTATAGTGGGAAAGCTTTAATAATTAAAAGCAAATGCATCGTCCTCTATATGCCTATTGCACTTAGACTTGCCATTTAAAAGAAATTAGCATTTTATTTGCACCAAAGGCAATGCTTATCCTTTATCAGCAATTATATGGTCAGCGGCCTGCGCATGCAGCAGCATACCACTAAACACTGGAGTTAAAAGTCTGTCTGGCAGCTCTGTAATACAGTATTTTAAATCCCTACAACCTTGTGACAAAGATTAAGCAATGCATCAGTCTTCCTTATATGCACAAAAGTAATGTTTTTTATTAAAAGGCAAGGAATACATATAACAATCATTTAAAGAATAATAATAGCCCTACTGAATTAATTTGAAATAAATATAATTATGAATCAATAGAAGTAAAATATGTGTACACCCTTGTGTGTTGTATACCTTGCCCTTGACTCATATTTGAATAAATTAGATGAAGGGATCTAGACATTGGAAACTGTAAATTTATATATTACACAAAGAATAAGAAATATTTGCCAAGATTAGATGACAATAAGAATAATGTTTTACTAAACTATCTACTTGTCAAAATCCACCAGTGTAATAGTGTATGGCCCAAGACTGACAACAATATAAGTGTCCTGGAAATACTCAGATTCTGGTTGTCCTACCTTATGTTTCCTGAATTACGTCTCAGAGCGCCCAGTATGACACAAATTTAAAATTCAGTCACTTTCCCACTAATTTAATACACATCAGTGTTTGTCTTCGACATTTACAACCAACATTACTTACCACGGAACTACTTTAAAATGAAATATCTTCAGTGCGCATGAACATAATCGGCCCAAACTTCCCGCTATTATTCTTACGCAGCGGCTTTTATAAGAAACTTTTATCAATAGATGAAGGTGCTGTACATTAATCACACATGCTATTTCAGTGGTGACGTTTGGTATAAGCTGTGACGTTGGTACTAATATGAGTACCAACCATCAAGGCGGTAACTCAATGCTATTGGATTGTCATCTAGCGTCAGTGCAGTAAAACTACTACAAAGGAACGAGTGGAATTGGCCACTGATAAATGCTCAGTCGGTAACAACGTTGCCTATAATCCAAGCCCGCAAACCAATGCCATAAGACATTACCGTTTGCTCAAATACGAATGCCAAAGAGAAGATCCTATTAATGGCACTTGGAAAGTCAAAACAAACAATAGTAGTCAAAGTGCAACCCAAAGGCCAGCCAACTTCAAACTTGCTGCCAATCCAGAAGACAGCCATCATCATATTTTCCACCATGAGAACCTCAAATCCTTCTTTCCTGTGTAGTTCACAAACTTTAACACCTCTATATTGAAAAATGGTGAGGTAGATGAAGCAGCAATATAGAAGCCAATTACAACTTGCAGCAAATCAGTGCTATGTCTACTGCAAACACCTACTGCCTCTTCCTTAATGTTACCAGTAACATGCCAGCATCAATTATAAGAAAAATTTGGGGTTTGGAAAATTGTACTTCATATCTGCTTGAATGAAAAGACAAGCAACATCAGATATGTTCAAGAAAGAATAAAACTTTAGAACAGACTTTTGATTTTCACAAAAACAGTAGGAACATGTAACGCGTTAATGAAAGCTTGTGAATTTAGTAAATGTCTTCATATTATAAAACTGTATTGTGTGGAGTTATATAGAGACTTTGTAACAGCTAAGGTAAGTTTGAATTCATCAAAATGTGAAGAACATAAATTTACCGGGGCATGATGCAGACCACTCACAGTCATCTAGTGCCAAGGTCAAGAAAAAGTAGGTGCTACACCTCCTTTCCCTGGCGAGAGGGTGCCAATGCTGTCTAGCAGGACAAATTTATTTCATTCTTTCCAATAAACATTTCACATTTGAATAGCAGGTATCCACACACACACACACAATAAAATCATTATTGTTTATACAATTTGTTTTACACAGAGGATAAAATTATTTTGTAAACATTTGAAAGTTTGCCCTTTTAAAATATTCTCTGCTTTAGAATTTTACATTGCTTATCCCATAGAAAACTTCTTAAGAGGGACCTACTGTATCTATATACAGCCAACAAACAAACAAGAGATCATTTACAGTAACAGAATGTTTGCAATTGCTGATGGAAGTAACTGAAAAACTAGTGATGACCCCTCCATCACTTCTTCTGACGAGGAGCACTGTCTAGTCCTCGAATATAATGCTTGGGAATTTGGTATTTACCTAAGAACAAACCAGAAAATAAACTCAGTACTTGAAGTTGTTAAAATGTCCTTGGTATATTATAAAATTTAAGATACTTATTTCCATCAAAACATGAACAGTTATTTTACAGATATAATACGCCATCACCAGTGTTGCAGCACACTACATAAGAAGAAGTTTCACCATTGCCAATACAATAAATCACATCATGAAATTTTGTATTATGTCAGTAAAGTAGATAAAACTGACAACTGATTTATCAAAAACATTCAAATATATACACTATTAGTCCACTTGTCTGTACAGATGTTCAAAATGAATGTGCAACAAGTATACCCACTTTACGCAGTTGTGCTATATGTATTAACCCTTAAAGTCTATTGATAATTAAAACCTCAAGTTTTACACGATGACAACACTTTTATCAGTATTAACAGATATAAATAAGTAAAACACTCAAGACAGATTTAAAGTAAAGTCTTAATTTAAAAAAAAGTGTGGAATCCACACATTCCTACCAGGAGGACTATGAAGAGAGCCATATATTGAAATTTTTATCAAACAATGTATATAACTCTCTCTTTTGCTGGTGAAGTGCGTATCAATTTAACACTTCATTTCAGGTACTGGAAATAAATTAAGACTTTTAACATACCCATTAACAGATTCCCGACAAACAACACTTGATTTCCCTGTACCAAAAGCTGCTGGCTCTTCTTGCCTTGGACAGTGCTGATACTTGTGCTAGCTGCCACACCATGCTGGCATTCCCTCGCAAATTCCTGAATGTTGATGCCATAAAGTTCCAGATTGTTAATTAATGTCACCTGCAACGTCCACACAAACGTAAGAAGAAAAATTCAGTTCCTTTATCCGAGTGTTTGCCAACAGGAGAAATCCTGAGAGGCAAACAATAATTAATACACAATAAACAGTAACCGGTAAAAATAAAAATAAACTTAATACATATAATCAAACAAAACACTCTCTTGTATCAAGAAAGTGTCCTCAAAGGAGGCACTGTTTTTGCTGGAAATGTCAAAAACTCTGCATAAGCAATTTGCAGTAATGAGACACTTAGCTGAAGGATTGTGTCTTATTGTACTGAACATGGTGAAAGTAGAAAATCGTCTTATTTGCCCTTGAAAATATTAATAAATAAATAATGCAAAGAGATGTCATCTGAAATAAAACGTTCTAAAATTTAATTTAATTTAATACCACCTAATTTTAAGACAAGACAACAATATAACTGAATTTCAAACTAAACCAAAAATGCATAGAAGTGCAACACATAAACATACCAGTCCCATTTTAAGGTACAAAGTACAACTCAATGAAATGAAGTTTAGGCAGGCATAAAATAAATAATAAGACATAACTTAGCGTTTCAAACTTTAGAATTTTGCTCTATACTTGGAATATCAGGAGAATCTCTCTTTCCCACTCTGTACATTTAAATCATTTCTGTTTTACACTGGTTGACATAAGCTATATCAGTGTTTACCTTCTTATTTCCTGTTCTCCTTCCAACTTGGATATCAATTGGGTCCAATTTCCCCTTCTGAGCAACAGTTTTATGATCAGAAAAAGTCATCTGATAGGAATGACTCATTCGCCCTATGATCAATCCCATCAGATCTTCCCATGAAACAGCTACTGTATTTGGATTTTGGACAGCCGCCTGAAGCACTGCATCGACTCTCACCAAGCTTTTTATAATAATAATAAAAAAAACTGTTTTGAATTAACTCTCCTTTCTTGGCCACCTATAAGTTAATAAACCATGATCTGACAAAGAGTACTCAAAATTAATTTATAGCCTAATTCTTTGATTGATAAATGATGATGAAGATGATGATGATAATGATGATAAGTAATTATACCAGACAGACATGGATGGACTCGCAAAGTGCTATTCACTTTAGCTAAAGGGCAACAAACACCCAAAAACCAAGGAATGAATGAGATGGCTCAGAAGTCTAAGGATATTGTTCAGGTGACAATGTGTGATTCTGTTCCATAATACCACTTTCAGTTAGAAGTGTTAAAGTAAAGTAAAGTTTGTCCCGTTATGTGCCATGTAGGCGCTTGGGGGGAGAGGAGGTATAGCTCCTCTCTTCCTTGACCTCGGCACTAGATGGGGGTGAGTGGTCAGCAAGTAATTAGCATCACTAAATAATCTAAAAAACAAAATAAACATAGCAAACCCAGACAAAGCCAGGCATTATATTTGGTAACTTTATAGTATTTTCAAGGCTCCATTTTCAAACATGTATTTAGTGATATGTGACTGAATATGGTGTTGAAATGTCAATCTTAAATTGTGCAGGAAGTAGATCATTATCTGAACATTGTACCTGAATTCCATGCAAAATGACCACACGAATAAGCATGCTGTTCCAAATGTGTATTACAAAAATATATACAAGTTTGAATTTTGTTCTGAATGAACATATACACAGCCGATGACTATCTTTTGGGAGTTTGCACATGTATCATGCATCATATGTACATAAAATATGATAGCACTCACTTTCTGTTCATAGGATCTTGCAACTTTTCTTTCTTAACATAATCTGTAACATGTTTACGAACATCTGCCACTGGCAAGCTGCCTCCTTTCCTGTAACAAAAACAAGAAACTACAATATATATTAATTAATATAAGCATATACTCATCTCAGAATTAAAATTTACCTAAGTTCCCTCTCATTTGGGTATGGCTTTCTCTTTCATCTGCAGGTTTATTATACTACTATTCTGTACATAAAATAAAGCCCTCCCACTACACACCATGTAGGTCATTTGGAGGGGGTGGAGGTATAGCTCCTACTCATTCTTCACTTCGACACTAGATGGGGGTGAGTGGTCAGCATCATGCCCCGGCCGTGCTTTACCCCCAGGAAAAGGTCTGGTACCCATTGAATAGGAGGCTGGGTGGGCCCCAGAGCCAATGGGAAAGAAGATGGACGTCTTCTGGGTTCTTGTGCCGTGTAGTCTGGTAGAAGTTTACCAATGTTTCAGAGGTCCTTGCTGCCTCCATCATCAGGAAGAGGAAAGAGGTAAGGGAAAGTAGCCAAGTCTGCAATTTAACCCTAATTATTTTTCTTAAGACTATATAAGTCTTCAGCTTTGACAAGTCTACCTTCAATTTGAAAGGATTCCTTATTTTTGCTACTGGTATAAAGTAAACATTGAGAAATATATACACTAACTTTTTATCATCTTGTTTCAATCAGAACTGGTATTCAATATTACACAGAGGTTCATTACTTAAAACCCTTCAATAAAATATACAGGTTTGTACATACCTGAGTCCAAATTTGGAAAAGAGTGGTAGAACTGCAGCAGTTACAGTATATAACTCAACAATTGCAGGTTTCACAGTCTTGGCAGATGCTTCAGTCATCTTTCCAGCATCATCAAATGATTCTTCTATGTCTACAAATTCCTTATACATCGGATGATTTCTGTTGACCATCATTATACTTTCAACACCTTTTGTTAGTTCTGTCACTTTTATTAAATCTAAGTTCTCCATAGCACTCAGAAATTTTGATAACTTTTTGTGACTTGACCTTTTCAAGTCTAGCTGCTTTCCTGAAGGACAAGCTGGTAGCATATGTAACTTGTAAAAATTACTCGTCAACAATGGAAATCCTATCTTCTTAGCAGAAGTTTTCCAAGCTTTCAAGAAACAGTATTCTAACAATTTGTCCATAACTTCCTGAGGATTTACACCCAACTCAGGAACTACTTCTATACCAGTGTGTTCTTGAAGAATTCCATTAGAGTCAAAGACCTTTCCCATATCAAGATCTTCTGAATTATCTGCAGAAACAACATCCAAAATCAGGTCTGTAGCATTCTCACGTAAATTTTCAACTGCATTTTTCTCCAAGTCACCTGGCAGACTTGCAGTTTGCGCATCACTTTTATTCACTAATTCACTTTCTGCCTTGATTGTGTGTTCAGTATTTGCAGGATTACTATCTTCCACTGACAATGAAGAAATATCTACCTCGACCTCATAACCAGGGGGAGGTCCTAATTCTGGTATTGTAAGTTTAGTACCATATGACCACAGTTCATCTCCAACAAAGTGTAAAATTTTCACTGCTTTGCCACGCTGTGCAGCCATATACATGTCAAAACTTGACAATGCTGTTACCCCAACAGCAACTGGAGCCTTATTTGTTGTCATATTTATCGCAACTGCCTCCCCTTTCTGCAAGTTACCATAGGCTTTGACATGTAACTGTCTTTTCAAAACTATTCCTGGTAGCATGAGGTCTGCACCTCCAGCAAGTCTGTTGAAAACTTGAGGCCATGTGGTGAAAGATGGCAAGATACTGGGAAAGGACCACAACATGCATACTGTTGGGTACATCTTCTGTTCCAATTCAAAAATCAGAGGCAATTTCTGAACACAGTACACCACACTCAAATCACCCCCGTGTGTAATTATTTTTACTGCACTCATCACTTCCTTAGGAGGGAATAATGCTTGTAAGTCATTCTCAGAAATTTGAGGAAACTGTTTCATTACCTCTTGTCTAATACGCCTCCTGGGGAAAAAGAAAATTGCATATACATGTCGTTCCTTTTGCATTTGGGTTTGGATAATGGTTTTGTCCCCCCCCCCACCCCCCAATTAAGCTAACAACAAAGTAAATAAATACAGAACATTTTTCAGATTTAATTTAGAGTATTAATGCTTATAATATGGTGCATATATCAGCAAATGTCTAACTTCAGTTTCACTCTAATGACAGCAAAAATTATTTTAAAATATCAAAGAATATGTTTTCATCTTCCTGGATCTATTAAAATATATGAAGATAAAAACTGTACTGCTGCACAGACAGCCCTTACAAATGTCACTTCACCTATAACAAATCCATACGTATTGAATATAAGGTAGTTATAATATGAGCCTCATGTACATGTGCAATGTATAGAGCTCTTGTGTAGTATAAGAACACATACATGGTCAACATGTTTATGATTAATTATCTATTTTGTTACTAAGGTTACATACTTGTACAGTATTAAGATCTATTGTGATGTACCTTGCTCTTGGGATGCTGTTGCTGGCATATTTATTTCAGGCATTTTTAAATGTAATGTATAACACATTAACTTGTTCCACACTGAGCAACAGAATCTATGGAATGCATAAATCTATCCAGCCATCCACTCAGCTACCTCAATGAATTTCATAGATGCTACGTACACATCTAGCTAAACTATCTTATTAAAAAAATGGGATACTGCAAAAGTATGAAGCCTTTATAAAATACAACATTATGAAATATAAATACTGAAAAAAAGACAACACTGCTACTTGAAACCCTACATACCGTGCAGTGTATTTATATATAAAATCATGCATTGGAACAAAACTGGCACTAAGTGTCTTTTCAAGTGTAAACAGTTTTGTTTGAATGCATGATTTTATATAACACTGCTACTTGTTTTTCCAATATGGATTTCAATTACAGATGAATTTAAATTGTTAATATAACTCTGGATTTTATGAAAATCTGTGTCAAGTGTTCCTGGGTTTCTGCAAACAATGCAACTGTCATTCATCCTGAAGATGACAAATGCAATGTATGCCGAAATGTTGTAACGCCTCCAGCACTTGTCACCGCTCATCGCCGAAAAACGAAGTTGTACAATGCGAGCTCATTTTTGGTTCTTCTCAAATCATTTTCATTTTCAAAACTGTACCTAATGTACAAAATGTGATCTATTTACGAGGGCAGTGGGTGGTAAGTAATGTTCATACCTGCAATAAAATACGAACACGACATACGATATCAATGGAGAAACGTTTTAAATCTCCCGGACAATTAAATCAATATTCGCAGGCAACGTTACATTAGAGCAAACAGTATGGCTGTCCTAGCTCGGCACCCACTTGCTTGGGGGATCAAATCCAAGACAATATTTAGTACTATTGCAACAAGACATTATAACAAAAGATCACACGTAACGTATACATGTGTTGATTATCAAAATTAATTATACTGATTCTGGCTACGAATGTTTACGCTGAAATTTGTAACAAAAATTATACCAACCTTTCTGATCCTTTTAACTGTGTGTTAGTCTTTATACGAAACGGCTTGTGGAACATCTTGCATTCGTCAAATTACTGGTAAGTAAAATGGAGATAAATATGTGGAAAATCTTACGAAACAAAAACCATTCTTGTCACATTAGCATGCCTTATTTCAAAACTTGGATCATTAATACACGATGGCGGCAGCCGTCGCCAGCACAGAAAGTAACAAATCAAATGAAGACCTAGATACGTGACTTGTTCGGTTACAACTTCGAGAAAATAAAATCGATTGTTTGAATTGACAACAAAGTAAATAAATACAGAACATTTTTCAGATTTAATTTAGAGTATTAATGCTTATAATATGGTGCATATATCAGCAAATGTCTAACTTCAGTTTCACTCTAATGACAGCAAAAATTATTTTAAAATATCAAAGAATATGTTTTCATCTTCCTGGATCTATTAAAATATATGAAGATAAAAACTGTACTGCTGCACAGACAGCCCTTACAAATGTCACTTCACCTATAACAAATCCATACGTATTGAATATAAGGTAGTTATAATATGAGCCTCATGTACATGTGCAATGTATAGAGCTCTTGTGTAGTATAAGAACACATACATGGTCAACATGTTTATGATTAATTATCTATTTTGTTACTAAGGTTACATACTTGTACAGTATTAAGATCTATTGTGATGTACCTTGCTCTTGGGATGCTGTTGCTGGCATATTTATTTCAGGCATTTTTAAATGTAATGTATAACACATTAACTTGTTCCACACTGAGCAACAGAATCTATGGAATGCATAAATCTATCCAGCCATCCACTCAGCTACCTCAATGAATTTCATAGATGCTACGTACACATCTAGCTAAACTATCTTATTAAAAAAATGGGATACTGCAAAAGTATGAAGCCTTTATAAAATACAACATTATGAAATATAAATACTGAAAAAAAGACAACACTGCTACTTGAAACCCTACATACCGTGCAGTGTATTTATATATAAAATCATGCATTGGAACAAAACTGGCACTAAGTGTCTTTTCAAGTGTAAACAGTTTTGTTTGAATGCATGATTTTATATAACACTGCTACTTGTTTTTCCAATATGGATTTCAATTACAGATGAATTTAAATTGTTAATATAACTCTGGATTTTATGAAAATCTGTGTCAAGTGTTCCTGGGTTTCTGCAAACAATGCAACTGTCATTCATCCTGAAGATGACAAATGCAATGTATGCCGAAATGTTGTAACGCCTCCAGCACTTGTCACCGCTCATCGCCGAAAAACGAAGTTGTACAATGCGAGCTCATTTTTGGTTCTTCTCAAATCATTTTCATTTTCAAAACTGTACCTAATGTACAAAATGTGATCTATTTACGAGGGCAGTGGGTGGTAAGTAATGTTCATACCTGCAATAAAATACGAACACGACATACGATATCAATGGAGAAACGTTTTAAATCTCCCGGACAATTAAATCAATATTCGCAGGCAACGTTACATTAGAGCAAACAGTATGGCTGTCCTAGCTCGGCACCCACTTGCTTGGGGGATCAAATCCAAGACAATATTTAGTACTATTGCAACAAGACATTATAACAAAAGATCACACGTAACGTATACATGTGTTGATTATCAAAATTAATTATACTGATTCTGGCTACGAATGTTTACGCTGAAATTTGTAACAAAAATTATACCAACCTTTCTGATCCTTTTAACTGTGTGTTAGTCTTTATACGAAACGGCTTGTGGAACATCTTGCATTCGTCAAATTACTGGTAAGTAAAATGGAGATAAATATGTGGAAAATCTTACGAAACAAAAACCATTCTTGTCACATTAGCATGCCTTATTTCAAAACTTGGATCATTAATACACGATGGCGGCAGCCGTCGCCAGCACAGAAAGTAACAAATCAAATGAAGACCTAGATACGTGACTTGTTCGGTTACAACTTCGAGAAAATAAAATCGATTGTTTGAATTGACATTTGCAGTGTTACTGGAATTTCCCGTTTTATTTGAAGTTGCCTTCTTTTTTACACATATTTCTCTCCGTTGTAATTAGGCTTATAAATGACAAGAAGTGGCTAGCCTTGTTATTGACTAGTCTAATTTCCATTGTTTGAGAGATCTGATTTTGGTTGTCATTAAATTATTGATGCAAATTGTTGTAGCGCCCCAATACTTTTACCACAGTTATTTTAAGTTCTGTGTTGTATTTTAGAAATATATGATAATCTTCACAGACATACCCACTTACTTGTATTAACATAATATTCAATAACTTTGAAATTAATTTCTATTACAGTAATCAGTGAGATTATGCAGATTTTTACTCCATTACCACAGTACTCTTTATGTCAGATGTTCACTCATCAAATGATTTTTAATATCTTTGGACAGTCATACATAATAAGAAACTTAAAAATTGGGGAACATAAGAAATGAGAAATGGCAGGTCAGTTATATCACAGTTTGTCACATAGTTTTCACCCCTACTACTTAAATGGGAAGCACGCTGGCCTGGTGGACTGTGGAAGAAGCAGTTCTGGACTGTTTTATTGTAGTATATAACGCTCACTAGGATAGCTAGGGGAAATCCATAAAAATCATGTGTTAACTGCCCTAGGGTTTCAGCCCAGAGAATGCAGTCTTCTATTGTAGATACATGAATACATTTCTTGGTTCTCACTTTGGTATCAAATTTCTGTTACATGATTCACTTTCAATGACCTTTTGAAAGGAAAACTGACATCTCAGTGTCCATTTGTCCTTCTTAATAATGCCATTTCACCTGATGAAATAATGAAGTTAATATCATACTTGCTTCATATTTGTGAGGAACAGACTTTGAATCCTGGGTGGAGACTGGCCATTCCACAGGTATTTCCATGATTTTTTCAATTTTACAGGTGAATTATTAAAAGTGCTTTTAAATTGGCTGTGACTGTTTCATTCCAAATTCCTTTATCATAATCATGAAAGCAATTCTCATTTAATTGTACATAATCTTCATAGTTGTTACAGTACTGACTGTTCATTAACCTCAGTGGTAACACTGGACAAAATTCAGCCTTAAGTTTATGGAGTTCGTGGTGACTGTGAAAGTACATGACTTTTTTAAGGTTATCTTCATTATTAATGAAAATCCACACGTTGAATGTCAGAATTTCTGCAGTTAAGATTTATAATTTCATAACAGTGATTCAGGAAACACTGTCACTCAATGTAAAAGTGATGTTACATTCCAAAACCATCCTTGAGACCAAGTGTTACACATCTATCTCTGTCAGAATTACATTTGCTTAATTTTTTGTGTCATTTATATCATGCTGCTATATAAGAATGATATCTGCTGAAAAGGCAGGTAAAGACATTTTCCAGTTTTGATGTTCAAACACTTGCATAATGTTTAATATGAACTGCTGTAATTTCAGGTTATTTACATGTCCAGTTACATGTGTGCATTGTAGATGTGCTACTTCATCTTAATAATGTAATGTAAATGCAATGTTAAGTAATGGTTATGTCAGTAATAAGAGACTGTGATATTGATCTTGGTTTCTGAGTTTACATTTTTTAAACATATATGTTATTCCACCAAACATTTGTATTCAACCTGCTTAAGTAAACTTACTTGTCTCTTATTAAACTTTCAGTAATTCCAGCCATTTAAATGGTGTCCTACCATATGAACTGAGGAGACTTAAATCCCACATACTTGTTCCATACCAAGTATAGAAGCCGGTGTCATGTTATGAAACTGAGATCTGTGTATATTGATGGTGTATGCTACGGCATAAACATAGTTATGAAATTTAAAGGTCAGAAACCATTTTCTTTATCATAGATCCTTATGATACGTAATGGTTTAGGGCACAAAATATCACCACCTTTCACCTGAAATCTCCACTTAAACACCCAGCCAATCCTTCCATGAAAAAGTACCTCTAAATGCACTGGATTTTTATGAAGCATGATACTAGATTTAACACTTAATATTTGCATGCATCATGCAACATTTTATTACAGAGTTGTTAAATATTCTGACACAAATGAATTTATCATGAATTATGTGCAAGCATCAAACTACTATATTATCATTTTGCAAGTGTTCAACTCCGTTTGTGCTTGTGTTACTGTGCACTTGCTTTGATGCAATATACTTCTGCAAGTGGAATGAAAATTGCCATGCTGGATGACAACTTATGATAAATATTAGCTCATACATGTTAAATTATTTTTCTTCTCGAATAGGGTTCAGGCTACTCTGATCAAGTCAGATGTTTTACTACAGAAATGCAAATTACGTGGTATTAATGTGCTGATGCAATGTGACATAGTTTCTTTAATTACTTCTTAAAATCAACTAGATCTTTAGTCACAGCTACAAGCATATTTCTTACAGAAGTACTACATTTTTGTGACAGCCATTTCAATGTAGTTTACGTATAACAGGAACATGTTAGAGCCAGTTTAGCATATTTTGTCTGTATAGATTTGTTACGTTTCTTAAGTTATGGACTGTAATCATAATACTCTTAATGAACATTTATGTTTCCCTGCATTAATATGAACATGGCTGATATTTTAATGTGTATTAATAAATACAATAAAATATTTATCTATAGACTAAAGTTTCTTTATCTTTACATGAAGTCATTGATAGAATTGCAGTAAATTGGTAGCTTTGCTGAAAATTAGAATATGTGAACAACTATGAAAACTGACTCTGTAATTGTTAGATTTGTTGAACCAGATGAAGCAGTGATAATTCAAAAATTAAAGTGACCTGCTATGGGTTGGGTGACCAGCAGAGTAAGGGATTTTACCTTTGCTACCATGTCCAGACTGGCTGTGGGTCCACACAGCCTCCTTTCAGTGGCTAATGAAGGCTCTGTTCCCAGAGATAAAGCAGCCAGACTGTGAAGCTGACCACTTATCTTCATCTAATGCCAAGGCTAGGAATGCTTGGAGTTTTATCTCCATTCCCTTGTATGTTTTCACGGCCTAGAAAAGTATTAGTCATTTTGCAATTATGGCATGATTCATAAAATTCACAAACTATGTTGAAGTACATTGTATATCATAATTTGTTATTCTCCAGAAATTAAAATTTTAGTTAAATAGTTTAAGCATCATATAACATCATCACATACAATTATGCCACATTTAATTTCATTGCAGTATTTTCTGGGCACACAGCAGCAGTTTCATACATGCTATGGCATGCATGCCTCTCAGGGGAGTGGGGGCACTGCAACCAGGCTTTGAGCCCAAAGGAGGCCAACTACTGCCTTCAGGAACCCCAAATTTGACTGTTACTAAATGCTATTAAATTTGTCTATGATATTTTCATTTCAATGATAGATATAACATCTAAAAATGAAAGCAAAAGAAAGTAATGGCTCATAATAATGGGTAATGCAATATAAATTGTTAATAGTGGATGTGTAAGTAATTCTGGTGTATATAGGGTGGTACTGTGTGGGACATGGTGATGTGAGGTACAGTACAGTATCATGTAAGGGGCTCATACTCTCATGCTATGCCCAGCTCCCAGAAATGTCACTACATCAGTGCACTGCAGTCTCTGCTGTTTATAACAGTTGAGATTTCAGGTTCTTATGGCAATGAGTATGAAGGTAGTTGCCTTCTGGGATGTTACACCATTTAGTCTGGTAGATATTGACTGATGTTTCAGAGGAATTAATGATTGAGACAGTAAGCTCCTCTGAAATATCAATATATACCAGACTACATGGTAAAGCATCCCAGAAGACAGCCATTTGCATCCAGAACATTATTTTAAAATATTATCACAAATAATTGCTTTCTTCACTTTTATTTGAAGTAAAGTCATATTGTTCGTACAGGTCATGGCATTATGATTTAAAATAACTACTGTGTATGGGATTGCAAAGGAATCCAGAGCTTCAAGACCTAAATATTTTCTCTTCAGCAACATTACAACCTTGACAGTTAATTTGTGCATCACACATCTCTCAACTTCCCATGTGAGAGTTTGAGGAATGAAAATTACAACTGATAGGGATTCATAAAATAAAGATGCATCGGAAATGGAACGCTTCAACTATAAAACCTCCACAGTCATTAGGAAATCACACTTAACTAATGGGATTTCAGCAGAAAGGACTACAATAGTGGCATATATAGGCTGGAGTTTTTGCCTACTTTTATAGATTTTTATGTTTTCTTCAGTACATCACATAAATAACATTTTATGTTTGTAAGAGTGGAACTAATTCTAAAAGCCATTGAATCCTCGGTGCTTTCAAGTTCGTTCATTTTTCTTCTTTCACATTGTCCGTTCGGTGACAATTTTTAATATGTAAGTGGCAGCATTACCTGGCACGCATTATTAAATGATGCCCTTTGTACAATCAGAGTTTATCATTACTATAACTTTTCACTATTCTAATTTTTTAAATTGTTTGCAAAATCGTTGATTTCTATTACTAATTTCAAAATTTAATAATTAAGCTAACTATTCAGGTGAAAAGTGGAAGCTTCTATGCTGTTAAGGGATCAACCCACATTTTGTTATGTCTACACAGGATATAAAGATGGGGCTAGCAAGCAAGCGGAAAGGACGTTGGAGGTACAGGTGCTGGCAGAAGTTGTTCCTAGCTCTCATAGGCTTCCCTCTGGCTGCTGGAGTCTTATTGGTGTTCGTAGCAATATTCCGAGCAGTGTTCGTTCACCAGCAAACCCAGTCCGTTCTCCATATCTTAAATAATCAAGTTGTGGATAAAATTGATGAAAGCCAGATTATGCAGAGGGCTGAACGATTGGCAGGAGCACTGAAAATTCCTTCTGTATCGTACGCAACAGACAACCAAGAAAAGGAGGCTCTCCTGCAACTGCATCAGTATCTGGAAACGAGTAAGCGGGAATCCTGCATAGGGTGTAATTATGACTGATCCCACCTCCCATATAGAATTAAATGCTTTATATAAACGTTTGAAATATGTAAGAAATTAGCATTACCTACTATGATAGTTTCTTACATAACACATGAATCCATAGCAATGTGGATGTAAACATCTCTTTGGGTCTTTGAAGAGGAAGAAATGTCGTTACAGTGTAGAAATTAATAAAGGAAGTAATGTACATAAAGGAATGTTGTTTTTGTTGTATAAATGGGGAACCCAATGTAATTGGGAACACTTTGAAGAAAATATGGAAGATGAACTTAGTTTCAAGAAGACCAACATACAGAATCAAAAATATTCAGATTGGTTAACAAGTAAATGGCCTTCATTACAGATTTCCCACTGATTCACAGTGCAAGTTTTATAAAGAAGGAAGTGATCAACACGTACAGTCTCTTATACACAGTTGAGGGCACGACCAAAGGGAAGCTTCCATATTTGTTTGCCTCACATTTAGATGTTGTCCCTGTTGATCCTAGTACATGGGAAGTCCCTCCTTTTGGTGGAAAAATTGTCAACAGAACATACATCTATGGAAGAGGTGCTATTGATGACAAATCTGGAGTACTGGTAAGTGAGATCAATAAGCATAGCAGAGTAGGGTTTGACCACACCCACTGCAGTTATTGATGTTCCAAGTTAACAAACTCCTCATTTCTGTTATATATGAGTCCCTTGTTATGTAACAGTGTTGCACTGCACCGTCTCCAAGACACAAATTTCTTCATCATTTCAGAATTGATTTGTTATATACCTTAGACACCAGTGGACATTTCTTAAAAAAATCATCAAAGACCATTATAATTGAAGGTGTTTAAAAATTTATTTGTGAGCAAGAGAAAGCAGAATGGCAAAAAGGGTATGATGAATATGGCATGAGTCCACTTTGCATGCCACAGCGTTCTTTTGCTATTGATTATATATGAAACTACTCTTTGCAGTTTGAGCAAATTTCAGTTCCTTTACAAGAGAGACAAAGTTGCTTTATTTGTAAATAGCCTGTAATTGAGATCTCTAAACATGCTTTTGTCTCTCTGTAAATAAAAGCAGGTGTTCTTGCTAAGGGATATGATTTTCAACAAAAATGCATATTTGGAAGCTTTCAAGATTTAATTAATCACTTCTGAAAACCAAGTATATTATAATAAGATATATACACACAATAAAAGTCCTCCTTCAGAAAATTTAAATTCTTATTTGCTAGTTTTGTTTAAGGGAAACTTCACAGACATCCGCATAACACTTAGGAAATTTAAAGTACAAGTAGGAAAGCAATCACTAGTGAAAATTAAAATAAAATACACAAGACTGGAAAGCTATAGTTTTCAGAGCATACTAAAATTCTAAACATGTTCTTTATGCCAAATAAAAAGGTTATATCAGCAAGTCAACCAATGAAACTGCAAATGCAGCAGGTATCCATGGTCATTGTTCTAACAATGTAATGAGAGACATAACAGACTGACATGGACAGTCCCATAACGTGTCTTTTGCTTATGCTGAAAAGTAAAGAACACCGAATGAATGGTATTTTCTATCAGTTTGTCTGGGAATTCCCTTAATATCATGTGGATAAGAAGTTGACTCCCCTTTATGTATGAAATGGCATTTCATGATTAATAGTATAATTGCACATTGTACAGTGTGTACTCCACTCCCTGCATGTAGTTATGATGTTTACATGGGGAAAGAGATAATTTCCTCGGAATGCACATCTGCCACTTAATTCAAAGTGGGATCAGACACCTCTACACTGCAGCCCTTACTAACACATTTCGAGAAATGAGATGTGCAACATGTAGAGATTTAATATCTACTTATAGTGAGTTGGAATGTTTCTTACAAGGATAGAGCACCTTCATCCATAAGTCCTGTTGTGCAGCTATGAACAAACCTCATGGTTTCTGATTCATTTAATTTTGTTGTTAAAAAAGGGGGGATTTTTCACCTGTGGGCTCTGTAAAAGGAGATTAAGTTGAACAGTACCAACAGATAGATTTTTTTTAAAGTTACTGATTGCATGATCATCTGGGCATGGACAGCTGAATTTGTACATTCACCAAAGGCACCTGTCATATTAGTGTGCCAGATCTCCCTGCTTCATATAATTTCTTACAGGAAAGAGATGCCATGACAGACATATGATGCAGGAAGATTGTGTTATCAGATTGGCAACAAGGGTGCTTCAGGTCTGTCCTTGTGCAGCTTTCACACTTTCCTTCAGTGCACAATTTTAAACTCCCAAATGGGAAAACAGTAGGAAATATTAAGAAGGTTTCGTGGTCCCCAGATGGTCACTGACAGACTCATAGCACATGTGTTAATGATAAAAGAAAATTTACTTATGTTTATAACAAGTTCAATTGTACTTTAGGGGATTATGGAAGCTGTTGAATACATAATACAGATGGGACAAAGACCACAAAGGACATTTTTCATGGCTTTTGGACATGATGAAGAAGTAAGTTTTTATTCTTTAATATACAGTAACTACTTTCTGTCTGCGAAATTGTTTCAGGATGCTGTTACAGCCTTCCTGCAAGATTTAAGAATACCAAGGAAAAACTCCAAATTACACTTTTGATTGAAGTGATGTTTAAAGAAACCTGCATTTTACTTATATGAACATAGTTGTGATACATTCTTCTAATAAATCCAGTATTTTATTAATATTACAGTAGTTATGTTTACTTTTGAACTGTTTTGTGTACTAAATATTTAAGAAAATTTTCAAAAGGTGTGTTATGCTTCAGACAGTATTTAGTTAATATGAAGCTTAAGTCATACAATCTACAAGCTTTGGCAATATAAAATTTGCCTACTTGTTGCTCCATCTTATCTTAGAAATATGTGGGTAGTTAGGATTTTGAATGCATGACACTAGCTGTAACTCCTCATGCCAGTAAAATTTGGTCATGAGAAAAATCACATTACAGTTGCAGTGAGGACCCATCTCAGGTATATTACAATCAGATATCTTTAGTTTATACCAGTTTTATCTGAAGTGAAAGCCCAAAAGTCTAATTAGTACAAAATGAAAAATATTCTCCACGTACGCCTCAACATTGGTGAAATAACAGTAGTTATCCAGACAACAGAAACATTAACTCTGAACTTCTTATCACTCTTAAGACAGATACCTGTAGGCTGTTTTTTTCTTTTCTTTTCTTTTTGGAATTTGAACACACGTAGCATCCCAGTCACTAAAGCACTGCCACTCATATTCCAACAAGCTATCGAGTGAGAGCTCAACTTGTCTGGTGACTACTGTATGTCCTTTCAACATGTAATTCATACTCAGTTTTAATGTTTTCAATTTACTATTATGTTACAGATTTCATGTATTGTCAATCAGGTTTGCTGTATTTAATCATTTATCTGAGTTTCATTATGTTGTGTCTGTTGTCTGTAATTTCACTTTTCAGCAGTATGTGTCCTTCTAGATTTCAGGTAAACGGGGTGCTCATGAACTAGCAAAAATATTGCAAGCCCGAGGAGTTAATCGTCTGGATTTTGTTCTTGATGAAGGTTTTCCTTTAAGCAAGGGTCTGATTCCAGGAACAGATAAGCATATTGCCATGTAGGTATCACAACCATAGATTTCCTTTGTAAAAATTACATTTATCATCTCCCCTTCAACCACAGCTGAGTCCTTTATTTTATGTTATGTCAGAGGAAAATAAGTAACTAAACAACAAAAGATACCATTTTAAAAATATGTCAGAAAGTATTATGTTTTACATCTGATTTTTTAAGTTAAGTGAAGTTAGGAAGGACTAATCAAGGAAGAAAGAAAATATCAAGGTTAAATTCTGAAGGTACCATGCAATGCATTTGAAACAACATAGTTAATACTCATATAAAAACAATCATCAGTTACCTCACAAACCTAAATGATGTTTATTATAAGCCCAACAGGGGTACTTATTACTTGTTATAGTGGAAACTACTTTGGGTTTTATACTATGGTCCTGTCGATAATCTCTGGAGGTTGAAACATTTTAGGCTTATAATAAATAAAATGTGATTCTGTGTTACAATTGATGGTTGCTCTTGTATGATTTTAATAATGCAAAAATCAATCAGGATATTGTACATTGTGTAGTTGTATACAAGGGTACATTTACTGCCTATCCTAAGCTTGATTATTTCTACAAACAATGTGGGAACTCTCCCTCATTTAAAATAGTAGTATCATCACACATTTTAAATTATAGTGGCAGTTACATTGTCCATAATTCTGAGACTGATCTGAAATACCCATGCCAGAATTGTAGGAATGAATGACTAGACCATCACTGGAACTAAATGATTCACATAAAACATAACAAAATTTTGATTAATATCGTCATTTCAATTAAATTAATATTTAGATGGCATTGAGACACTTATAAACTTACATATATAGTGTTTAGAATGGATGTGAGGTTTCCAGAAATGATGAAAGTAACCTCAGAAATTCTGCTTTTTCACTTAACAATTATTATTTCCCAACTTTTTGTTTTCTCTGGTGTCATCATTTGTGTGGTATTGACAAACTGTCATTTTTGGGCCAAAAATTTCTGTTGTTTCCATTACTTTATATATTGCTTGACACATGTAAAGTTTTCAAACTACCAAACTTTTTTATTAATCTACTGAACACTATAATTTAAAACTGGAAATGTTTCTTGGTTGCATAATCTATACCTACAGGCTGCCCAGAAGTTACATGCAACTGATTTGTTTGCTTGATAGGGTGGGCATCTCAGAGAAGGGTACAGTGACTTTGGAACTGAGTGTAACTGGTAATCCAGGTCACTCCAGTTTCCCCCCAGCTGAGTCGGCCATTGGTATCCTCGCAGCAGCTGTTGCTCGACTGGAGGAGAATCCACAACCTTCACTTCTTGGCAAAGGACCTGAATCTGCTACTTTCAAATATCTGGCTCCCCATGTATGTAGCAACTTCACATCTGTATAGGCTACACACTTACAGAAAGTACCATAAATTCTGCTTTGCATTACTAGCCCATTTGTTACTTGCTATTAGGTTAAGTTACATTTCTTCCTACTCAGACTTGCATCTGAGAAAAGAAAGTGGAAATGTATTTCTGCTGGGATACTTTTTATAAGAATGTAAGGAATCACAACATGGTTGCTGTGCATATGAAATGTTCCCTAACTGTAAACAATTATAATAAATAATGTAGTATTTGGTATTATGATATATGTTTACATTGAAAAGTATTATGGCAGCCTAGCAAACTTCAGAATTTTGCAGAGTACCCATGTACAAATAGGTTATTAGTCTGTGTATTAAATTTATCTTTTGCTCCATTATTTTTATGATAATAATGTACATGCCATATCTGTCAATGGCATCAAATTGTAAGATAAATTCCAGTAATGTTTCACTTAATATGGAAAGAAGTACAGTTGATTTAAAACTGAAAAGCACTTAACCTCCTGACTGTTAAGTATGTCTGCAACATACTCATGTATGTTGGGTTTATTCTATAAAGTTTAAAACTAATCACAAAAAATAACTATTAAGAAAATCATTAATTCATAATTTACCTGTGTGAGTCTTGATTGGCCCAGCAGTTTCAACATTTCTTGATAGTGCCACTTTGCTATGTGATATGGGTAAATTTGATAATTAATAATCTTACTCTTCTTATTCTTTCACTGTTGACTCAACATATTCTAATAAATAGTTCCATGTATTTGTCAAAAGATGGCAGAAATGCCAGAGAGAAAAAAATAGTTGCGAAAATTACAAATAAGGGTATCCAAAGCTAGATTTCCCCAAGCAGAGAAAAAAATAGTTGTGAAAATTACAAATTAGGGTATCCAAAGCTAGATTTCCCCAAGTCAGACTTAATCCTGATTTTTGTACAGTGTGACATATAGCTGAGCTATACAGGAATTAGTTCTGAGGTTGTTACATTACTGATTTTAAAACTTGTTACTTTCTTAGGTTTCTTTCTTTTATCGCCTTCTCTATAACAACTTGTGGCTGTTTTCTGGGTTGATGGCTCGAGAAATGGAGCGTGTGCCTCTCACCAATGCCTTTGTTCGCACTACCACGGCTATTACAGTGTTTCATGGAGGAATAAAGGTATGTATGTGTGGTACCATGCACTTCAGAGAGTTGTTAGATTTTTAATTTGAAGGAGACATTGAAGAAAATTAGTAGGAAGTACACTGTGTCCCTATGCTGTATGACAGATGTGTTCTTCTTCACCAGTTCCATGGAATTTCTACACTACAATGAGTTAACTGAATGTCTAAACAGTAATAGCAGATTTTTCAGAATAAAATACTTAAATGGTATCTCTGGTAATGGTTCAAATAATTAAAAAAGTACATTCTTCTTGATTCTTGCATTCAGTACCTCTCACAGTACACAACTGGAACCAAGTAGTTTACTTTTTCTTTGTAAAAGAATGTAACATGATGAAAAATAAACTCTATCTTTCACAGGATAATGTGGTTCCTCCATCAGCCAAAGCAGTAATCAACCACCGCGTTCATCCCTCTCAGACAGTGACTGAAGTGATTGCATATGATCGTGAAATCATCTCAGATCCCAGAGTACGCATCCAGGTGAAGACCTCCCGAGAGGCACATCCCATATCTCCATTTGGACTGGACTGCATTCCCTTTCAGATGGTGATTGTTAGCATCAAGCAAGTGTTTACTGATGCTGTGGTTGTTCCAGGTAAGTACATGTGTCAGGTGAATACTCATATCACAGATACCTACTTTGTGATAATCATGCAGTCAGTTGAAAGTTCCAGAACTTAGTATTAATGTATCACAAACACACAGAATGTCTCACAAAATATCTGCCAAACTTCTGGTGGTTAGTCATTGTCTTATTTTCAAAGTAAATTATATCAGTGTGGGTTGAAATCTCAGCCATAACATTGATGTCTGATAAATCTATTTCCATTATCCTTCTGTCAACAATACTAACATGCATGATCTACACTTCATATCTGGAGGAATTCTCCTGTCTGCAACCAGAGGATGCTCTACGACATAATGGCAAGGGACCCGCTTAACATAATAAGCCATGCTTAACAGTGTAATTCAGTGCCACTTACTTAACATTCTCTTATAAATTACATACAACCATCATATGTATATAGTTTTGCAAATATTAGTTGTCTTTTGTGGTTTCAGAATAACACGTCACAGAACTAGTCATTTAAGTAACCATATTTTATATTTGAAGACTAATCGGTATTAGTGTAGCTCAGTATATTTAAGCTCAAATGTTACTTCGTTCTTTCTTTTTCTTGTAGCTGTATTCATTGCCAATACTGACACACGATGGTACTTAAGCTTCACCACAAATTTATATCGGTTTCTGCCAACTGTTGTCGCACCGGAAGATGTCAACCGTTACCATGGAAATAATGAGCGTATATCAATCAAGCACTATCATGAAGCTGTCAACTTCTACTACCGTATTATCAAGAATGCTGATATGTTAACTGACCAAGTACCATCATCCACCATCAACAATGGTGATCAAGAATTATAAATAATTACTAAGGGGATATAACAAAAATACAACTTTGTAACCTTTGTGGCAAACAAGAGAGGTACTTTCAAATTAACCTGTTTATTCCTGTCTTTAGAGGTTGAAGTTAGTTATGGTCTGCTGACATCATGGCACTGTAGTTGTGTGTTTTGAACCTACACAGCCATGAAAGACATGGAATTCATGTCTTAAGCACACTGGATGCTTTGTAGTACATGTAGTGTTGTTATAAAATCTCATATTAAATAATCACTCTGGTTATGTCTTAAAAGCACAACAAGCCCAAACCAAGAAATTTATAAACAGAAATCAACCTCATATCTACCATTAGGTGATATGCAGGAAGACTGATACATTACTTGCACAGATCAGAGTGTCCATCAGTGTTTCTTCCTACTCCTTTACTGCTATTAAAAACTGTACCAGACCAAGTTCTTATCCAGGTCATCATCATTCACTCACAGCTATGTCATGTTACTATGAACTAGCAAACCCACTGGTCCACAACTTCAGCTTAGACATTTATTCTTAAATGGCTGACACACCACGTGAACGCTATGGGAAAGCTAGAATGCAGAGTAGAACTCATGACGACAACTAGTTCTCTGCTAAGCTCAGTATTAAGTATGAGAGTTACGAAAATGCTCTTCCTGCGAAAGGAAGAAAAATCTTTTACTGTCATTTTAAAACTTGTTGATGTACAGGATTCAGTGCAGATCATATGTGCTTGTTGTGTCATACAGAATTCAGTAGAGATTGTATGAGCTTGTTGCTCCAAAGGTTCAAAATGTCAGATGAGTATATTAAAATTAACACATTCACTGCTGAAGTGGAAAGGCTTTATTACTGCTAGCATCAACTTGAGTAAATGTTATGCACCTCTCCTTGTAACTTGTAAAAGATCATCATCAATGACCGGATCATGAAGATAACTAAGCAGTACACAGTGCTTGGCGTTTCTTTTTCTCCCTTCCCTGATCCTGCCTCCCTTTGTACTGTTATTGCAGTTATGTTTAGTTTATGTAATGATTAGATGCAGCTGTGTGTTACCTCATATGAGTTCAAAGGCCTTCAGTAGACACTACTGCCTTTGTGTGATGTTTTAGTAGTCATGAATGAATAATATTAGGATCACTATCAAAAAGAGGAGAGTACTTCTGAAGGCCTCCACATACCCTCCAGGTCAACTAAAGGTACCATAAAATTTTCATCTTTTTTTGTTGAAATTTATAATTTTGTCTTTCTTTCCAGACAGTACTAAATCCCACCCTGGAATTTAAATAACAAGCAGTGAATGTGTTAACATATCACATTAGTTTTAAGTTTTTTCTGCCCTACCTCCACCGATTGATCTTAAACTCTTCATGTTTAGTACCTGAAACAGCATGAACAATAATTATATAAATGTTTATTTCCTTCATTTTGACTTGATCTTCCCAGTTCCTTTTTATAAACATATCATACCCTCTTTCACAAGTTCACATTTTGATACTTTAAAATTGTTAACATCATTTTATTTAATTGAGATGATGTCCGAAACGTTGCATTTGGTAATATTTCAACATGTATTATGAGTGTCAAGAGAGATTAAGATGTGATATCTTGGTATTTTCATAACCATTACAATTCCTTTTGTGTTGGAAGTAACTTTGCTACATAAAGCTGAGTAAATAAATACTCATGGATCATATATATTAAGTTGTAATTAATACATAGTATAAATCAAAATTATGTTAATCTCTGTAAATGTCTGCAATTTTAGTATAAAAATAAAATACTTAAATGATAAATTTTTGTTACTGTATTCAATAGAATTACACATCTTTATTTCAGAATTCTATATTTGATTATGAAGAGTGACTGTTTTTTTTTTCAGTAAATACAGGATTTAATTGAGCATGTAATTGTACTGTGTACATAGAAAAAGTTACTCCTTTTGTCAAAATGACATGAATGTGATCTGTAACAGTGAGATAGGAAAATGTACTGTTCTTTAATTATATTTATTTTGTTTGGCTGACAGTAGCATACATAATTGAACTGCAGTGTACCCCAGTCTTTTGTGTGCCTTTGAGTGAAATCCAACACTGACTGGTCTGGCATTATCCAGTAGGTCATGTTCCGTTTCACTCTACAAATAATTTTTATGCCTGCTACATACCAAAATAAGTTTAAAATATAAATCACAATATGGCAAATGATCAGTAATCTCAGTTATTTAAATGTGTACCAGTAAGTCACACCTTTGCCACAAGTAATGAAAGAGGAGTTATTCAGACCTGAAGTAGAACAAAGTTAATAGAATTGCCAAATGATGATGAAAATGTGTAAGTCGAATGTTGCTGGCTGTAAAATGATGGAACCAAATTCCATGCCAAAGACATTTTGAAGATGCAGAACAGACTCAGGGTAAAATAAGAAAATGAGTGAGTGAGAGAGTACATAAACACAATGGTACTTATCACATGATAGACAAAACTGAGTATGGCACTTGTTCCAGCAAATAAACAAACAATGTAATTCAGTACATTATCTTGGTTTCACTATACCCATCACTGTTATTCAAATGGCCTTTAAAAAAAGCCTTTAAATGCAATTTAATGACTGCAATATGCACCAGGTCTTGAATAAACATTTACAAATTAAAAATATTTCATTGAACACCTGGAAATAGAGATCCTTTGGGCTTCAAGTGCCTTTTCATTTAACTACAGTTTTAATGGCCTTTCTACCCACAACACTGCAAACCATACATACTTTCCAGCTATTTTTAATTTATTCTATGAAGTAATGCACGATAAAACATAAATGAACTGTCAATTCCAATGCACATCCTACTTGGCTGAATGAATGAGTATATGATAGACCTGAAATTTTGTGATGGAATTTGCAAGCTGGTTAGTCACTGGTGAAAATTATTTACACTTTACAAAAAAATCAAAACATAGCTACAGATGAGATACTGTTAACATAAATGCCCAGTGTACTTGTTAATATGACCACCGCTGGCAAAGAACATAACAGAAATTCACTAGTCGACTGTATTAATTTTTAAGGAATAATATTACTTTAAGTTTATTTTAGCAGTTATCAAAAATCAAATGCAGTAGATTTACTAGCTCCTGCATTGTTCTGCTATATATTCAATTGATTCAAGTTTCTTCTAAACTTCCTGCTGTAACAAATATTAGATCTTATAGTATAAAAGAAATTACTGAGAGTAAAATATTAAATTATATAGTATTATTTTGATGTTTCATTATGATTCATTCATTATCTATACCAAAGAGTTGAGAAATTCTATATATTATTCCTGTGCAACTTGATGTAGTATTAAGTGCATTACTTTCATCATAGTAAGGATGACTGCTGCTTTGTCCACTGTGATATTAGTAACTACCAAATAGTCCTTTTAACATACCATATGTGGTTGCAGGCTGAGTGAAGTGTGCATATGATTGTGTGTTCAAGTGTTTACCAGGTATGAGCCTGAACTTATAATCAACTTGTAGCAATGTGTATTATAAGCCAAGTTCATAGTTAGGTTTATATTGTAAAAACAGAAATGTTCGTTTGTATATACATTGCTGTATTCTTGTGTATAAGTTTATGTTAAGTACATCTGTTTGTGTAAATTATTTAAAAGATTTGGGAAATATAATTTTGCTCATATCAAGTATATATGTTCATGCTGGGTTGTATCCTCCCCCCTCATAAAAGAATACGTCCAGTTTTACTGAAATTCATATACTCTCATCACATATTTGTTCGCCCAGGATTATTTCTTTAACAAACTAATTCCATGGAAAGCAAACAGTTGCTCAGCTAATCAAGAAATGTCTTGCTTTTTATGCCACCACGTCTAGTATGGATCTACAGGCGAAGAGACCTCCAATCCAGTGTATAATGGTGGCAGTCAAAATATGAAGCCAGTTACCAGTGTGAGAATGTCCCTTTAGGTTTTGACAAAACTAGTGAGATAAGGGAGAAAAGTTAGGCAAACTATTAATTTATGTGATGGATAACAACTTTCTGAAAAGTGTTCATCCAGGTACAACAATTTGGAATATTAAGCATACATTCAGCTTGTAAGTAATTCTTCATATTTTAACAAAGTCCCATTTTATTGTTTCCATTTGTGGACGTTAGGGAGCTAAAGCAAGTTATTTATATGGATACAAATTTGTGTTTTGAAACAAAACAGGCATAAGACACTCAGTGTGCAACACATTTCCTAACACTTGCAGTTTATTCCAAAACTAATTTTATGTTTTCCCTCAAATTCTAAGTAATTTATAAAAAAAACATAAAATCTTTCTTAAATTGGTGGTTGCATTACCAGCCACCCAACTGATACTGGGTACAAATGAACAAACATAACAGATTTAAATTCATAATTTGTATTTGCGCAGCATTCTTAAATTACCTGTCATTTTGAATATAACTCGATTCTGGTAACCTTTGCTATTACTCCTATCATGGAAGTCAAATTGTTAGTCCCAATAATTTGAACTAGATTATTTTCAGAATGCAAATAATTCTTGGTACCATGCATACACCCAAACAAAACATTATTCTCTGTACACAAAACTCAACAGACAGCAATTATCTTACCATATCAATAAGTAAAGCTATAAGATTAATGCTTACTTGTGTCTTTCAGACAAATGTTTCTTCCATTTCACTGCTAAATTACTGACTTATGCAAGACCATTAATGATGTTCAATCCAAACATTTCTTCAAATTACAGGTAGCAGTGATTTCTGAAACTTAAAATACAGGAGAAACTATCAAAAAAGTAACAAAATAAAGATAAACAACTGTGCTTACTAAATCCGAAACGGATAACACGACATATTTGGTACATTCTACATGAACTGAAAAGACAAGATCAAAAGCTTGGACCATGAGTAATAAATTGTTATGGCCAGAAACACTACACACTAATATCAGACTCGTCATTGCATTCAATTTTAGAATCTTATAATCATTACAAAAATTGTACATACCACTAAAAATGCAAGGAAGCAACTAACTGCAATGGAAACATCTGAAAATAATATAATTACAATAATGTTCAAATAAAGTTGTTCATGACCACATACAAATATGAATATCATATAAATAATATAACAAGTACTGCAACATACAAAATTTTAACAGCAATTACAAGGTTACAAAGTTACAAAAAAGGAACCAGCATTAATCAACCACGCATTAGGTCCGGTTTCTTTGTCACTCTCTATTCTCTGTAAATACTGTGAAAACAAGTCTTGAAAACCAATCAGAATTCCTACTTTAACTGTAAACTTCACTTTTCTGATAGAACTGCTCTTTCATACACCTAGCAAAGATAGGTCCCTGGTTATAAATGTCAACAGATTCTTACATTTAATATACAATAATGTAACACAGTTTACAATAACATGACACAAGTAAATAATAAATTGTTTTTTTTACATATTTAAATAATCTGACCAATATTTCATCAAACGGGAATTTTTCAGAACATGATATAATTCCTAGTTTCTTTTTTTAAGAAATAAAAGTGTCAATACTTCGGGACTCCAATCTCAGTTTCATTTGACATGAACTCTGCATAAAATCTTCAAGATTTAATTCAACTAATTCCAAAACGGTAATTAAGTTTACAATAAAATAACCAGGGTCAAATTTAAACATAGCGACTAGAAATCAGCTTCAGAAATCTGGTAAGGGGCATTCTGACTTGCTCAGAAATTCATTGACATAAGTCATAAACTTCCAGGTCTTGCAAAGCATTCTATTAAAATTAACACAATATGCATACCGTAACACAGATATAATTTTGTAGTTTGCATAAAAAACATCTGTATGTAAAAAAATATGATTTATCGTGTTAACAACACTAGAGTCAGTGTTGGCCATACTAATGCACTTGAAATACATACTGTGAAAGCTCTGAAATATCAAGACATTTTTTTCTAAAATCTTTATCTAGATTTCTCATGATGGCCAAGTGTCACGTACATCTATAACTTAAAGACACACTTACTGAAAGAAAATCAGTACACAAAGAATTGCAATTAGATACTGGAACATAATACCATATTTCTAAGGATACACATAAATGGAACATACATACCTTCAAAGCAGACATGTCCTGACTTTTTACACAATAAACATTGCCCAGTCGAAAGCAGTTCCAATGGTAAGCACAAAAAAATATACTCCATGTTATCCTTTTCGCATTATAAACCATCTTTGTATTTTGGTTCTGTCACCCTAGTACACTATTTAACCACTCATAGGACTGAGAATGATGAAATTGTCCTCTCAACTGTACCAGTCACTTGCATCCTTAACCTTCCCCTGGATCCAGCAACTTCATTATTCAAATCATATAAACAAAGCTTATTTATTTACAGACTAGAACAATCAGAAAAACTATACACATTCAGTTCCTAACATAGCACTGAAAGAACAATTTATGTAAAATATTAATATACACAACTGGTAAATTAAATCCAAATACCAGAATGAAAGTATGTACTGGAATGGTTGTTTGAGTTATAAGGTACCAGGTCATTAGTGATTGAATAAGAAACTGAAATCAAATGGAACAGAATAGTTCAATGATATAGTACATAAGGATCTTAAGGTGGTGCAAAAGCAGTGAAGAAATACATAAGAACAGACAATGTGATAAGGATAACCCACCCACTGTATTGATATAGCTAGTGTCCTGTCTCCAGAATTAAGTGAATGACCAATGGAAGGAAATACAATTCACCATTTGCTCCATTCATTGCTATATGTTTCAATTTGTACTGGAAAAGGAATGTAAGATATGAGGTTCCCACCACCACCATGAGACCCTCAAAACTTACATGAGGCAAATTCATTGAAATTTTGCTGTATTTTCTGAAAAATCTTATTTCTGTTTTGCAATTAATAACAGCAGGCCTTCTGATGATAGCCTGATTCAAAGTGTGCATTTTCAGTACATGTCCCATGAATTATGATATGTAGTGTCATTACTTACACTAGAAGATCTCTAGTGATTGCTGAGTAAGGTGACTATGAATCATGCAGATACACAATGATCCTATTCCACATTCTTCCTTCAGGGAATTAGCATGTTACAAAATAGCACAGTGTACAGGTATCTCTATGCTCCATAGCTTTAGTGCAACATTGGTAGACACACTCATGTCACAAGCATGTGGCCATTTATGCAAGTACGTCGATGTTGAACAGTTGGATATCATCTGATCATACGCTTCAGTGACAGTAAAGAAATTGTTACATTAAGCTTTATCTCTAATTCACATAAAATACCTCAGCTTCAGTTTTTACGTAATTTTCCACTTGTATAACACAAAATAAGATTACACTTAAAATTATTTGCTATCTGGACTTTTTCCATCATCTTTGTTTAAAAGAAAAACCATGTTTCGGAAACTGGCTGTTTCTGTCCTCAGACGAGAGGGAAGGTACCTACTCTGTTGGGTCTGCCAGAAAGAGTTAGTCTCCATCACTGGACCAGGTACCTTCCCTCTTGCCTGAAGACGGAAACAGAGCCAGTTTCAGAAAATTTGTGGTTTTTCTTTTAAACAAAGATGACGGAAAAAGTGCAGATAGCAAATAATTTTAAATGTAATCCACCATCATCAGAACCTTTTAGAATTGAATTATAAGATAAGATATTACACAGGTAATTTGTAAATTATACAAATAAACTATCAACATGTGTGATACTGTGATACAAGTACTTACCTTTAAAATACGGTACCTTCATATTTATTTGAGAAGTTTTGCACAGTTCAGAAAATGGTAGAAAATACAGAAGTATAAATAAAAGTAATTAAATATTTACAACTACCATGGGCCAATAAATACGGATCAAATTATTCATGACAAAGAAATGTACAACATACAGAAACATGTATAGGACTTGTAACATAAAAGCCAATCAAAGCAAAATTTTTGGTACAGCTGCTAAAACCCCACCAGTGAGCCACAATTCTAATAGGCTTAGACAGATGGACAATAAATTACAAAAATATTTCCAACATTTGCTGATTAATAAAGAAGATACCAGTCTGGTTTTAACACACAATTTTCAAGTGTTTGCTGAACATAAAAGAACTATAATCTGCAGGAGCTGTGGTCTTCTAGTTGTACACAACATTTTTGGAGTATCTTCGTCTGTAACACTGGAGTACGAACACAAGACATGGCACCATAACCCAGACAATCATCACCACCATCTAAATTCACATAGCCATAAAGATCTCAAATTCCACTTTCAAAATACTAGTCTAATCTCTCCCTATTACACTTTGTGATATGTATAAGCTCATAATTTAAATTAAGAAGCTAATGATGGAATGTAATATGAAATAAATAAAATTTTCACAGATTTCCACATTTGGTATGCAGGCAACCACATTTACTATTCAAACCAAGATAGTAAGCATAACCATCATTTAAATGTTCCTTCATGCATCAAAACAATCTGATTAAAACGTTACACAGGTAACTGACACACCAGAAATCAATACTGAATTCATCTTGTGGTGAAATGTACCTGGATGCTGAATTCTACACACAATCTTCAACCCCTGCTAAATTACAGAATCTGCATCCCCTGTTCAACAATACTTCATTGTCTGTTAAAGTAATGACCCAAAATGTAACTTTGTTCTGCTGTTCTGTTACATGTGTTTTTTTAAAAAAAGATGTAAATATGAAATTTAAATAACCACACTTTGCAGCAAGAATTCCAGGAATACAAAAAAGAAAAAGCCAAAACATTCCACTCAGCTTAAATATGACTTATGTGCAGAATTAAGAGCTGCTGTAAAAACTTCTCTTCTTTTCTTTAGCTTCAACTTACATATCTAACACACACTAATATATGATTGAATCAGTTCAGTTCAGTTCTTGGCACCATCATGTATTTAGTCTTACCAGCCAACAGTTTCAAGCTGCCAACATTATCTCTCATATTAATTATACTTCTCTAGGGCAACTTGCAGATTATCAACAATCTGTAACACGTAAAAGAAGGGATTAAAGTAGAAAACATATTTTCTTTCCCTTGGGGACATTGCACCTTTACAGAAGAGAGAAGTGTCATATTTCTGTCTCTTTCAACAACATATGTGATCATTACAGCTAGCAAACTGTACAGAATAAATGGATCAGTGTACCTGTTTTAATGAACATTATGCATTAATTTAATGTCATCTTACACATATAATACTGTAGTATAAGTTGAGTCATTGCCCTGATGATGGAGACAGCAAGGACCTCTGAAACGTTGGTAGAAACTTCTACCAGACTACATGGTGTTAAAACCCAGAAGGAAGCCATCTTCAGACCCACTGCCATGAAAATCTCAAATCCTACATATATTACATGTTTGCTTCTCTCAATTTGTTGCATCCTACTACGGCGAATCAACAAAAACTTTACTCCTCAACAATTTTCCAGTATTCTTTGCTTACTATGGCATGTTCTTAAATAAAATATAAGAAAGACACAGTGAAACGAGAATCCTTTTCTTTCTTGACTGTTTTATGTTATACTAACAATTAGCTGCAAACATATATGATTTGACAAAGTATCAGCAACTATAAGAAACAAAACTTAACTCAGTAAAATGAAAATAATTTCCAAAATATTTTATACAACTTTGATACGTCATTTTTACTTTAGCGCAGTTTTACCAAATACTTTCCTAGTTACAGAAAATGCACATGCATCTGGCATCAAACATGCGGACACCAAGACCTAAATGAAGCTCTTTCCTTTGTACAAGACAAAGGAATATGTCTCCACAACTTAGCACCATACAATTTAATGGGCCTCACTTTTGCAAATGAACAAAATTGTTTTGCAGCAAATAATTTATATACCTTTTGGTAGAATGAAATCTGTTCTCTGAGGTAGTTCTGCATGGCTAGTCTGAAGTCAACAGCTCGTTCGGTATGGAAGTGGTTGATCTCAGCAAGGAGTGCATATGAAATCACATCAGTACGGCGTACCACATCTGACAACTGTGATGATTCCATCTTGTGGTCACCAGCTAACTTTTCACATTCCTTACGTTTCTGAAGTGAACCCTATAATAATTTAAAAAGAGACAATTTAAATAACAAGTGTTAATTCAAATACTTGTATACATAGTAACAAACTGACTGGATAGGAAGGACATATTAAAGACTTGCTTCTAATCATATTTCTATTTAGAAACACATACTATACGGGAAATCATCTAAAAAGTAATTTGTTTTCCATAAAAGTAAGAGACACCCCCCCATACAAAAATGGAAATGTTATCCCCCCCAATTTTTTGTATAGCTGATCTTCAGAATTATAGAAAGTAGATGGGCCAGCATGTTTTTGAAATAAACAATAACAAGCATTTCATTAACAATGTAAAAAAATTAAATAAGACTAAATTTCACTTACTTTATGTACTGTTAGGATATCAGGAAATGAAGAAATGATTCCCTTATACAAATGAAGAACATCTCCCAATGGCTCCCAATCTAGTTTAGGTTGATCTTCAAAGAGTTTTCCAATTTCGTGGTATGTATTACCTGTTACTCTGACAGCTTCTGTTAAATTTTGTCTTGCATTTTCTGAAACATGCAAGTGATTATAAGCAACAACAAATATCTGACATCTATAATTTAAAGAACATAATTTGAAAACAAAGATTTAGTTGCAATAAAAACTACAGTGAAACCTCGATGCATCGTTTTCGGCGGGGGTGGGAAATAAAAACGATGAATGCGGGAAAACGATAGATGCGGGAAAGCATTAAAAATTAAAAAAAAAACAATGTTTCTCTTTCAAAGTTACTTCTTTTTACCAAAAAAGTCTTTAATGGACAACTGGTTTGTCGAAACTTTACGTTTTAGACCAAACAGAGCACTTTCCACGTTCAAAATGTTTTCCTCGTCACGTTCACTAATACTATGCGCATAAAAGAACGACTTCACTTTCGCCAATGCAGCGTGCGCTTCGGCAAAACTCGGCAAAGCTTCGGGCTCGCATTCGTCGTCTTCCTCTTCCTCACCGCTCCAACCCCCTTTGCGGACAATAACAGGAAGAATGGAAATACTATTACTGCCGAACTCAACGAAAAAACTCCAACTATCACCCCTGCACCGCTGACCCTCATTCCAAAAGAATGTGCTGGTTGGGCGACATAACAGGTTATCGCTACTGTGTATTCCAAAAACATTGTGCGTCTTTCGGAATTAAATTCTAAAAATATCACGTAAATTTCGTTACAATTTCTCAGAAACGATCATTGCGGGAAAATTGTGTGCTGGGACTAAGATTTTTTAAGGATCGATGCGATAAAACGATAGTTCGAGGAACGATAGAAGCGGGAAAATGTAACATTATTTTATATGGGATGTATTCGGGACCGAACAAAACGGACGATGCATCCGGGAAAACGATAGTTCCGGGAACGATGGATAGAGGTTTCACTGTATTTTCCCTTTGTGTCATGGAATAAACTGTTTGGTTTCTATGAAGATGAGTCTTCTGGAATACTGCAATGTGTAGTCATGTAAACCTTTACCAACATTTCAGAAGTGCTTACTGCCTCCAAAACGTCGGTCAACTTCTATATGGCGCAATATCCCAGAAGGCTGTCATCTTCATACTTGGTGCCATGAGAACACGAAACGTCAAAACCGTTTCTTAAATTTGATGTTCCACGTTTATTCTGAGATCATGAAGAGAATGATATGTCTAGATCACCACACATGACATATTGGGTAGGATGACCCAACATTCTGCAGATGAGAATTATGTACATGGTTAACCCAGTACATCTTCCAATTATGTGAAATAGACAGGTTCCATACAGAAAAGAATTAAAGGGGTTAAAATAAACCAGTTATGTTATAATTCTTAAAAGTGATAATCTGGCAGTAACAATAATCTCACATATATTATAGCTGTAGAAGACTTGAGTTCCAATCCATTTCAAAAATAAATTTTCTAAAATTACTTTGCAGTACAAATAAAGGCCGAAAATACATTAATATTCTGAATTGTAAAGATTCATCATTCATAATTTACCTGTTGAGTCATCTTCCCTGAAAGCCATACCCAGTGCTGAGAAAGCATGTCCAATTCTCTGATATTCCCTCTTATACAGTCCTTGGTGTTTCTTTGTTTGGTCAGCTGCTGTTGCCATTAGGATTTTTATAGCTCCATCCATTCCATGAATGAATTTAGAACATTTGTCTGTTTCCTGTTCACTAAAGAGATATTAAAGTTATTTTTCAATCTCTTTCAACAGAGAATCTCAAGTTGATGAAGCCTAGTTGCAAGACTATTCTGGTTCTCAACGTGTTATACGTACAGGTTTCCAATATCCAGAGGTTGTTCAGGTGCTTGAAGTGTTATGAAATAGTTTGCTCCCACTAGTTCATCTTTTTCTGCTTTCCTTTTGCCAGCTTTCCACCGTTTCTCATCAGTACAAGCTATGAAGTGTTGCCAGACCTCACACTGAGAGAGTACCGGATGTCGACAAACTGAGTCAACAAATGCTTGCAGCTGGGCCCTTCGATGCTCTATGAACTGTTCCTCGTACCTACCTGCAAACAGTGGTGATCAGTACAAATCATTAAAATGAACATAATGTTAAAGGAGTCTCTACCATAAGGAGGCTCTAGTTGCCAGTCCATCTGAAAAATGCACTCAATTAGCACTGGCAAAAGATTAGCATTTCTTGATGTACATGCAGTGAACAGTTATTAGCACAGACAAATACTTTTAAGAACCCTCGGACTTTGAATGCAGAACACAGGTTTGCAGAATATACTGTAACCCAACACTATCAGTAAACACCAGTACAAAAGGGAAGACTGTTGGCCTAATCTCACCTTCTTGAATTACATCTCAAGTCAGAAATGTTTCATTTGCAATGGAATCAAGACCATACCAAATTAATGGAGGATCAGCTGACCACCAGACTGTGGGTGGAAGCTTATGCATATAAAGGTTAAAAATTCTGGTTACAAGAGACAACACCAACATATACAAAACCTTACGTTGGAAGTGACTGAAAACAAACTTTATGTCCAAATCTCTATGTGAATAACATGACGAAATAATAAGCATGCTAGATGTAGAAACAGCAATGGGAGGAAAATGATACATCGAAAGGAAATGGGAGAGCATTAAATATCAACAAAAATTGTGAAAGCTGGAAAAATTATGCAAGGATTACATATTACTTAACCATGGTCTAAAACTATACAAGCAAATTATAAATATAATTATATAAGACAAGTAGAAAATGAAATGAGGAAATAATACGGCTTCAGAAATTACAGATCATTCACTGATTTCAATTTTGCTGTTTGAAAAGAAAACAGAAATCTGACAAAGGTGCATTCAGTTTCCACTGATTTTGAAAAGGTGTGTAATATGAACAAACAGGAAATTTAGAAAGCATTACACTCAGCAAACACTTACAAAGGACCAACTGAGAGAATATAAATGTGCAAACAGTATGGTCCTCAATAAAAAAAAATCTCAAAGTTTGCAAACATTTATTGGGTTTAGGCAAGAAACAGTTTTGTCTCCTATGCAGTTCAACATGGTAATGGCTGAGACAGAAAAAAAAAACAGTGACGGTTATACTCTGGGAAGTGTAAATGGCTACAAAAGGGAAAATAGGCCTTTAAAAGTTACTGGATGCAGATATCAGTAGACCAATGGCAGCACAGATGAGGTTTTTACGAGGTACACAGGGGAAAACCAAGACAGACAGAATTATAAATAAAAACAGAGGGAATTTAAACACTGAACAACTTGAAAGGCAAAATAACAAGCAACAGAATAGGACGGTAAAGTGTGGACATGTTTTAAGTATAAAGACAGAATTCCAATGAAAGTTAAAGGAAAATGCCCAAGAGGAGATCAAAATGGTAACTGATTAGAAAAGAAGAAAGAGACAGGAAGAAACTGAATAGATGTGGGAAGAGATATATGGAGAACCTTGGTTGTCAGATGACCACCATAAAGTGGAAACATCTTAGGAAAGAGGAGTAGGGTGGTGAGTGTACAAACCTTAAATGTAACATAAACAAGTAAACTAAGACTGAAGTAAAATACATAAACTTTTCGTCACTTAATGAAAAACTGTTAGAAAACAAAAAATTAGCATGACAGAAGACATTATATAAATGGTGACATTTCAGGTTCTCACAGTAGCTGGGATGAAGATGGCTGTCTTCTGGGTTGTTGTGCCGTGTAGTCTGGCAGAAGTTTACCAACGTTTCAGAGATGCTCGCTCTGAAATGTCAGTAAACATCTACCAGACTACATGACACAAAAACCCAGAAGACAGCCATCTTCATTATGCAACTGATTGAATTAACAAATATATCATCAAAATATAACATCAAAGGATAAAAAATGTGTATTTGAGGTTCTATCATTACATATATTATACATCAATATATTAACTACATTTGGAGATATGTTAACAACCAGTCTTTTTGTATCCTATTTCAAAACCATACCTAGTAGAATTTCAGAACAAAAGAAAATTATAACCAAGTTACATTCATCCATACTGTTAGGTGTTTCGGAGATGTAATTTTTCCATATGATATATATACATATATATCATTACCTGAAATCTGTTTATCTGGTAATGGTGGAATGGGAATTAAACTAAATTTCTCTTCTAGCCTCTCATGTAACCAGTCAAAGTGTTTGTATCTTCTTGAAACTTGAATGTTATTAAACTGCAATAAAAGTACAATGTTAAAGATGAATTAACCAGGTTTATTTTGATCCAAGTCAATTTGCAATTGGAAACATGTAATTTAAACTTACGAGCAAATAGTTCAAGACAAGAAACTGTCAAAAACTGTGTAACTCAAAAGGCTTATTATTTTACTTCTTAAATGTTCACTCAACCAAAATGTGATGCTTAATGCATCATAACAAGTTAAGAAAACTGCATGTTCTTTTTTAAAACAAAAGTTCTCAATGATTTTATGTCAAATTTTCAGTTTATTTTGTTAGTAGTTATGTCATAATGAATTACATAAGTTTCATTACAAAGTTTTGCAATTTAACTATATTTTAGTTACTGATCCAAGTACTTCTGGGAAAAAAAATTAAAAATTCAAGTTTGTTTCCATTCTGCATACTGACTTTTTAATTATTTCAAAGTGCATGTCAGCATGCATCCACACATGAGCGCACATACGTACAGACACGTGCACATGCACTTGTGCACTCACATACACCAAACTGTTACTCATTTGTATTTTTATGTTTGACCCCATAACATATCCTTTTCTACAATTTCAGAACTGTTGGACTGAAATCTTCTATTCAAATTTATTCAAAATAATAATTTTAGTAGTGTGGCAGGTAAAATTAAGCAATTTTCACATCTAACATACTGAACTAAAATTCTAAACAGTACTTCAGGCCCTAAAAATATACTCAGGTAAGTCATACATGTATTAGTAGTGTTCCTGAATTATTCATATCTCATTTTTAACTGTAGTAACACTACAAAACTAGCAGTCAGTATTGCCTTTTAAAATACACGTACATATAAAACAATGATTCTCTCTCTACACATATTAGCTTAACCCTTTTGCTGTGCATTATTTTCTCAATGCTTTCCGAAAAGAATGAAATTTTAATGTAAAAATCTAAACTCTTTGAATGGGTTAGACTACAATGTGCATACATAAATAAAAATAATATAAATACCAGTACTCAATATTATATTTATAAAACAATTTTACAATTTTTTAACTGGTTAAATATGAGAAATGTTGCCATAAGTGTCAAAATCATGATGAAAAATAACACTTTCAATAGTGCAGCAGCCACTAATATTTATGTACAAATTAAAATTCTTCAAACAAGATGGCAGTAGTATACAGAGGAACAAGAATGTGCTGTTATAGCTCAAGGAGTAAAACTGAATGTTGCAACAAATGGAGAAAATTATTCTTTAGTGTGCACTAAAGCTGAATTTCACAGTAACATGACAATAGGATTAAGCAGTATTTCAAGCAGTGGTTCCAACACACTGAAAACAGATCAATTAGTAATCACAAAGAAAGACGCAAAAGCTGCTCATTACATATATAAACCTTCACAGCTGTTTACTGCTGAACAAATGTAAAAAATAATCCAAGCTTTAATACTGCTTACAGATGGAGTTAGCTGGTAAGCTATAAAGCTTTTAAGACCCTTCAGCTTGGATTCTTTCTTTGGCGAAGCGACCATACACAAGTAGGGTTCGGTAATCGGGTTCCAGACAATCCCTTTTTCTGTTTCCTGTGTGCACATACACAAAGTCATTAAAACAAATGGATCAACTTTCCACAAAGCCACAAATAACTTTTAATTTGTGACACATACGCAGTAGGCTTTATTTGTAAAAGGCCTGCTCCTAATGTCATGGCAGTAATTAGCACTGTCATAGTGCACAGAATGAATGATGTCACGTTTTGACATGGTGCTGTCTGTACGTGACTCTTGCTATAATTTACTGCAGCTACTTATGGAAAAGAGAAATTAATTATTCACTGTAATTTATTAGTCTTTTTTTATATTTTAAGTAACTAAAATGAAAGTTTTGAGCCCTATACAAGGTGCACTTATAATGATGGTGTTAAAAGTAATTATGAATTGTGAGAAATAAAGACAGCCATCTTCAGACTCACCACCATGAAAACCTCAAATCCTATGTGAGAAAAGAATGTTCACAATCTTTTAACCCTTTGAAGCCAAAACTCATCTAAATAACATTTAAATATTTAGACCTTACCTCAAAGAAAACAACACATTTCCATTACAAAGATCAGGGTTGTTAATGCTGTTTAAGAAAACTATCATTGTTTATTCTGTGAATCGTACAATGCCCATCAATACATTCTATGGGCAAACCAACCAAAAAGTAGGGATAGTAATTATTATAGCAGGTGGTACATACATTTACCACTGGGCTTTAATGGTTTAAGGACTGAAACATCACACAAGCCTTTAGTCACGATATCATCTTCTTCAATTAGACTGATGGGATTTGTAAGTGTAAATCAGGTGTGTTGCCACTGTATGGTAAAACTGATATACAAATCATATTTTCTAATTTTAACAAGCATAACTACTATCTGATTATAAACAAGTCCTACTCACATAAATATAAACTTTGTCTTCTTCTCTGACTGAAACTTTTACTGTACCAAGAATGTAACTTTCTCCACCAGATTTAACAAATGTTGTAAACCGGTTGAAGTTTTTCCGACCAACAGTTCCTCTGCCATCAGGCTTGCCTATAAAAGTATTCATAATTACATTTCTCTTAACAATTTAAGCCAGTAATTACATAGCACATATTTATTTCACTGTGGTGAAAGTTGAAAGTATTTACATTATAAGTAACTATTAAATCATTAATTAATATTACAACACTTAATATAAAATTATTAACAGTGGAAATAATAAATTAAAAGAACGGAACTATTATTTTCACTTAAAAGCAGTTTTATAACTCCTCACCTATCACAAATTTCAAGTAACCACAGTTTTCCTGGTTTCACAAACCCAGTTTTTAACACTTCAAAACAATAGCTTCTACATCTAAATATCCCCATTTCCTAGAGGCAGGGATGTAACTGCATATGAAACCAGTCCCTAGCTTCCAGACTATCATTGTAGTACCTACATATTTTTGCGGTATTTTTATATTATTAGCGCAAACATTATTTTTAACTTTTTACATAGTATTACACACGTTCGTGTTTGATGAAGCAAACGGCAACTAACTTAGTTTGGCTTTAATTTCTCTGAAATGCTGGCATCTACTATCAAGACTACATAGTACCAAAACCTATACGAACAATATCATCACCCTCATTGTCATAAAAACATACCTTATGAGTCTACGCAATTTATATATACCTATAGAACTGATGTCACCAGAGCTGCCTGATTTTGGTATCACCTGTCCAGAAGTGTATGCTGAATTATTTGTCTGCATTGTCGATTGTGCTCCTCCACCTTCTGAGTCATCATCCCATTCATCGTCCCAATAATCGCCCCCATCATAGGACTGCCAAGGAAGAAAAGTAACGACACTTCAACAACTAATGAGAAAAGTAGTGATAATTTCAACTTGGTTATTAACAAATCCTTTTTTAATAAATACTGACAATCCTCAGCCTCTTATCCAACTGAGCCCAAGCACTAAAACCGACAATCTCGTTTACCAAACATCACAGTGCAGTTATCAGAATTTCCGCTTTATATTAAATTTTAACTCAAAAAACAGCTAGCAAAACTGAGGCACTTCATTGTTTTCCTCAGTCCCAATGGTTAAATGGGATAACATCTTAAAACCTACAATGACAGTTTCCTTCCAAATCCCTCCCAATTCATAATTCACATGACATTTGACTCTATATAACACACAGCTGAAGACTGACATTCAACGAAATTAAGACACAAATAAGAAAGTTTTATTAAGGACTTGACGCACCCAAAATAAAAACGTCGAGTTTGAGTTCACAATTAATTGGCCCCTAAGTCCTTCCACCATAACAGTACATTAACTTTCCTTCAAATACGAGGGGTTAGATGGGACTGTACCTCATTCATGTTATCATTTCCTCATTTACATTTGTTAGCTTACGAATCAATAATCTGAGAAACCCAGTGAACAGCTTTCCTGATTTTCTTCATGGTTTTACTTACTCACTCCCAGCAATTTTTAGAATAGTACCTTACATTAGGCCATAGCCAAATCATTCCATTTCATTATTCATTAATCATCCAATCATTTGATACTATACTCTGAGCTACCAATATTTTAAAATAAACTATGTAAAAATAAATAAATAGAGGTTGTCACACCTTCCCAGAATTTAATGGCCATTAAAGCCATTAAAAATATTCAGGAATTGCAATGCTCAAATATTAAAACAGGTTTACATGCCACGTCCTAAAAAACTATGAATTACAGAGATGTTCTTTTATTAAATATGCAAGTGTGGGAATGCATTATATCACAGTCTGTGAAAAAAATATACCTGTTGAGAATTTAATTGTTGCTGCTGCTGTTGATCACCCTGGCTGCCCCACGCTTCATGTTCTGTACTCCTTTCTTGAGCAGGATCTGTAAATGCTTCTGGGAGAGGCGGTGGAGGCATTGCAGGTGGCTGGCTTCCTTTAACTTCCTATGAAAGGTATTGTCCAGTGGACATCAAACAAAAATCTCTTTCACAGTAAACACAACAAACTTTAATTATCCATTATTAATTTAAATTTTCACTTAAACAGAAGACAACATATTAGATGCAAATTCTGGAAGAAAGTCTAAAATTTAGATGTGTAATTTCAAGAAGAAGTGAATAGATTTGCAAGAATCATTCCATACGAAATATTTCTTTCAAGATGATTCATTCATTCATCCATCCATCCATCCATCCATCCATCCATCCACCCATTTGCTGAAAAATACAGTCACTATGAATTTACCGAACAATAAACAAATAAACCAACAACGTAAAATATTTCATAACTCTGCAGTCACCTGTTATACCATGCTGTTTTATATTATGAAAAGTAAGTATATTTATAAACACAAGGGAAAGAAATCTGATGAACAATGAAACTATTAAATAATTTAAACACTTTTGAGTTATGGTCCCACATTAATTTACCGGTAGAGACCAGCATTTTGTTTGTACCCACCTACAAGTACACACAAACAGCCAAACTATTTGTTTTGTTAATCTAGTTCTATTACTACTATGAAAGCAACACTGACAAAATTAAAATTCCTAAGTTTTCAACCAAAAATTCTGAAACAACATCTGAGAATGTTTTTTCATTAATTTTCATAGAGATCTGAGATGATTATACATGCAACAATAATCATAAGCCTTGAGGAAAAATACACAGAGATCGAGACTACAAGGTCAAAACATGGGATGGTTCAGTTTTTAGATTATTTAGTAACTCTGTGTGAATGATTGTGTAATGCAGTATCAAACAATGGATCTCAGAATAAAGAATTGGACTGTGACCTATTTTAACATACCACCACAGCACTTTACCTGGCATGACCTATTAAAACAGAAAAGAGCAATTACTTTAGCTGGCAACAAGCAGAAAATATATACAGATTAAAAGTATGACAATTGGATGGGCATGAGGTAATAAAACCCAGAAGTCTCTTTCATAATTCCAAGGACAGTGTTTTCAATGTCAGGTAGCACCAGTCAAATGCTGAGATAACATTTCCTAAATGACTCATCCCCCATACTATTAATATCATCACATTATTTTGTATGTGATATTATGTAACTTCTACAGCTGATAAGATATCACAAAAATAAAAAAAAATCAATGGCAGTGCCCACAACTGATTCCAATAATTACAAAAGAATGTACTTTCACTCATGATTTATTTAATGATTCTGATGATCAAATCACTGAGGGTGAAATGGGTGGAGCATACATTGCACATGAGGGAGATGAGAAATGCATACAAAATTTTGGTTGGAAAGTTTGCTGGGAACAGACTACTTGGAGGAGTTAGGAACAGATGAGAAGATAATATTAAAATGGATGTTAAGAAAATAGGCTTGGAGGGTGTAAACTGAATTTGTCTGGCTCAGGACAGGGACTGGTGGTCACCTTCCTGAGTGTAGTCAGTTCATAGTTGGTAGTTGATGGTGGAACAGAAGCAAAGAGTGTGGAAGAGTGGAGTCTTTTGTGGGGTTTCTGGCGTAAGAGTGTGAAAAGAGTGCAGAGCCATCGAGCGGTCTGATGTGGCACTGAGCGAAGAGTGAAGATCGGCCGCATGTGAGAAGCACCAGGTTTGTGGACCGTGGCAGCTGAGGAGCCAGCGTGTGTCCAGTGGGGGGCTACAGGCCGACGTGTATGTGTATGTGTGTGTGTGTGTGTGTGAAGAGCGCCAAGCTTGGGGACCAGAATGGCTCGAAGGACATTGCGAGTGATCTGAAGCGTGTGTGTGTCAAGTGTAGTGATAGAGACCCAGACACTGTAGTAGGAGAGATTTGCCTATATGTGTAGACTCTGTAAACTGATTTATTACAAATAAATCAGGGTTAACATAGTGCCCATAGCAATAGTATTTTTGTTAAAATACTTGTGTTACTGAATAACAAGTACAAAGGCAAACACAGTATTATACTGGGATACTGGGAACGACCCGTTCTTCAAGTGGCTGAGCACTGCGGGTCCCAACTTTTCGTTGGCTGGATCTATAGACATTCAGTAGGACTCCTTGGACGAGGGATTGGCCCATCTCAAGGCCTCTACCTGTACACAGGACAGCACAACACAGAAACACGCAAACATCCATGGCTTGAGTAGGATTCGAACCCACAGTCCCAGAGACCAAGCGGCACAAGGCCCAAGCCTCAGACCGCGTGGCCACTGTGGACCCACTAATATTATGGTTTCCATTAAACTTATCTAACCATGTACCAGACTGTACTCTCTAAGGAGTGAGTGGGTTACTGGATAGGGAACTTAAGTATTCTAGATCTCTTAACCTTAAAGAAAATATTGTAATTTTCTGACAACAGTCATGCCTATAAGTCTACAGTTGGTAATTTACATATGACAATATTACAAACCAGCCTGTTCTTGTTCTGTAATAAATCACACAGCAGACATTGGTTTTTTCTCTTAAGGCCACTCCAGAGCCACTCTGACATATTGGAGTGTTTTACATTATAACTAATCTGAAAGGATAACAATCAATGTTTTTAGCAGACTCTAGTAAATGGTAACATGACACATAACCTCACCTCCACATATGCAGCAGGAAAGAGACCTGTTTGCCCTGCCTGATTAACACCTTCCCACCATCCTTCTCCAACATTTTGTCGTGTTACAGTGAGGACCTCCCCTGCTGTGATTGACAATTCTGCAGTTCCAGGTTCCCCCGCAAAATCGTACAGTGCTTGTACCTGAAATATCCAAAAATTAACACTTAACAATTGACATGGAACGTTTACAGGTGGCAACTAATAAACACACAATTTACGAAATAATTTAAAGCAATTTTATTGCCAATTTAAACAAATATCATGTCCAGAAGGCTACGCCTACGTGTCAATAAACGTATTGCAAACTTCCAAAAGAAATAAATTTCGATACATAACCAAAAATATTATACGTCTTCAGACAACATTCATGTAAATAAAATCCAAAGTTGTACTACAGTATGAATAAAATTTCTGAATGAATGACAGCACGAATTATTAACTCACCCGAACAACCGCCATTTTGACATTTGACACTTGACTGTTGATACTGACATCACCGATAAACGGAGGTATGTTCATCACAGGCATTCAACACATAGATAATCCAACTGAAAAGGCTCGAGTCACAAACGAACGCTACCAAATGTCATAAAGAAAGTGCCTTTAATTTTCAATGATAATCAGAGCAAAGTCATCAAATTTCAGGATTTATGTAAAGAATACACATTTCATAATGATCAACTTTCTTTACTCCTAATTCTGTAATAACGTCGTAGATTTCTTACTGATATTTACTTTAAATCCCTTATTTGTACAAAACATACCTTTTCATAAAGGAGCATGAAAATATATTTATTACAGCCAATTTTCACAAGGACCTTACCACACATGCTGCCTGTTACAACGTTCATGGGGGGGACGGGGGTCAATCAACACCAAATACCAGGTCTTGCAAGTGAATTCACATTTCGTTTCCTCCCTTCAAAAATGCTGGCATTCCTTGTTTAACCAATGAATGTACAATTTTTCAAAACATCCTTATTTCTCATTTTCTATGTTTCTCATAAAAGTGTTGTAGGGCATGTCCTCAAAAATCTCAGCAATTAGAAGTTTGTTATAGAAACTAACCTTTGTAGTTGACTTCGTACTTTTACAGATGAAAATAATATAAAGTAGCAATTAAATTACATCTTGACATTTCTGTATAAAATTGAAACTGAGATGTTGCAACTGATTTTGTGGAAGTGAAAGAACTAAAGGTGCCTGGCACAGAATAATATTACAGATAATATAAATGATTTATTAATATCAGTCTTGACATCATGTTAAACATATAAACCCAATTTTTACAAATAACAATAAGGTACACCATGCCTATTAAGCTACATGAGACTAACACACATATATTCTACAGAATTATTAATTCTTGGTTAAACATATTTTATTCAACTTATCAGTAGCTGCTCACAATAAAACAGTTTCATAATTGACAAATTACAACCGCACTTATAAAACAATCAATGTGATAAATATTCAAACAAAGTTTATACAACATTAAAAAACTTACACCTACATATTAGATGATCTATCTTAACCAGGTCTTGGTTCCAAATATTCAATGTTCACTTTAATCAGTCATTCTTGGTGGGCTTATCTCATTTGTCTGTCAGTCCACAGGTCTCTATTAATCATGTTCACTAGTCAGTCAATGGGTCCTTTATCAGTTTTTGTTCCTGGGCCTGCCTTGTTTGGCAGAGTCTCTACCAGTCTTCATTCACAGACTAGTTCTAGGTGACATGTTCTAAACTGTCATGGCTCCGAGTAATGGTAGCTCAATGGTAGTGGTGACCACATTCTAGATGTAAAAGAGATTTTTAATACAAATATACAATTTAAAAAATTACTATAAAACCTTATTACTTATATATTTATAATTTTTATAACTTTATTGGCTGTTAATATTTAATTTATAAGTCAGATATCTTTATTTTCAATCAATTATTTCTAAGGACTAATTCACCATGTTGAGGAAAAATTATGTGAAACTAGCTAAAAATTATATGAAAAGCTTGACTTTATATTCAACATTCAACAGAGATGCTAACTGCATGAACATGTAAGTTTAAATTGTAAATTAGTTTGCAGATAAGAAAAATGCCATAGAATTAAATAGTACGCAATTCAAAAACCTGATGATTGGATACAAGTCATCAAACCTCCAAACAGTGCACCATAAACTATTTTCTGTTACCTTAATTTGGAACCATCAAATTAAGGTTAGCTTCTCGAGCAACTGACCCCATGAACATTTCTTCATCACCTCTCAAAGACAGAGATTCAACAAGAAGATTTTGTTTTGTGTCCTGTAAAAAACAAGATATGATAAACTCATACACTTGGCTTGACACACAGCTGATTTATTTTCTGCCATCGCTTATTTTTGTTCAGAGCCACAAAGAATATAAATAAAAATAAAATAATGAAGAATTAAGCCTCTGAATTCCAACACTCACATAAATAGCATTTAAAAATTCAATTCCTATCACCTCAAAAAAAAGTTCCATTACAAAGACAAATGGTTAATGCTATCTCTTAATCTAAGAATCATACAAAATCTATAAATGCTCTCTGTGATCAAAGTAAAGAGTTATTAAATGTTAAAGGAGGTGGTACAAACAGTTACCACTGTGCTTTAAAGAGTTAGTGAATTTACTGGACTGAACAATAAATAACATCATGGCAATCATAATTCTCACCAATTCTCATTTTAAAATATACATTTCTGAGGCACGATGTAGTTCACAGGACACTATATAGTTTCTCCCACTTATACAGTTTAAAATTACTGGTTACCACTAAACACTCAGTGTCTGGAAGCAACAGAACTGAATCATGTAATAAATCAAGAAAAATATGTGGCAATAACAAAATGCAATTTATATCTAGACTAGAGCATAACTATAATGTTTCTTGCCTTCAACATTGGAGCTCTTTCCCACCGTGACCTGCCACAGTTTTTGCACACTTGAAGTGGCACAAGATCAAGTGTCATGGTTCTGTTACTGCAATGTCCACACTTGAAGAATCTCTTAAATGTATTCACAGATCTGAGTGTGTGTGATTCTGACTTACACAACTCAGAGGGACCAAAGGCTATATAATTGCACTAGAAATAAAAATAAAAATACTTGAGACACAAAGCAACTTTAAACACAAATAAGAAAGGGAAAGAACACTAATAATAAGTACTACGCAGTTCATTTGTTAGTCGTTACTTAGTATATGTTACCAGAAATACCTAGTCTGTCCTAGGCAAAACTAGAATACCTAATGCAACCTAACCTAACCACATTTCTAATATCAACAAGAGTTTTTAGTTTTTCCTAGGAAAACTACTATAGTCAGATTTTGCATATTACCAGTAACATACACATATTTTCCTGTAAGTTAAAGTTCTTAATCTTGTTTCAAGGATATTGCAGTTGGAAGTGATCTTTTAAATAAATATATAAATAAAAATGTATATTACAGGTAACATTAGGTAAGCACTTCCATATCAACATTTTTCAAAGTCTACCAAAGTTTAAGAGTGTGCAGGGATGACATCTGCTAACGAGTTCATGTTGCACACATTATACTGAACATCTAAAAATAAAGATAGTAACTACATCGATATAAATGAAAAGATAAACTGTTAAATTCTTACTTTTGCACACTGTATTGCCTTGCAAGGAACTTTGTATGTCTCCATCATCTTTAGTTCCAATTGCTCCTTCTTCTCAAGTTTCTCAAAGTACTGATCCTGAACCAGTTCATCATTGGCCTGAAGAAGGTGCGTGTGTTTTGAAGTAGCCTTCATTAATTCCTGGAACTTCGAAGAGCTGAAAACATCCTTTAATAATTTAGGAGTTGACTCTCCTGTGTTTTGTGGAAGTCCTGGTCTGCTGTCTGAACCTGCCATAAAAAACATACCATATCTAATTCAATAAATTTTAGGTTGATAATCATCATCACTGCAGAAGCTTGACATTGAACCCAATCCTATGTCAGTTAAGATTATCACAACCTGCATCCTCATAATTCACTTTAGTATTATCAAGTTATCTAGGTGTTGGTATTAGGTGATCCACAAACTAAATAACAGCTGCCATGTTTAAAACATAATTTCCCCTGTCTGTTTTCAAATTCCAGAGTGAAAACCATGACAGATTTTTTTTGTAAATTTGTCTCAATGATACCAGCACACAACATTTCAATCATTAAGAATTTTTCTGTAGCAAATCCCCTGAAATATTTCATATACTGCAAAGGGATTTATGTACCGAGTCTGGAAATCACTGGTATATACAAAATAATGTAATTCCATTTGCACTTACCTTGATATCCTGAAGACAAGGCACCTACCACTCCTGTTCCACAGGTCTTTTCAATTTTCCTCTTTTTACCAATACTTTTGTCACCTCTTACACCATTTGGGTCCGACTTCTTCAAACGTCCATGGAGTTCGATCCACTTCTTGGCATTAATCTGGCAGTATTAAGATAAAAAGATTCAAGGTAAAATAAGGGGCAGAAAACCTTCTTTTAGATTCAAATATCATTAAAAACTATGGGACACAATTGGTGGGTGCAGTTATCATTTATTTTAAAATTATGAATCATACTACAAAATAAAAATAAATTTCCTTACCTTGGCCTGCTCCCTTTCCACTTTACTTGCAGGTACACTCAAATCAATATGACTGCCAGAAGTGGCAGAAATTTTTGGCACCTCTAACTTCAGAGGCTTTAGACTTGTTCCATCACCTGGCATGGCACTAAAATAAGCGAAGCTTTAAATCAGAGGACAGAACTGTCTTAAATAAATGTCTAGGTAATTTAATTTCTTTTACCATGATATTCAAATTGTTGAAAAACTACTGCAACAGATCCATTTCAAATAACTTAAGAAATAATGTAACAACAACCTGTCCTGTACAAGGGAGCACATGGGATATACATAAAGGTAGACGTATTGTAGATGTCGGCACGCCTACAAAAAAGAGTAATAAGCCTCATATTCTGGCTGCTTTAACCCTGAGGAAAAGAGTCCCTGCTAACCACTTAACAGGAGATCATGTGGACCCAAGAAATAAGTTGGATGTGGTGACAAAAAGAATCACTGCTGTTGCCAGGAATTGAATCCTGGTAAAACCAGACCACAGCCATTTATTTTACTATCTCAGCTAACAAAGTGTTAAATTAAAATTGAGAAAATCTGAAACTGCAGTATGGACTGCAGCAATGTAAGGTAAATTCTTAGAAATAGTGTAGCAACTCTTATATCTAGATGTGGCAATGTTACTTTGGAAATTGTACATTTTTATTACTAACTTACAACTTCTTTAGTTGTTCTGTTGTGGAAATCAAGTTCTTCACTTTCTCTGAATTTGCTTCTACTTTCATAACAGGCAGAGATTTTGTTTCAGATATACTCTGAACATCATATTTTGGGCTTCCCTGTGTTGAACAGGGTGCTTCACTTCCTTGCTTTAACTTTAGTAACCTCTCAGCATCACACTGTTCTTGGGTTGGGGGTTTCTGACTGTGCGGTAACACCATTCCACCAAAACGTGTTGGAGGTATGCTCCCGCCACTTGTTCTATTCAATGACAAGCACTTTAGCCGTTGCTCATCCTTTTGGTGCTGCTTCACATTACGTTTTGCTGGTACTGCTGTAAAACTCTTTCCTGCATAAAACACCTTAAAAAGAATAATTCTTCAGTTCTAATAAACAGTTCTAACATGGACTAATGTAAAACAGTTAATACCTTCAAGGTCATTTTAACTGGTATCAAGAATGGTGAACTATTATTGCTGCTCTGACGTATATCATAAACTTATCTGACAGGACAGTGCAGATGTAATGTTTCACTCATGCATTTGTACAACTAACATCAGTGTAGGATCCACAAGATACCCCCAAGAAGCTTGTATGTGCTAGATTCTAAATACCATAGTTCAAAACTATTAGTCTGTCTTAAATGAATCATGAGACAAAACCACTTTGCTGTGTAACAAGATTATAGCAATACAACAAATTCTCAAAACACACAAACTATAAACATAATCCCCACACAATGAAAGTCCAACAATTTGGGGTCTCTGACTTTGCTACATGGAAGTTTTATTGTAACAGACATGTTCACACAGCAAGCTGATAGAGAATTTAATATATAAAACGTTTCTTAAAACTGGACATTTTAACACAGAAACTCACCTCATTCTTTCCCAACACCTTATTCCGAATATTAACGAGGCCACTTCTTCCAGGAGAGTTCAACTCTGTTCTCTTTGAACACTTTTGATACTCCTGCTTCAAGTGGTACACACAGAATTCACATGTGTTCTTATTTACAAAGACTGTGCAGCGACCACCATTTTTCTTCCTGCAAATTAATGACCTAATACTAATAGCTTGTGCCACATGTGTTTACGTTCCATACAAGACATCTGGACACAAGACCTATAGGCTAGTAAGCTTCTCCAAACCCAAGCAGGGTCACACAGGATAATCTTACAAGTAGAAGTACAATACACAAACATCATTGTATTTTATATATACACAAATTTATGCAAGAAACATGATTCACACAATAATATACCTCACCAAAGGTATCAAATAATACAGTATTTATAAAATTATATTTGTACCGAAAAAAATAACATGCATTGCAGCAAGTTGTAATTTGATATGGTGTTAGTAAAATTATATTTCCTGGCCAACGAGTAAGTCCAAGATGTTAATAATGGAAAATATAAGAGAGTGCTGCAAACCCCTCTCTTCGTTCTAGATAAAAATGGAGACACTTGCTATGAAAGAGAAATAAAATAAATGGGAAATATTTTATTCACTTCATGCATACACCCACTAACATTGGGATTCAGAACATGCTTCTGTTTATGATTTAACACTTTCTAGATATTTTACTGCCCAAGGCTAACAACTTTTTCTAGGAGCTTCAACATAAGAATAATAAGCATAGTACTGAAACACACAAAATAAAACAGTTCAGAAAAAAGTACTTATCACAGCATTTGTTCAAAGACACACATAATTCATCTTTAATGTAAATATTCTTCAGAAGGATTTGTGGCTCCTGACCTTATAAATGATTCCTTCATTTCTACGTTATATGGTCATACTTAACTTATAGTACTGCTTTAAAATTCCAATTTAATATTTCACGATGAGACAATGAAAATGAACACAATGAGGAAATCCTTCAAGAGTATATTCAATACCCAGACAAATAACTTAGAACCATGGCCGATTCAGGTCCTTACTGTGACGAGTATGAAAATGGCTGTTTTCTGGGATGTTGTTTCACGTAGTCTGGTAGACAGTGGCTGGCATTTCAGCAGAGTCTACTGCCTCCATCATAGAGGCAGTAACTTCGTCTGACATGACAGTCAACACCCCAGAAGACAACCAACTTCAACACTGAATTACATAAACTGAAAACTTGAGTTGCATTGAACCAGAATTCCAATGTCTGAAATGTCATCTGAAGTGTGCATATTGATATAAAAATACTTGTAATTAACTCACATGGCTTTACAAATTCCCAAGTCCTTTGAAGTGCCCAAGATTAAAACTCTCTGAGCATTATCCACAGAAAGTGCTGCTTCATCCCCACTGTTTGACCTGTCAAATAAAAGAACACTTTCTATTATTTTCACTAACATATTTTTGACTATTTAATACAAAAGTTAAAATTGGCATAATTAAATCACCATCAGAGGTACAGTTAGATGTCAAAATTAATTCCTGCATCTTAAAAGTAGTTAATGATGCATACTCCTCATCACATAAAAGTCATAGTATTTTAAGACTCATTATTTTGAGTGGTACAGCAACACATGAACAACACACTAAAGAAAGAAAAAAAGCATCCCTGCTGCTTGTTAAGAACTGAATATCATCCTGTTTCCAAATATGGAGGACATCAGTAAAAAATTGAAAAAACTTGTTGACGACACAGACCGTCCAGCTGCAATTTATCTGTGTGGCAGTCAACGTAGGTGAAATTTCTCGACAAGGAATAACAAATTTGAAACCAGTCTTACCTTGTCTGTTTTGTATTTATACAGGAAAAAAACAAGTTTATTTTCTGTATCAAATTAGTGTTCATTTACAGTTTTATTAAAGTCTGATGCATCAATTAATAATGTTATGGTGTTGTGAAATATGCCAGGACGATTATGAATGGTATTCTGGGAAAGATATGAAAGTGACTACTATGTAAAACCATGAAATGGTCTCCAGGATGATACTCAAACCAGGACCTTTCAAATAAGATGCAGGAGCACCAACTATTACATTAGAGTGTTCACTGTGTTATAAACCTGTTTTCCAAAATGTTAGGATTCAGTACAGCTATGACTCTCCCTTCACTGGTCTTCCACAGTTCATTTGCTGCAGCTCTGAACAAGAATAATGAGAATGTCTTGAGGTCCTGCTTAAGATCACTCAATTTCCAGATGTAGTATTGTGAACCCTGTAAAAATGAACTGCTTTTAAATGTTCATGAGGTACAAGCATTTCACATCAAAATGGCATGGGTAATGGTCAACCATAGAATTACCATAGTACATATTTTCAACTATAATACATTTTTGCAGTTGACTTATAATTCACTTTTTTTAGATTTTAGTTTTTGAATAAAAACAATTTGAGTTCTGGAACAATGGGGATTATGACAGAAACATCCAATACAAATATTTACTGTAACACATTATATTACTCTGTACTTCTGCAAATTCTATTAATAATACCAATGCAGCTTCTCCACACTAGAGAATATTCATTCACACATTGTTACATACTGTTAGGAAAAGTAAAATAAAGTATTTTCTTATTGAATAAACTGTAGCCAACAACACTTTTTGGACATAATTCATACTCAATAATGAAATCTGAGATTTTAGGTTCTTATAGAGCCAATGTCAAGACCTGACCTAATCCTTATGGGGAAAAAAAATCTGGATGCATGTTCTAGAAATAATTTGACTATATTTTCCAGTATTTAACACCAGTAACATATGCTTACAAGTCAAAAATGCTTAAATCCTCCCTTCTATATTTCTCTTATCTGAGATGGAAGACATATATTTCTTTGAAACATTGATACGTGTCTACAAGACCAAAGCATCACAACTCAGAAGACTGCAATCATTACCATCTCTGCCATAAGAACCTTATATCTGAGGTACACTCTGTTTACTCATAAATCACAACCTTGAAGTTTACACAGTGTTTCATTTAAGTAGATAAAATCTAGCACCCTCAAACAGATCACTTCAAAAGCCAACACTATTTCTGTGCAACACCTTCTGGCAACTTGAAGGCTCATTTATTCTAGAGCATTAGCCACAGGGTTAAACAATTTAAACTACATACTTTCTGAGATGTTTTCAGGCATGATTTCTGGATTACAACTCCAGCAATGACCCAGTCTGACGACACTTTTCCAGTAGCTACATGGTGTTTCAATCTTGCTAATGGCACAGCTGCACGATCCTGCATCTTTTCTTTCAGTAATGTTGAAGACACCAAACGGTTTCTGTGAGAAATGGAAAAGCCCATTAATGAACCCTGATTCAATCCAAATTACATCTTCACAATCAAGTTTCTGATGATCAATATTAATGTTATCCTCCCACGTATGCCTTTGTTTACCAAGTGGTAATTTTAAAGATGTTTCATGCCAGATTTCACTTTCCTATTTCAAGAACATAGCCATCCCATGTTAACCATAATAGTCAAATTTAAAACTTTTTAATATGTAATTCCATATTATTCTTATAGTATATACTTAGTATGTAAAGATAAGAATACTTAACTGTGCACAGAAATTTAAAGCAGAAGAGGTCAAGGAATTCACTCTGGTGTTCATAAACAGGAAACTAGGAAGTAATGTTATTTTGCATCCATCACACAAATTAATTCTTGAATCATGGCCTGATGACAATGCAATGTAACATGTCCAAAAATTACTATCAAAAAGCCAGACTGATGATGTTTCTCAGAGCTGTGTCACTGTGCAGACTTGCTGTGAGTCTACAGTGTCATGACCCCGAAAAACAAGTCATCCTCACAGCCCGAAGAACCTCAAATCTTACAAGCCAGATTGAAATCATGTAAAATTCTGATGTACCAATGACATATTCAGTACCATGACTGGATAATTATACTGTATTTACAACACTCAAACATGTTATGACAATGCTTTTACTTACATGATACGAATTCCAAACACTGAATCTGTATAAACATCTGATGCGGGCTGTGGTAATGTTTCAGTATGAAATGCAGAAGGCACATTAGTGGAGGCACTGCTCTTCTGCCTATATGAACTGTGATTCGCAGGCAACACATATTCCTTACATGGCTCCTGTTTCTCAACAAGCATCTTCTTAAGAATTTTGCCATAATCAGAATACTCATCATCTGAAGAATCAGTATCACCACTATGGACTACAGTTTCAGACTTTAACGACAATTGATCTTCCGTATCAATTTTAGCTGGTGAACTATGACCAAACATGAGTTGGTGTTCAAAACTGTTGACAGGGACAAGTAAATTATTCCCATCAACGGCGACATCTCCACTGGAGCTTGGAACTTCATCAAATTTCATACATGATTTCAGTATCTCCAATGCATCATCTTCACAATCCTGTTCACTTTTTGAGCACCCAGCATTAACACCTGGCATATTTTCTTTGATGGCAATCAAAATTAAAATGTTACGACAGGATGCACAAGCCTAATAACAAAGCAAATCGATCGAATCAATAAGGTATGGGTGAAAGGCTGTGGAACTAGAAAGGACTCTATTGTATGGGTCAAGATTCGGTTAGGAAAATAAGTTTGATATTGTTACTAGAAGTTTGGTACAACTGCTAGATCGGCAAAACATGATTACTATACGTACTACAATACCTCACGCTGTAAAATTACAATGAAACAAATTTCAACAACAATAAAAATCTTTTTCGTTTAACGATGACACTTCTTTACTTTCCCTGCATTAAGTCACTGGCGCCAAATGTGTCATCAGTGTAACCAAAGCAACGAGTACATGATTCCCCAACGAATTTCCCCCCACCGGGTATATTTTCCATACTAAATTTTTCACAGCTGCATAAAGTGCAACTCAACATCCATCCTCAACCCGAAATTTTTATATAAATTAATGTGCAGATAAACAAGATTTCCGTGGTGGTTAAAACTATAATATTAACAAGTAGAGGTTATGTCGATAATCTGTGCTTACAAGTGGTGGGAAAAAGTCTCTCACCAACGGACGACGGAAATTAAACTCAACTGGGCTCGACGTCATCACTGTCAGTTAGTAGGGGTTCTTTACACCTTTGCATAAGTGAAGGACGCCATATGGGCCAGTTCATGTTTGTCTGTCTAGTCTCATCATATTACAATGACCTCTTATCACACTTGCAACAATGATGTCTTATACCACTGTTGCATTAACTATCCCCCTGGTTGCTTTGCAAATTTCACCACCTGTGATGCAGCATAAACACCATAGGAATTTTGTTGTACTCCAAAGAGTACACCTTTCTTACTGTTAAACAATAGCTGAACCATAAAATTAAGAAGTCCAATCCTAAACGAATGAAAAACATTTTAAACACAATTTCTTGTCTATTTTTTAAGTAATTTCTTGTCCAAGACATAACAAATTCTTGAGTTCTTCTACGGTTATAAATACCTCATCTAAAATATTAGTGTGCCCACAACATTTAGCATTACAGATCAGCTTACTGATAATACAGAATACAGGGCAGCAAACAATAATAACTTGCAAAACAGACACTCAAAATTTCAAGCATCCTTAGATGAAATAAAATACTTTCCGTTTATGAACAAAAATCAGTTTAAGGCCTGTCACAAATTTAATATAAATATTCTGCATTTTATTGCACACTACAACCAAAAAATACTCTAGTTCATAAACATATTAAGAACTATATACTATTGTAATGCCTAATTAAATACTAGTTACTTTCTGCAGATATCACAGCCAAATACTTGGCATTGGCAAGCACTCCTAAACCATATTATAAGACATCCAAGGTCTGAATCACAGATGGAGTAATACAACATAAGCCATACCATTATTTCTCACTTCACACTCAAATCACCAATTGTGCTACATTATTTCTCTTTACAATCTTGGTCTAATTACAGGGAGATGCTGAAAATTATGGCTTTCAAAGGGTGATTACAGCTTAATGAAAATTATGAACAGCGGAGGCATGGCATTCTTCACATTTATGAATCTCAACATGGCACACATATTTGCAACTATAATTGATTCTGCCAATTTAAAACCTATGGACCTCACTCTTAGACTATCAGGTTCCCTGTTACAAAATTAAAAATAAATATGAAGTAGATAATATAAAATACAAGCATTGAATATAAATATGTACAGAGAGAATAAGTACAATTGTTACCCTTTTTATCATCATTAATCTGTCCCCTGCCAAATCCAAGAGACAGACATTCCCAGAATTATTAAATTCACTATCATAGCCATATTTCAGAACCTTCAAAATTTGCCAACAATGAAGTCTGTTCCACTATAATTTATAACTGAATAACACATTTACTGTATACAACACTGAAGTCAACATGTCATTGAAATGGGTCCTCAAATATTTGTAAAATTAGTAATGGTAAAGGTAGAGTTGTCCCAGTGCTTAATTAAGCCATGGAGATATACAGGGGAGTGGAGGTACAGCTCCATACATTCTTATCCTCAGTACTAAATGTGCGTGGGTGGTCAGCTACTGAGTAAGAGGCTGGGTGGGCACTAGAGCTGGTCTGGATGTGATGACAAAAATAATTACAGTGTTTTTGTCATAAAATACTGAGGTGCAGCTGGTGATTACACAGTGGGTTAATTGTTTAAAAACACAAGACAGACTTATTTCACACTATTACAATTGATTACTTCATGGACTGCTGTCTGCCACTACAGAAATCACAATCCTAATTATCTGGATATAAATGTTTTCTTCTACAGCATAATACAATTCTTCCAGATTTCCATAACTTGTTCACTCTTGCCAATCAGTTGGAACAGGCCATTTCCACTTGACAATCTACTACTGAACCAGCATATGCCACAGACGGTATTACGACTTGCAATCATTTTCAGAATAATCTATGCTAGCTGACATGTCTCTAGTGTGGTGTCAAGAGAACGTGCTGTTTGCTATCAAGCTGCTCACAAACTGTTTCATTAATTCCAAATATGTGTGTACTGGTTCACACATTTGTCTTACCTGTTCTCACACTTTAATTATGGCACGTGTAAATAGTAAAACATCCAGGGAAAGAATTACATTAAAACAGAAGGAATAAAATAATATGCCTACATAATATAAATCTATAAATAACTGGTATATTTTAAGAAAGCCCCCCCACCCCACCCCAAACTGCCCACACCTTCTGCTTTGCTCTCTATATATTTTTATTTACTTTAATTACTACATAAAGATTCTCCATAACAATCAGAACAAAGCTCTAAATAAAATCCCTCAGAAATACAAATTATGTTCAGCCACAAATGCAAATAACAAATGCATAACAAATTTTGGTCAGGAAACCTGAAGATGGGAGGATGATATTAAAATTGATCTTAAGGAAACTTGATGGAAGGATGTGGACCTGATACATGACTTAAGGATAGGTACTGTTGTACCCATTGTAAACAAAGTAATAAAACGTAAGATTTCAGATTCTCATAATGTGAAGCATGAAGGTAACTGTCTTCTGTTCTCTGAACTGAACTCTGTTCAATGGATTTCTGAAGTATGGAGCAACACACAAATTGTGGAAGACTGAAAAATGGGTTGTAAATGGAAAACAAATTAATTCCTCCACTAACAAAACTAATTACAAAAGAAGAACAAGAAGCAATTAAAGTTGTTGGCCCGCCCACATGTAGTTTACACACTTTATAAAAGAGAAACAAAAAAGATGAGGGAAAGTTTTTTCATAAATTATACATCAGCTACAAATCTGCACTACGAATTGAATAACTTGCCTATATCTAATGCAGAATTCAAGTCAGAACTCTTTTCCGAAGAGCTAAGGAAATATTCAGATATTGAAATGTACAGGCCTACACATAAACCTATAAGGCTTGCCACTAAAGTGTTTTTCTGGAAAATTATACAAGTGGCAATGCACAAGCCTGCATAAGTAAGATAACGTGTCATATTGACACGAAAATCACGACCATGCTGAAGTTCATCTGCAACAAAAAAATTATTATCAAATTAATGAATAATTTACAGGAGCTTAAGGACAAAAAATTACTTATATATTAATTTTAACATGGAGACATTTTATTGCCAATGCAAAAATTCAGAGGTAAAAGAAAAAGACATAGTCTCTCCCCTTTACAATAACAAACATCCCGACCTAGAGAGACCGGATATGTGGAATGGATAGTTACATTAAAAGTTTGTTGAAGAACAAAGTACTGTAGGCATAACTGAAGTACTTTCATGCACTTAAAGTTTCAAAGCAGCTTGAACTTCACTTCCTTTTTAGCAGACAGAGAAGATTATTCTTTTATAGGGACCAAATTCAACTTACACAGTATATGGCAATGTACAAACGCTCAACTACAGCAGAATGCTGCAGCAATAGGGTTAGATAAATGACTGACCTATACATAATTATTAAATAATTTTTGGCACTGTTTCAAATGTCGGATTATGTAGTACCAAATGATGTGTAAGATTATGTACAAGAAATTTTAAAGAATTATGCAGGAGATGGGAGTGGCCTACTAGAAGGTACCACTCAAACCAGCATTTATATGGAAGAACTGAAGAAATCTACTTAAATCCTCAGTCCAGTCTAAAAAATGTACTTTGGTTTTGAAGTTACCACAAGCATTTAACCTAAATAATTAGACTGTGAACAGAAGCATTTTATAATACACGGTTCATTAAAATGTGGAAGTCTGTAATACAAGCATTAATTTTGGCCTGTTATTTCTTATCTACACAGTATTCTGACTCTGAAAACAGGTACTTTGACACATATACGCACCCACACACACATTATCCTTCAGCGTGTACCCCTCAGCACATTTGTCACACATGTCTGGACCATCACTTTGACAGCTTTCACAAGCCCTGTCACACGCTGCAAAAAAAGAAAAACTTTTGATACTGCCATATGGTCATAATTCTATACAGGCAGATAAGATTTCTATTTCACAAGCATAATGTCAAAGAACTGTGCCATCAACATACAACTGAAGAGTGTCTGGAATATACTCTAGTTTTAAGTATTATGCATTAAAGTATAAAAAATCATAGCAGCAAACTTTACCTAAACAAGTATATGAACCATCGTTGTTCACACAGAATTCATTCGTCTTGCAGATGCTTGGAGTTATGAAGCACTCATTTACATCCAGACATCCCTTCTCTGCATCCATAAACCAGCCAGAACTGCACACAGAACATCCTGCAACATGTCAAAATAAACACAAAGGCTATGGATTTGAAGGTATGGGTGTAACTTCAGTTGAGGTACACGGGTGCTTTCTTTAAAGTACGACATCCATAAAGTCTCAGAACAAATAATTAAATTTTACATGTATTCTATGCATAGTTCCAATATTCTGTTGTAACACTACATGTATAGTGAGTTATGTGAGGCTTTGATTAGATGTTTTCTGCTGTGTGGTAGACATGAAGTTTCCACCCACTTTTCAAGATTGTATGTCAATAGAGCTGTCTGAATCTGAGTCTGCAGCTTAAACACCTGACAAAGAAGTATCACTGTCAGGCTCAATACAAATGTCTTCCATTTCACCATCATAACCGACAGAGTTACTTGTGTTAAAATAATCACAAAATAATAACAATACTTTGAAAATAATATGGCAATGACACACAATATGTATCAGAAGTACTTGCAAAAACCCACTGAATAAAGGTATGGAGATATTAGAATAAAGACAGTGAAGTAGAAAAGAAATCTACAGGAGCTGGTATTTGTCAGAAAACCACCAAACACTGGTTATACCTAGCAAGAAGTGCAAATTATTGCCAGAAAGTAAAGACATTGGGATAGTAATTCAAAACTGCAAACCACCAACTGCTGTGAATTAATTTTGAATAATAGAAAACATTCTGAGGAAAAATTTCACCATGAGTTAAATCTAGATAGTAACAAAAGTGGTTAAGGTAGTTTCTGATAAGATATCTCACAGATTAGTTTTCATTCCCTTTTCAAAATTACAGGAACGTGGACAAACAGAAATGGTTAAACACTACAAACCTTTAGGCCCAGCCTGAGAGCAGATTCCTTGACAAGAAGCATGACAAGGAGAACAGAGCAGTTTCTCCTCGTCTCGATATGACTCGTAATATGTGGAAGCACAAGAATCGCAGAACTCTCCTTCATATCCTGGGTCACAACTGCATTTACCATTTCCCTTTCTTGTTCCTGCGCCCTTGACAAATAAATACGTTTACATTAATAACAGCAATGGCAATCTCTCCTGGAGTTCTTTTAGCTTTGAAAGCATTCGGTGGACTATTTTCATAAAGAACAGTTAAGGACATAAATGCATTAGAAAATACTTGCATCCAAACAAGGAAAAAGAATTATATTTGGATACGTACACAATGGAAAAATCAAGCATAACAAGGAACTGTAGACATGGCTAAAATACTTAAAATTAAATGTATTCAGCCTTTTGACATGAAATATGTCAACACATCTTTTATACTATTTGGGTCTTTGTTGCTTATCTATTTGCATAGGTCCAGCCTCACCCAGATGCATGTTTTGATAAGGACAGAAACTGACAAGATCACTGGTAAATAATCTGTCCATACAGCAAGAGGTGATAGGTTCAGTTTTATATTGCCAGATTTTATTAAAGAAAATTTTGCTTTTAAATTAAAAGTATTTTAACTTGTAATTAATTCAGGCATACTGAGATAAAAATAAGCTAAGACTCTCAGTAAATTGTATAGCAATGAGGAATGTCAGCAGTAGACAAATATCTGGGAATAAATTATTGAAATCAATGAAAAAAGCAAACCTGCAAAGAACGCATCATGCAAATACATGTCCAAAGAATTGTAGGACACCATCTAATGCTTGTCAACAACACTTTTTCAATTACACTGATTACACAGTATTAAATGACAAAATAATCATGGATGATGAACTGGAATAGATGTGCAAGGAAGTGGTCACAAAACTACTTCAAGGTACCATTCCAGCATTTCTCCGAAGTGTCTGAGACAAATCAGAAACCTCAATCAGGACATCTGTTCTCTGGTTCACAATTTAAACCAAGAACCTCCCAAATACAAATCAGAAATGGTAATCACTTTATTGTGAAATTTGTTCCACTCTGGTTTATATCTGTATGAGCAATGCCATTTTCACAACTGGTTATAATAAAAATGTTCTGGCAAAGCCAAAGTTTGAGTTTCAGACCATAAAGTTCAATCAGCTTTCGAAATAAAAACCATGTACTATATTGCTCAACAGCAGGTATGCTGATGAAAAAGTGTTGTCTAGTTGTATGAAGCATTAGTATACTGATTGATGTATGTGAGATTTCAGGTTCTCACAGTGGCGAGTATGAAGATGGACATCTCCAGGGTTGTTGCACTGATTAGTCTGATAGAAGTTTACACATTGCCCTGATGATGATGGCTCCAAGCACCTCTGAAAAATCAGTAAACTTCTACCAAACTAAATAGTGCAACCATCCTGGAGGCCGCCATCTTTGCTGACGTTCAGCACATATAAAGCTAGTATATGTAACACAACAGTAGTGCTATGGTCAAAAGCCTACCTTACATTTGCCACTCTTGTTGCACACATTGTTTGGGAAACCGGGACATGGTTTGCAGTCAGCACCATAGTGATTATCTGGACAACAGTACTTTAACGTGTCAATGCAGAGGTATTTATACATATCTTCATCTTGTCTTTGAAACCACCATTCATCAATATACTGTTCTGTTTCTTCAGACAAAGAATGACACTGAAACAGTATAAAACCTTACTCAAGAATTTTTCTTTTGATAGGTATGCTTAATGTTACAATAACATCTGCTGAAACATGTTTACATCATACAATATATATTAATACATAATAAAGGCTTCTCCTAAATGTTTCATCAGCAACACTTCTTCTTTTTCTCAATAAATTTCCACATTATATGGGTTATTTACCACAAGCACCTAAACTTTATGTAGTGTCCTCTTAAAGGACGTGGAGAATAAGTAACAAATTAATAGAATTATTTCAGACAAATTGCAGTCAACAAACTGTCCAGACATAATAAATTCCAGTCAGTTTACAAGATGGTCAACATTAAACCTGAGACCATCAAGCTCTTTTTATTTCCTTACACAGAGAAATGGTATTCAAATGATTTATCCACTCTACCTATAAAAGTGGATGTTGAGGAAAGTAACAGAAAGTACAAATTATTGTACATCATCAGAGACGAAAGAGTATTTCAATGATAAAAAATCTCAATCAAGAATTTATAAATTTGCACCTTAAAAAATTTAACATTACTGTACTTCAAATATTTCCCTCAATATTTCCTTATAGATATAAATCTTAGTATCAAGCTTTAGAATACTATCCCAATTATTAAGCTCACTTGGTCCTTGCCCCTTTCCACATCGGCACAGAGTTTTTCTTGAATCTCTACAAGACGCACTTCACTACGAGAGTAGCTACCAAGACGTTCTTCCTCCCACGCTGCATCACCACCTTCAAACTTCCCACGGGCTGTTCTCTCCATTTCCTAAACACACAAATATCTTCAGTCAATCATAAATCCTCTTGTTAATTCCTTTCAATTCCACATTCGACTGCCAAGCTTACCTTCTTGAAGGAATCCACAAACACCCTGCAGGCTTGGCATGGAGGAAGTTTGACTGTATGAAGTGTTTTTTTAATTGCCTTTCTCTCTTGATTTGGATCATGTCCATATCCAACAATCACAAACGCAGTTAATAACAGAAGAAACATAATATATACAGCCATTGCACCACCTGTAAAAGACTTTAGACTTAAAGTATTGTATTTTATTGTACTGTACAGATAATTTTTGAGCTAGATCATCCTTGAGAGGCCAAAAGAAACTGAAAAACAGCATTGACATTGTGCTCGGCAAACTTTCTATTAATATGGCTGAGAGGGATGGAGAAGGTTGACAAAGGCCAACAATGTCACTGAAGCAGAATCCTCTTGCATTATATTTCTGTCCTTGTGTAACACATTTTCTCTCATCACCAATGTCATTTGTTTTGCTGACATTATACAAAAATATCATTGCAAAACTGTAACACAGATTAGTAGATTAAAATAAAAGTAAGACAAGCTAAAAAATTGTGTCGTATGAAGAAACCAGAACCAAGATTAGAGAATGTGTAAACCCTTATTTTTGCATTCCCTAGATCCCGTAAAGAATAGATTTTTGGAACAAAGATTACTCTGTCCTTGCGAATTTGACATTAGAAACCAAGCAATTAAAGTAAAGCTGGTGTGTGACAAATTATACTTATCCAATTTTCATTAACTGTCCACTGGACACCTTCTTTCACGAAACTGGACAGTTTGACGAATGCACTACTGCAGGGGTTGGAGTAGCCACAGATCATTGTAATATTAGGTTATGTAACAAACTTATACAAAATCCACGTTCTCGTTTCTGCTGTTTATAACTGTTAATCTGTTTCACATTGATATATAATATTCTTTGGCATTCACTCTTTTCACCAATATATATAGCAAATAACAAACTTTAATTTCACAGCATTAGGTGTGAAATCTAGCACACCATGCGGCTTTACGCCAAATTTCAAGCAAATTGTTCCCAGTGTAAATTTTCTAATCTCTTGGTCAACATTACTATTTCGTTAAGCCTTTACATTGTTGTAATTTGTCTGAAGCCAAGTTAAAAACGTAATCGTATATAACATGTATCTTACGTAAACTTACTGTAGTATTATTTGGAAGTAAAGTTTCATGCAGATTTACCTACAAAACAACCCCCCTAACCCGGAAACCATTCAGCAACATCCAATGATTTTTTTTAAAGTCAACTTGATGGGGGGACCTTAATTTGTTGTTTCACTATTATAGGTTATAGTAATCGATATCAGGTAACCAACACAAAGATCCGTTTCTGAAAAATTCTCTCACTTTCTTGTAACAGTAATGGTTACCAATGTTTCAAAGGTGCTAATGGCATGACCAATACGCCCTTCATTCCTGTCGTCGTAACAACCTGGTTATCTATGCCTGAAGTCCTATTTCAGTGGTTCATATTTGTTTGAAGTCCCTCTAGGAGAAGCATAATGCATACACAATAACTAATACAATTTATTTCCTATTCATACAGAGTTCATTGGCAACTACCTCAAACTCTTGTCAGTATATGATTTGTCAAATCTGACCTTCCAGTGAAAATGGCTAATAGCTGACACTCGTACTTTTAGTTTGATGGTTTGGAAACTTCGGTCATGAAGCGACGGAAACGACAATATGTGTACTTGCGGTTACATTAATAGTAAAACCGAATATTATTTTAATCTAATTTAAATAAATGGCCAGAGATAACTACCGAAATAAGTCAAGGCGGTGAGACTTTAAAATAGTCTAACCTTTCCGACATAGCATAAATAGATAGCTTTTGGTGTCTCGTATTGTGTTTGGGTGTCAATTTCAATTTTAGTACGAACTTATTTACCTAGTATACGTTTACTGTCTTGCTATTTTATATTACTATGTAGGTGGAGATGTTAGAATAAGTGAATTTCCAAGATTTCTCAAAAATCCGGCATGCATTAATTAACCAGGGTATCTTTAATAAAGGTTAGACCTTGTGCGAGACGAAAAACGCTGTAATAATCAGGGGCGAGGGGGTTCTAAACTATGACTTCTTATGGATCCAAAAAGAACCTAACATATGGGCCAAAATATGGTTACAATTTTTCCATTTAAAAGCTTCAACTTCACTTAAAATACTGCTCACTGTCTCTAGTGATTTGATATTAGAAGCACCGAAACAGAATAGGCTCTCTGCCATGCCATTCGAAGATCATCGTTATCGGAAATAACGCAATCCCATCTCTTTTGTCATACATTTTACGTGGAAGATATCGGAGTAGTATGTTAAATGTGTGTGAGTAGGTATAGGAAGGTTTGAGGAGCTATTATTTGCACTATTGTGATGCATAATGTGTGGCGTATGGCTTTTCCTGCCTCCCTCCAACGGCTGTTCTTTGGCCCATTAGTTCCCCTTACACCCATTAAACAGGAAGCTGAAACATTGTGATTCGTTGAATAATTATACAATCATGTTTGGAGGGTTGAATTACCTCGTTATCAAATCGGGTAAAAATCACACTTATGTTATCAAAAGTGTTTTCTTAAGCAGATTATGAAAAATTGAAAATTTGGCACCTTTTTAAAACAAACTTTATGCTATAAAATATGTTCTTTCTCAAAGCATGAATAATACACCATTTTTGTCAAATGTGTTATGTGCGCTGAAAACTAAACACAGTTCTTTTTGGTGCATTGAAGACAGACAGGTTCCTATTACATTACAAAGTTGACTTTGTAAAAAGTGTGAAAATTGCACTCCTTGATAAGGTCATACCGTCTGATCAAAGAAATCTTTTGTGAAGTGGGTTAAGGTGCTAATACTGTTTTAAAGGTGTAACAATCATATCCAGGGCTCAACAAATCCCAGGTGTTAAGTTGCCACAGTGTCTTGTATTTAATTATGGCGTGTAATATTCTGTAGAGTATTATTATAACATTTAAAAATATGAATTTGATATGTTCTAAAGTAGGAGCTGCAGGTTCCAATCGCAGCCTGCATCTTCAGCTGATGACAGAAGTGCAGGCCTTTTCCTAATTTCTAATGTGCCTAGTTTGTGAATAAGCAGTGGGTAAAATTGACTTCAGTTCATTGGATCCTTCATGTTATATTAAAGAGACCATTTAACCTGATGTTTCTCTAGTATGTCCTCACTTATTGAATGCTAAATAAATGCTGTAGTAAATTATCAGCACAAGAGATATCACAACAAATGATAAGATATACAAGAATGAAAGTTGAAAACATTAAGAACTCTGTATGTATTCATGAGCAGTACTCAGGTCTTAGAAACTGAATTACTCAAAACCTAAGATAAACAATTTAACACATTGAGGTATTGAATTATAGTATTATTTTTGCAGAGAATTCAGTTTTTTTTTTATCATTTTAAGAATGTCTAGAAAAGTGCTGGGTCTGAGCAATACAGTGAAAGTTTGAACCTCTATGTATACATTTAATTTCAAAATCGATTTATTTTATTCATTATGCTACATTTATTTTTGTGAATCAAATCTGTAAATGATCTGTACATTTTAATTTTAATATCAATATTCGTTTTAAGTTTATTTACATTAAATGAATAGAATGAGAAATTTTATCAATTCCCATGAAATAATTGTAGCTAAGACCTTAAATGAAATATAATCTATTAAGTATAATGTGTCAGGTTGTGTTGCATGTAAGGCACTTTGAGGTACACAGAGTAAACAAGTGAATATGAAAGGCTGCAAGGTTTCAGATGCAAACCGCAATCGTACAGTTGGTGTCGCATGCCAGACATTGGATGAACTAAAAGTTAAGGGATCTCAGAAGTTATGTATTAAAAAGAATGTCCGAGTACAACTGCTGGATGGAACCTTCGTGAATGATGAGGATTATTTTCAGACTTTGCCATCACAGACTGTATTCCTGCTACTTAAACCTGGTGAAAGTGCTTTCACTGGAGCTGACATTCTATACAATGCACTTCAGGCTGTGAATTTAGACTATCTTAGAGCTGGTAAAGAAGTTCAGAAATTCTTCACTCAAAATGTGAAAGAAAAGGTTATGAACCTTGCAAAGTTACTTAATAAAGCCTCTCACATACAAAATGTGCAACTGAGCAAGAAGGCAGATGATCCAGACTGGTTTGAAGGCACAGAGTCTAGATCAGCCACCAAAGAAGAATTCATGGCTAGAAGATCACAGGACAGGATAAGAGGTTACATGTACAAAACTCAAGATGATCTTAAGAAGTCTGAAGCCTACCAGAATGATCAGATATGTCAGAAGAAACTGACAGAGGCTCTTCAGGAAATGAACCTTAGGCTGAAAGCAAACAAATATTTTCGTGATTATTTTGATCGTAGTGCTGTGTCAGACAGACTATGTGATAGTGCAGGTACTTTTCAATGCAAAGGTCGCTGGGATTTGCCTCGTTGTCGATATAAGGGAGTTGTGACCAATCACCATATGATTAATCCATATGCAAGCAGGGAATCCAGAATTGTGTTCTCAACATGGAATTTTGATCATGTAGTGGAGAGGTCACGGAGCATTGTGCCAGCTTTTCTGGAAGCAGCAAAACTGGCTTCAAATAACAACACTGCCATAAATACAAATTACTTTTATAGACTTCTTTTTACAACTGACAATTTGAAGTTGGTACATATTGTTTGTCATGATAAAGGTGCACATAATGTACAGTGTGATCCTTGTAAGTTCACTGTAAGTAAATCTGTGGTGTAGGGCAGCAAGAAAGTTTATGCTTGCTTGTCTTGTTAAATTCTCACACACTTTAATACTAGACTCATAGGATCTTATCACTAAACCTTATCTTGTGGCTCATAGCCTATTTCTTTGAGGTTCATTTTAATATTATCCTCCAATCTTTGGGAAGGTTTCCCAGGTAGTATATTCCTTAGAGGTTTATGAATAAAATTTAATGTTCATAACACTGCAGATAATCAAAATACTGAATGAATGTAAATCAGCTTTTACCCTGTCCATATGATGATTTTTGTAATGTGTATACAGAATTTTACAATGTGGTCAAAGTTATTTCAATTTTTTTATTAATTTGTTTTATAACTGAAGACATGGGAGCTATAGTGGGTTAGCCTTTAGATTAAATGTACATTAAGTTAGATGTGGTTGCTCTAATTCAACTAAGACACAAATTTAAAGGTAACTACATGTGGCTTAGCCTGCTTGTATGTAATAGCAGAGGGTGACAGATTACATGTTTTCATTAGTCCAGATTTTCCAACTTTGTATGTTTCTCCCAGGTATTTCATTGTAGATCTCTGAAAAGTGATCGTCTAACTGAATTTGCGTAATTCACCAAGCTCTTTGGTACAGTTGTAGTAGTATTCTACCCTGATGCTGTATTATCAAAGTCAGTAACATCTGTGATTCTATCTTTCTTCCATTAAACTATAATGCATAAATGGGTATACTGCTGAATTCCATGTATGGGATTACATGAAAAACAGTGTATGACAACAAAGTAAACAGTAGAACAACTACATAACCAAATTTTTGATGCTGCAAGATGAAGGAATGACCCAAGTGTTCTGTATAAGGTTCAAATTATCTTTAATTTAAAAATCCATAGCTCAGTTATAGTTGAGAAATGAACCTGTGTTCACATGACATTTCTGACTGGGAATGACTTCAAGACAAAGCTCCTGAAGTATTGACAAAATTACTGGACACTCTGTATACCATACAAACACTAGCAAACTTTGGTAAGAAGGTGTAAAGACTGACCATATTATAATCAGAACCAGGTGCAGTATAATGATGCATCAAACTAGTGACACTGCAGCTATTCCCAGTTACAGCATTTGTAGTTATGGTTGATTCATGACTGCAACAGCAGGTTCAGTTGGTATCTAGGGGAGTTTGTGTGTGGAAGAATGTGCAGTTATTGTTGGTAAACATGGTGTTCATGTGGAATGTATCAACATTGTAATTAACTGAATGTTCTCCATGTATAAAAGTCAACAAAATAAACTGAATGTAACATTTAAGGAATACTTTAATTCCCCATTCTTTCTCACCCTTCTTACTTTAACCTTTATTGTACTGGAATTTGTAGTTAAACCACAAACTAAATAACTATGGCGTGAACATTAGTGGTATACTTGGGTGGCACCTGGCAAGATGGATCACATGAAACCACAACTCACAGGTGATAAAAGTTATGTCCAGTATTATGTCTATTTATGATGTTACAATTCTTCTGAATGAAATAATTTTTATATTCATTGATTTAGTATCATCCACCACCTTTCTGTCTTCTTTTCTCTTTGTGGTTGGGGGGGGGGGAAAGAAAAAAGAAGAGAGGAACTGGGACAGGTTTCTCTCTGTGTCCTTTGGATTTACCATCAGTATCATTCCACTGTTGCTCAGTGTTCACTCATATAATTTGAGGGATGCACATTACAAGCCCAGTTCCACAAAGATATAGTCTCACCCTATCACAGAAACAACAACAACAACAAGGTACTGTATTCAATTTTCTAGCCCTTTCATATTTGCTTTCCCCAGTATTCTTTATCACAAAAGGATTATATTCATGATAGGATGGAACTGTTTAAACTCAAATCATCATAAATCTACTGGTTTAGGATCTGAAATGTTACCATCTGTTTGAGAAAGATTGGTAATTTTATTATAATATACAGTATGCATTAATGCTTCAAACAATAACCATTTGAGAAAACATTAAAGTAGGCTGAGATTAACAAGCCAAATGATTCATCAAAGTTTTTAAACCATATCCCATTTCTCTTTTATTGTACAAACTAACAGTGAGAACAATATCTACTGAATAGTTAAAACATTAATTACAGATGACTGCACAATCCCACAAAATGACAAACTGTCCAAAACATGACGGGGGAAGATAGCATAATTAGGACACTGAGAACCCCATAGGCCATATTGGCAAACACATCCACAAACAAATTCATTATACCAGTACACCAATATTGAAAAATGATATGTTCTTTTTTTTTGTTACCTCATCACTAACAATTGCCCATTTAACAGCATATTCCTACTATGTATTTACAGCACTGCAATAAATATCAGGTTGCTATTGTCCTGTTATTCCAAATTATTGATATTTCAGATCTCTCAAATTTTACTTCCATGCTTTGAAAGAAGAACATACTTTAGGAAATGTACTCCTGTAGTATACAAAATAGTATCTTTTTTCTAATTTAATGAATATTAAGATAATGCTGGCAATATTGTTAATAATTTGATTATTGTGCTCAAAACTCTCATATCTGACATATACCAACAACCGGAAGAATAAAACAATTTGTACCTGCGAAGTTATATATATAATAATGACATGCACTCCATATATATTCCATCCTTGAAGTTAGGGTCAATGTTCTGTGTGTGTGTGTTCAAATAGGAAGGAATTCCTTAGCAATGCCCATTTTCTTTGTCTCTACATCATGCTAAACTTTAACGAGCAAAATACAAGTTTCCTCTCTTGTTATTACATTTGGATGAGCACCTACTTCATTACCTGAATCTATGACTGCTATAATCTGCTGATCAGCAAATAGTAATTCACAAGCTGTTAAGTTCCACATACTTTGTTATCAGATGAATCTTTACTAACATGAACAATTACAACTTACAGTTCTTACACTGCACAACCATTCTCTGTCACCTAGTTTGTAGTCTACAGAATATGCTGAATGCTACATTAATTATAAATTTTAATCTGCTTATGACATCACTAAAATTACAACACCAACAAACAATTTACTTAATTTTTTTTTGATGACATGCAATACTGAATATTATTGTATGCATATGCTGATTAAGTTATATTATTAAAAAACTGAGTTATAAGAACATCAAAAAGATTTCAAGTTATATTTAGACCTGAATATTGTACATTATATATCTGGATTTAGACACTTTTCGATTACAATACTCCATGATGAAATTATGTCTTCACACAACAGATTTTTTCATGTCTTAGTAATTAATACCCCAAATCACATGTCAGGTTTAGAAACCCATGTTCAGGTCTTCATTAACCTTCTCGTATCATTACAATGTTGGTGGCCGTTAGAAGCACAAATCATCTTGAATGGAAGGTTGTTTAGGCTATATGTTTAATTACTTCATTAGTTTTTTTGATTGAGTAAAAATATATTGTGTAAAGACACAATAATAACACAAGTTAAACATTCACAACATGGCACTTCAATTATATTCCTGGAAACACTGGAAGTCCCACTGCATAGTATTGTTTTCTACATGGCATTACCACAAATTTCTCTTGTAACAGGAATCTTCTAAATGATATCGGAGGCATTCAATGCTCTATAAAATAACTAATACCAATGGGTCATCATACAGATGCATATATTATAGTTGTGGAAGCCAGTGTAAAATCCAGTACAAATCTTGGTGTATTTCAGAACATACATGCTATATACTGATGAGGTTTTCACACAAGCATGTATGCACGAATAGCAGTCAATCAGAAGGCAATCCCAACATGCTAGAGTAGCAACTCAACATACAAGATCACACTACACTTGAGGCAGTCCTATTTGAAAGTCACACATATCATGACACTGTAATTTCTTTAAATTTATTTAATGTAATCTATGGTGGACGGAGAATGGTTCTTCATTAATTTCACGTCCAATGGCATACCACCATAAACATTATTGCCCTTTACTTCATTTTCTAGCCTAAATGTTGTAATTTTTCATTGCAAGATAGCGTTCTGTTACAACACAATCATTTGTACAGCCTTTACAAACTAATATACTGTCTACAGTAGGCAGGTTATATGCTTTGTAGTTTAGTGCAATAATGTGGCCCCTTCTACACATAATAGATACATACACATGCATGTAATTATTATCTATAAGAAATAACAGTTTGTTGATTTGTCTGAAGTAATTTACAATTCTCACATCACACTTTAAAATAATTCTTTAATGTATTTTGGGACTCTGATATTGATACTCTTTTTAATGAAATGGCTGAAACAGTACACTGTAAATTCAATTATTTTTTAAAATAAAATTAACTAAAGCATGTATATATGTGTCCATATATATAAGCAACATCATATAACAATGCGATATCTAATACATGTCCATACAAGCACTACAAATAAAATATTAATATTGCCCACAGACTGAACAAACAAAGTCCAAATCATGTGTTATGAACTCAGATTGTGATTTTATAGGTTATCGTGCCATAGAAGAAGAAGGTTATATCATGTAGCCAGCCAGTTGGGTTCCTATAAAAAAAAAATCATATCTACATGACTAGACAGTTTTGAAAACCAGACCACAATGCAAATTTATACCACCATAAAAACCTTTATCACAAGTTTTAAATTTTTTTCTCAAACTGGCTAATTTTGTAAGAAACGATCAAGCAATAACGTTAAATTGTTAAAGCAATCCTAGGCTATAAAATACAAAAAATAATGCAAATATTCCAACAGTGTATGGTAATGATAAAAGCATTGTGGTCATACATGAACTCTCTACTGATGCAAAACCCACAATACATACAATCTTCTTCATTTAATTTATAGGCAATATTCCTATACACATTCATATTCAAGAATAAGGCAAATGACTGCACAAGATAACTTAATACAAAAACTACATACAGAAAACTAGATTCCTTAATTATGCAATTCAAATTTAGGAATAGATAATATACAGCACCCAACAGGTGCTAAAATGAATGTAACAATTATTTCCCATAAAAATTTGTAATTTTCCAAAATATATTGTGCAAGACACAAATTCTTGCTGGAACTAAAACACAGATCCGGAAGTATTACTTCCGTTTGCCCACATCTCTTTCACGGACAGAAAATCGATCAGTTTCATATACTTACAAAGTAACAACCATATGTACACACAGTTTCTATTTTAATGCAGCCACACACATTCACATTCATTTGCAAATAATTTTGTCAGGAGAACAGAGATGCCATAAATGTATTGCAAGTAATTACAGTTGTGATATACCTCAGTTTAGAAACCCTCGTGAAATGTAACCCCTAAGTTCTGTTAACAAGTCAATGTGGGAATATAATCCAACATGTAGCACCAAGTATGAATTACAAGGGTGGCTTAGCAGTCCACTCTTTCTGCTGTGCAGGAAGATGTTATCCTAATGTTTTATGAATAAACAGTAATGAACATCTCAATTTACTTTTTATAACTTTTTAAATCACACATCATCTGTGAACTCCGATACAGTGATATGTGCATGGCTGCATTATCTGTAGTTCCTTGGAGTAGTCCTCATTTTTGTGCTTTCAACTGCATGCAAATGAGATTTGGCATCCAACATTTTTTGAACATCTAGAAAATGCTTCCTCCACAATTGTGGAAAGAGAAAGGGATCAAGAGCAAAGAAAATAAGTCAAGGCAGAACTTATATTTTACCACACAAAAGCTATACTAAATTTAATTAGTGATATACTACAGGAAGAAACGTTTAAAAATGAAGGTCAATCATAGATGTTTAGAAAATGTCTTTCGTTCTAGCAGCTGAAAACTCGGAAAAAGGATGACAGTACCAACAAAAGCTATCAATGCCCAAGAGCAAGAAACATGATTACAAGTACACTGAAACAAGACTTAAGAACAAGTTGGAGAGAAGGAATAATTTACACATACAATCACAGTATATTACATTATTACAATACAGTTAATAATAGGATCTTTCCATCTATATATCATACAATCAGGCAGTCGAAGGCTGGTCGCATATATAATTTTTCTTCCCATTGCTCGGAAACTTAGAAAAAATAAACAAAAGGACAAAAACGATGCAAACTGCATCGCCATTAAGTTCGAGCAGAAAAAAAAATTGTTTCTATCAGGTCCCCATAGTCTTTCTTTGCAATTATTTACAAATCTTTCATCCAAGAATTACATGCCACAAATTTCACTTTTGATAAGTTTCACCACTGTGAACTTTACTCAAAGTTGAATAAGACTCTTGTAATTCTTAGTGATGAAATTACAAGCTTTTTTTTGGTTGCTTTGTATGCTGTTTTGCTTTCAGAAATTTGTCCATATTTGATGGTGATCTATAACAGAACAAAGCATTTCCTTCCATTTGTTAAGTCAAGAATTCATGCTGTAGGATGCATGGCTAGATTAATGCAAACAAACTACTAATGTAAACTTAAATGTTATTCCTAGCATATTATTAGCAGTTCTGGAACTATATATCGCTTTGTCTATTCCAATTTTTCACATATATAAAATACATCTTAATGCATATCAAACAAATGTGTAATATGCAATAAAACACTTAAAAATTAATTTAAATATCTTTCCATCATTTTTGAAGAAGAAATTGCCTATAATGCCAACACATACTGAACTCCTCTATAAACGATTATGGGATCCTAAGGTTCACCACTGTTCCAACAGCAGCATAACATTGGATGCTATTTTTAGCCACTTCAAAACCTCACAACTTATTTTTGTAAGATCAAATTTAGTATTACCTGCTCCTTAGGGTTTGGTATATAATTTTTAATTTAATTCATATTATGAATTCCACAACAAAAATAATGTTTATTAAATAACAAAATAGAATAAAATTTAGAAACCTCCATTTTCCACAAATAATTGTGGTACTAACAGAAAGTGTTATTACGTCAACCTCAAGCCTAAAATTGAGAGATGACACCAAGTTTGTTAAGGCAGCCTACCAGAATAACCAACTCCATGGGGAAGTCCTTCGAAAGTCTACAGTATGCTCAGCTAGTCAAAGACTTCCCCAAATTTATGGAATAAAAAGGTTCATTACCATGTTCACAAGAGCTTGCCACTGGTCCAAAACCTGAGCCACATAATTCCAATCCACCCTCTTAAAACCATTTTAATATTATTGTCCAATTTACAGACTACATATACCTTCCTATATACATCACGTTTCCCCAGGTGACTTCTTCCTTTGGGCAGAACAAATTAAGCGTAATATTTGCCTCAATTAAGAGCTTTGCATGTTTCAGTGCCCTTCCAAAGTACACATTCCTCTAATAACATGGGTGCTGTGAATCACAAAATCAATCTTTTGTGAGATTTTCACTGTTCCTATTATATTCTTCAAATATCAGTACATTCTGCAGAAGTTCTTAATAACTTATATTTAGTCATACAGACTTTGGTTTGATCTACAGCAAACTTAAAGCACGATACAGAAAAATATTTTGCTTCTTAGGTCACCATCAAACATGGTCTTTTTATCTTTACATTTTCTTTCAAATTCTAAATTGGACCACAGGTAAGAAAAATAAATCTTATTCCTAAAAGTTTATCAATTACTTAACTAATGACTCTTGTTAATTTATATTTACTTACAACATGAACACATGAGAATGTTTACATGCACATTTCATTTAACAACATGTTAATTAACCAATTTATCTTTTAAGTTAAGAATTCTGCCTTTACTGTAGTTCACCTATAATGAAGGAAACCCCAGACAAATGAAATCACACTGCCTTATACACAGGTAGTTAGTTCATCACCAACAGAGTTCTGTGCATAGTTTCACAATTACATACTCACAACAGAACATGACAATGATGTTAAAACTGCTGCTTAGGATTTTGTTTTTATTAACACTACAAATTCTTTTCACACTCATTGTTTTTAACACAAAACTTTATTTAAAAAGCGTAACTGATAAATGTATTATTTACAGTTCTCAATCTGCATGTTGTAAGTCTACAATGAACATCCAAAAACTGTCAAAATAGGAGTAAAAAGGAAAGTGTTAATATTCTTAGTTCAAAATGGCAGAAAAAATAATATTCTATACTTTAATTCACATATCAGCACCTTCTTCCAGGTAATGACTACTAAAACTGGAAGGGTTATGCTTAAGAAATTTTATGACTTAACTGTAACTGATGTATTCAATGAATGTGGACGAGGTAATACATAAGAACATTTTCATAGATCTGAAATACGACAAACTAGTAACTTATAAACAAACTTACCTATGGTCCAACAACAAAACATATTTTCAATTAACAACATTAATGAAAAATAGAATTCTCTGTTTTATTTTTTTATATTATTAGTTTTTTACATCATTCTGTAAAAATTGGCAGTGACATTTTCCTGTACAAGGTACCTCATACTTCTTTCTCAAATTCAAAAATAAAGTAGAAAAACTATTTTTCTGCAATCCAAATCACATCACCTCTTTACTCACACATAATGTCTCTCTCATTCAACACTGCCAACAAATAACTGCTGAGGTAAGTTGTTCTGTGTGCAGCTGCACAGATTGTCAAATCTGTATCCAAAAAACACGAAAAAGTCTGTCTTTATTATGTTACTTAATAGCTACATGAAATAAGAGCTGTCAAGACTTTCAAGCACTGAATAAAAGTGTCTAATGACAATAATTTAATGTCAGTAATGCCAAAGATGCCACAATTAATTTTTAGTTGATAAAATAAAACAAACTTAAAATGTGCATTCAATTTACTTAAATTCTGCAATCAAAACCAACATATTCAAAGGGATAGATCACTTTATATTGTATCAGTTGTTCAGACTTTACCATGTTACTACCTGCTCGTAATCAGAAGGCTATGATCATTCCTCATCTTACACTTTCAAAAGGATGTTGTATGCTTGATTCAGACAGATAGCATTATTTAATCATCCTTTTGTCAAATGGACAGAACATATAGACCTGAATAAAAATTACATAAATGTTATATATGATGAGTAAGAAGTAGTTGTTACCTACTTTAAGGTGTTATCCATGTGTGTGAATTTGTGTAAAGGTAGTTTCTAAAAGTACCACAACAGAAGCTGAACAAACAGTGCTGCCTGCATGTACTTATCCAAGTTTTAATATGAATCACAAATGGTACTTTTCTCTCTTATCAATCGTGTTTTAGATTGGAACACAGTTTTGACAATCATGGCCATGCACGTATGTATAACTAATAATAATCTTAATTGTTCTAACAATCTGAATTGCACTATATTCCTGAATATTGTTTGTATCTTTGTAAAGCAATGCAACATTTTTAATACACAAGGCATAATTCAAATGTCTGGCACAAACATATGGGTGAGTTCTACATACTAAAGCAATAAAAAAGTTCACAGTTTAAGCAATTTTAGATTTTCAAATTGATGAGGATGACAATGCTGTTCTGGGTTTTGGTGTAGTGTACGATTTGTAGATGCATCTTCATCTATCTACAAGTCTGCAAAGCGCAAAAATCCAAAACATAACAGGATCTAGAAAAGACTCCTTTCTGATTACAACCCTTCTTTCCTTCCAGAGTTTTATTTTGTTTTCTCTTTCAATCTGCAGTTGGGGCGTCACTGTGCATCAGAGGCAAAACAGGAAGACGACACACAATGACAAAGAGTCAGATAAACGTTTCATGTTACACCAAAACTGCCAGTGGCATATCTGTTCAAATCCAAATTCTGCATCTCAAGTCTATAAATTTAACTTTTTATCCAATGACAATACCAGAAAATATGTAACCATATCAGTGTTAAAAATCAAACAAATTTGTGCAGTGTGTTTAATAAAAAAGAATGCGTATTCATTCCAAGATATGGCAAAAATGTGTATTTTATTGGATATTAAAAGAAAGTATGCCCACAGCATCTAAACAGCAACTTTCAGAAAATCATTTGGAGCACTTCCTATAAAATACGACTGCAGAGAGGTAGCAATAAAAGCATCGTGCCATGTTAGAAATTCTGGAAAGGAAAAACAGAACTATAATTCAGAAAGGAGGCTTTTGTAGACCCATGTTCACATCAAGCAAATTATTATCATGTGAACAATTCACCCTCACATTTGCGCTAGACTTTTAAATTAATGCACTGTATATAATTCATTTTTTGTTTCTTGGAAGGAATCAATTCTTGGAATCCAATGACTAAAGGTAATGTTTATTTGAGCCAAATGCTAGGAAAACCATAATGTTCATGAAAAATGATTAGAGAAGAGTATTTTGAGTTTTTCATGTTTCAATACCTGAATCTATATTACTAATGACTCCAAATTATGAGTCAAAAGAAGAGTTAAAATATTTCTAGTATTGAATTTCATGTAGCAGATTATTAAATTTAGTAAACTCTTCATTCAGAATATTTTCAATATATTAATCTAAATTTTCAGCAGTTTTCAAGCTTCAACCTGAAAGTAAAATTTGGTATAAAAAAAACAACTAAAAGAACAACAAAATAATTATGACAGTCAAAGGCTTGAAAGAAGGTTTCCTTCTAATCAACCAACAAATACTTCTTTGCAGTACTTATCAACTGTACACTTTCATCTGCATTCATGCATCCCTCTCCAATAGACAATTTATTTATATTTAGTGTTACTCTTTAGACTGAAAAATATATGTGTATTATATTATATATATGTATTTCAAACAAGCTGCACCTCATGATAACAGACTGTAATGACAGGCAGAGATATTAATAAGCATTCAATTTGAGTGTTAAGCTGATCAGGGGCATGTTCCAGTGGCCTCTAAAATAGTGTGCATTCATATATTGTTTCTGGCAAATCAAGAGGTAAGCTACAGCTATGCTCTTTCACATTCATTGAAATGTATGTTTACATGACAGCTTATTTATTTACAGCATATTTAACAACACTGTCAGCAACTCAGACTATATAGTGTTCAATGATAGGATAATGAATTGGGAAAGATACAGAAGGAATTTAAGGTACTATCCCAGCATCTGCAATGAGGGGCTGTGGAAAACCCTGAAAAACTTGGTCAAGATAGTTATTAAGCCAAGATTTGGTCCCAGGACCTGAATACAAAACCAGCAGACCTCTCAGCTGTAGCATTTGGTAGCTTATTATTTCACAACTACCTAACGAGATTGGGTAAGTGTACTGTCCTGACCTTGTACAAGAGGCAAAATTGTTTATATGGTTAGCACAGGAACCAAATACAAGACACATTTTACAGTAAGCATCAAAATGATTCATGCACTATAAAACCTGGAACTGGGCCCAACCTCTCTAGTTTAAGAATGAAACTATCTCAGCCAACTTTATGTACCAATTTCTTGAATGTTTTATCATCATAAACTGAAAGGTTTAGGCCTTTTGACCTGTTCTGATCTCTACATTACTAAAAATGATCCTTCCAATTGTTCAAATAATAAATTTTCATGTGAATTGTATATTTAATATTGTGAACACCTTAATTATGAATACTTGTAGGAAAACTTTTTTTCTTTGTAAATACGCATACTCTGAAATGACACATTGCAGTAGACACATTTTCAAAAATTCATGAAAATAATACAATCACGATCTCACTACAGAATGTCTGTACATCGGGAGATGTGTCATACCAGGAGACTACGATTGTGTTATTCTTATGGGCACAAAAGCCAACCATCTATGGAACAATCCCTTGATTGCAGCTTAATTCAACATCGTGCTCAATTTTTAAACTCTCTGATCAGTCTGTCACAAGCGGTGAAATCAAGAAATGATGCTAGAAATGCCTTATCTGCTACAGGAATAACATTTTCAATCCCAAACCACAAATAGTAAGTAATTTTATTAAATGTATTCTATTTCAAAGGCGATGTTATTTCTCGGTGAGATGCGACTTCCTAGCAAATACTCATACTTGGTATTATATCAACAGTTTACAAGTTGTTTAAAGCGTCAACCAGCAAGTAAATTATTCTGACTCCTCTCCACAAAATTAACTTCATCCTTTGCAATCTATGCAACAATTTAGGCCTTAATTTACACAGGCAACAAACACAGGAATATGAAGTGTGTAAAGATTATTACTTAATAATCTGTATTATTATTTTCAAACTATGAAAGTTTTTACCAATGGTCCTACAGCAATTGCAATGAATTAGAATCATAACACAGTTTTCTAATACGGACATCAAATAATGAACTATTGTATAATACAATTTTGAAGTCTTATTCAAAATCATTACACCAAACAATCAGAAAATACACACTTAAAACCTGACACAAGAACTTAGCATTTCTAACATCTTCTCTTGGTTTTTAAAGAAAATCCAGACTGGGTAATAATATAGTGCATTAGAAATTACAATGACAAGCATGAACATTCTATTGAATCAAGAATAAATAACATGCTCATGAGCAGGTGCCCCCCATAAAAATAAGTCCATTTTTACAGGATCCCATTCACTTGAAGTACAAATTCAACTAACACACTACAGAACACTTGAGCTTGAAATTTGCTATATGCATGATATCAATCTTATTTTCACTTTTTTATTCACATTAGTCTCGAGAAAGTGAACTCCCAATGAAAACATTCAATGTAACAAAACCCAAGAAGTTCACTGTTGGCTTAAATGTTAATTTTGCAAAATATTTATTTAAATCAAAGATAAAATATTCACTCAAGTGTTCCACAAATTCAAAAACATATTTTCACCCAGTGAATACTGAAAGGGGGTATCTTTTTGGTAATACATTCAAGCAAAAAGTGTCTCCTGACTGACAAAAAAATTCTTAGTCTCTTAAATAAAAGGTGAGACACAACTGGCTTGCCAATGCCTTCTGCTAAATTTAACCAAGAAACTCAAAATGATGTATCAAATTCTGTACAGTCCAAGATTATGATCACTATATACTTCTATGACTTGATACAATAATTCCTACTTTTGAGATGAAAGCCATCACACAGCAAATATGTGACCCAAACTGGATTTTCATTTCTTATCAAAAATAAATTTCTCCAATAGAAATAAACATCAAGCATATTCCACAACATTATTACTGTCAATAAACTTTCTATATCCTACCTCAAAATCTATAAAAAAAATCTTAAAATAAATATTACTAAAAGTACCTTAGCCCAAGTTAGTCAACAGAAACACTACAACGCACAACAGTGTTACAATGCTGACAAAGAAAGCAGGAAGTGAGCTTCTGAAATCTATACAAATATTTACAGTACATTTACAGAAAATTAATGTCTCACTACAACTAAATCTATTGAAGTATGCGGTATCTGCCTCTTACATGACTGATCTTGATTGATACTGCATCTATCAGCATCGATGTTGATTTCTACTGACCAGCTAAAACTGTGGAGGTAATTTCCCAAAGCAGTATATTCTACAACACTTCAGGTAGGAAGCATGCATAATTTAAATCGACAGAACATTTCATACTACAATGTACATAGGTCACAAAGAAACGAGTATTCTAGCATTTGACAATTCTATACACTTTGAGGACTAGATTAACATTCTTTGTTTCATTAAAATCTTTTCAATTTCTCTGTGATTAAAGTCTTATTTTGCCAATCTATTAATTTCCAAATGGGTCACTTCCACATATGAGACAGTGTTCTAACGAGAGGCATAAGGACCACCATGAGGTTAGGCAAAGCATTACAAAGGGTTTTTAATGTGAATCGGAAATGACAACCTCCACTTCCTTTAATAGAATGGGACAACAGTAAACACATTATTACTACATTCAGTATCCTCACGCAATTCTAACAACACATTCTTGCTATGAAGTAAATATCACGAAATATCTCTAAATGAGAGTACTTAACTACAAATTTATACTTCAACAGATCTTCATAATATTACTTTCAAATATCTAGACTTCCATATATTTACCAGAGTATGAATTTCAGCCATTTCATTACAAAAAAATGTACTGGTTATGCAATATATAGTTCAAAGCCAGTTACAATAACAAAAAGAAAGTGATTCATAATTTTAAACAACTTAAATTTACAATTTTAAGGAAATATTTACTGTCTAACATAATCTGACTAAGGATCCCAGCAATGCTTCAAATTACAAGCTGCAAAACAAGAAAATATGTATGTTAATATTGTCAAACCTGCATATGAAGAACATAATTGTCTACAATTTTGAATCTAAAATGCATGTTCTAGTGAACACTGACTGCTATTTCTCTCATTTTTGTAAATAAGATTGTTACCAAAACATTCTGTACTCACATGATGGCTAAAAGTACTGTTAAGTTAACATTATGGTACAGCCTTGTCAACCACTTCAGAAATTAACCGAATGCAGTGCATGTTGAAACTGTCATAATTAGTCTTGTCAACCACTTCAGAAATTAACTGGATGCAGTGCATGTTGAAACTGTCATAATAAATGACATGGCACACACATACGCCTCTCGTCTCATCAACCATCAGGCTAAAGCCCTCTTCCAGTTACTACTCTTATCAGCTATTCCATCAAAACAGAAAACTGACCTATCGTGCGTAAGAGCCACAGTGTCAACTTCCACAAAAATTACACATTTTCTACATACATGACATTCTCTTTGGGGAAGATAATATAACCTACCTCTCCTTACGTGATGACCGTAGGAGTATCTCTGCCAGTATGAATCTTAATTTCTGTCACATCCAACGCAATGTGTATGAGAGGAGCAAGCACAACCTGTGAAGTAGTGTTACACTGTTAATGTTGCAAAGGGGAGAGACTTACATCTCTGTGGAACTGCAACTACCAAAGGACCCACTACATGAGTGACTATGGTGCAGCGATACAAAGACAATGATGGGGGGGAAACTGAAGAACTTGAAGAAAAACCTGTCTCGCTGCCAAGGTGTCCACCACAAATCACACACTGCCCATGGCATCAATCCAGCCCTCCAAAGTGAGACGCTAGAAAGTAATCACCCGAGACATGGCATGGCCTATGTCACACTTTTAGAAATATATATCACACTAAAAGAGAATAAGCTACTATTGACCAGCACATTTAGGTTCCAAGTACTGTTAAACCAGAATGTCCCAGAAACAGAATTAAGTTCAAGATGATCTGCTGACAAAAGATGGGCAAAAGTAAACCATACATAACATACGGTCCAATGAAAATTATGCATATTCTGAAATACATACTAAAATTTATCAAACAACCCACATGAATGTGTAATGACAAACCTGGGCATCCTTCAGAATCAGTCTTTCATCCTTCTCATAACTGTCTACATATATCCTGACTGTCGCCCCTGAACTTCCAGTACCACTCAACCTGACAATGATACGAGAGCCATCCTCAAACAGCAATCTGATACCCTGCAATAGAACACCAAGAATTCTAATTCACGATGCAGAGCAGCAAATGAAGAAGCAAAGATCATTTATTTATAGTTTATTTAACGACGCTTTTTCAGTTGCTCAGAATATAGACGGTTGAATGAGAGGATGATTGTGAATTATGAATCAGAAAGGATGTGGAAGGAAGCAGTCATGGTATAATTGAAGGTACTTAAAGGACTGAGGAAAACCATGAAAAACCTCAGTCAGGATAGCTTGTCTCTGGGCCAATATTTGAACCTGGGACCTCCAAAATAAGAAGCAGGAGTTCCAACCAACTTGACCATGACGTTTGGTGCAACAGTCATGATCAGACAACTCCAATAGGTCTCACCCACAATATACAGCTAAACATCTGGTACTTACAACTTTCCATTAAAATTTGCATCGTGTTTTCAACAACTTAAAAATCTTCAATCTGTTTCAAATAGTGTATTTTTCTACTGATGTAGTTCATGATTCATGTGATTATCATGTTATTTATTTTCCAAAAATATCCCTTTACTTTTCTTGGTAGCACCAGTTGCAAATATGTGTTACACCTAGGGTCACATTTCATGCACATCGGGTTCAAAATGTGTGCTCTGGACACCAAGCAGTAGAAAAGTGAAAATAATTTATTCTTTTAACTGACAATTGTGTCAATTACATTTTTGTACATAAACATTTTATCATACCAACTTTCAAGAACTGGTGTACAATAGATGAAATTGTGGAATGTACCTGTTTTGGTGTTAAGCTGCCATCTATTGGATCTTCATAACAAAAGTTGTCTGCCTGTTTCACAACATAGCTTTTATTTCTATGAATGATTTGTGTTCCAATATAAACAGGTGATGTCACTATCTGTTCAAGTTTGTGCAACATATAGGCACAGTTATCTGCAGGGCAATTTTCATAATCATACCTGGAAAGAAAGAAAAAATCAGACTGCCAACACCCATCGATCCTTGCTTTATATGTACATTCTACCTCCAGGGAATCTCAGTATTCTAGTAAAATAATCCAGATGTTCATGTGTTTCAGAAACAGATTAAAAACACAATTCTACATTCCTTAACCATTTCAATATGAATTCTGAGTACATTTATTGCCTCGGTGGGGTATCTGGTGTAAAAATATACTCACTCATAGTATGTCCCAAAAAAAATAATTTCTGAAGAAATCCTACTCAGACCACAAAGTAATATTTTACATATACAGGGTGGGCGGGAAGTAAGCAGGCAAGCGGCCAGCCATCTCCGTTGCCATTGCGCGTGCTGCCTCTCTCGCGACTGTACATCTACCCTTGTAACCTACCCTTAACACTATACAACATTTCACTTATCTTAAAAAGAATATTAATCACAAATGACACGACAGAAATGAAACTGACCTTGTAAAGAAGTTTCTGCCAAACTTCTTCCAATGAGAAACCAAAAGTTCCTCTACACCTTTCTTCTCACAGGCAATAACCTGCAGCCACGCCAGGGCAGCCCATATTCCATCCTTCTCACGGATATGATCGGATCCTGTGCTGTGTCATTATAAATACAAGCAGAACATTTTTGACCTTCCTACTCTGCAAATCTTTCACATGAAATTTCAGGAACTCAGGCATTGGTATAAGTATCAGTACATCTAGCACCTACACCAAGTGATTTTGAGGAAATTTAGTGTTTTATGCAAATTATGCCTCAAAGAGTGCTTTCACCAGAAACATTTCTTGTTTTACAGTGTATTTACTAAACTTAAAAGTCATTTTATGTGGATACGGCCAACACTATCATTGCAGTTATTAACGAGATAATCTCCAAAATTCTGTACGAACGACCCGCTTACCCAAAGCTCTCTTCCCCACAAAGTGACAGCTGATCTGCATCCATTAAGGAACCAAAGAACTTCCATCCTGTGGGTACCTCATAAAAGTCAATACCTGTAGCACTTGCAACTCTGAAACCCAACAGTAACAAAATCAACACACTACTACTAAAAACTCAGATTTTGAACTCAGTTACCAATATTCTACAGGCTATCACACTTAAGTACCTGTTGAATTTCAATACACATCACATAGAACTTATTCTATTGAAATCTGTCTAAAACAGAGATTGGGTTGAGCAGAAACCTATATTTTTTGGATAACTTTCCAGGTTCTTATACTCTCATTTAAACGTTCACATAAATTTAAAGAGAGAGAGAGAGACTCACCTATCAATTGCGCCAGCAGTGGGCATGCTGCGGGCAAATCCCTTGATACCTGTTATTTTGAAATATGGTATGTGATGGAGATGGGCCCCCAGCACAGCGAGCGAGTCAGAAGGGGTCACAAAAAATGCTTTCTTCCCCAGAATCATGTTTCGGTCCTGAAATACAGTACTTTTCAGATGTAACAATTCATTATGAACCACAAAATTAGAAAGTGTCACCATTATGACAGCTAGGGCCTTTCAAAGGAAGAATTTCAATTTTATATCCCGAGAGAAAAGGTGTTATGGACTGCTGAACTGAAATATTGGTAGTTTCGGATAGTAATTTTTCATCATATCACTGGATTCCTTTCATAAGTCTGCAGTTTACTAACCAAACTCACTCTCACAAACTGCTGATTCGTGTTGTCCCGAGATCCAACATGTGGCAACTCACCAGTGTGCCAGTTGCTGCACAAACACATTTGCCCAAGTGTCACACTCTGAATAAATACGTAAGTTGGGCAATGTCCAATTTTATTGAAACCAAAAATGACTCACCCCATCACCATCAAATGCTGCACCAAAATCATGAATTCCTTCTTTCATGGCGTCAACCAGCTGAACAGCATAAGTTAAATTAGGATCTGGATGAAGACCTCCAAAATCTTCTAAAGGCTTCGTATTCACTATGCTACTCTCATCTGCTCCGAGTTCATTCACGAAAATCTGCCTTACGTAAGGACCGGTAACTGTACAGAACATTTCCAATGCCAAAATTAAGTCAGTTTCTAGAATAAAATATGTGAAGTATTCTGAGAAAAAAGAACCAGAATGCTAAAATCTCCGAAACACACAACACATAAGAGTAATAGTGAATTCAGATCCTTCACAACTTTTTTTTACGAGAAAATAATAAAGGATGCTACTGGCCGCCTTCGTAACCATGGGAAGTTCAAAGACGTTTGCCTCTTTTCCAATTTATAGAATCAAGAAACAAAACTGTTACAACTTATATGACATTCATTGTTTATATTTAAATTCCTGTTACCTAACCTCACACATTCAGCTGAGTCACTTCATTTATCATTCACAGTAGGTTCCAGACCGATAACACCGACAAAATATAAAATAACCGCTAAAAGACTTCACATTGTAAAGTTCTAAACTTAACATATTCTTCTGTAAAGGCACATCTGCAACTTACCACCATTCATAGAATCAATGAGAATTTTGAATGGCTTCCGGCCCTCCGATCCTTTAAGGAGCTCTCTTAGACTGTCAAAATCAAATATTTCTTTCATGAGCCCGACATAATCAGCCACCGAATCTACGACTTCCACATTAAATTCATTGCCGTCAACCTGTGAAATTAGTAAAAGAATGCAATGTTTAAAGAGCACTGTCAAATACAAAGAAATTCACATGTGAACAAGTAAAAGCAGACACTTTATGAAAGAACCATGTTTATACAAATACTGATTACATATTGCACTTCTGAATTATATCAATCTGTACAACCTTTGCAGTTGGAACAAAATTATATTCAGTTCCTTTGCAATCAGAGTTACAAAATGTGCAGTATTCACATATACGACTTTCCAGGTTCTTATACTCTCATTTAAACGTTCACATAAATTTAAAGAGAGAGAGAGAGACTCACCTATCAATTGCGCCAGCAGTGGGCATGCTGCGGGCAAATCCCTTGATACCTGTTATTTTGAAATATGGTATGTGATGGAGATGGGCCCCCAGCACAGCGAGCGAGTCAGAAGGGGTCACAAAAAATGCTTTCTTCCCCAGAATCATGTTTCGGTCCTGAAATACAGTACTTTTCAGATGTAACAATTCATTATGAACCACAAAATTAGAAAGTGTCACCATTATAACAGCTAGGGCCTTTCAAAGGAAGAATTCCAATTTTATATCCCAAGAGAAAAGGTGTTATGGACTGCTGAACTGAAATATTGGTAGTTTCGGATAGTAATTTTTCATCATATCACTGGATTCCTTTCATAAGTCTGCAGTTTACTAACCAAACTCACTCTCACAAACTGCTGATTCGTGTTGTCCCGAGATCCAACATGTGGCAACTCACCAGTGTGCCAGTTGCTGCACAAACACATTTGCCCAAGTGTCACACTCTGAATAAATACGTAAGTTGGGCAATGTCCAATTTTATTGAAACCAAAAATGACTCACCCCATCACCATCAAATGCTGCACCAAAATCATGAATTCCTTCTTTCATGGCGTCAACCAGCTGAACAGCATAAGTTAAATTAGGATCTGGATGAAGACCTCCAAAATCTTCTAAAGGCTTCGTATTCACTATGCTACTCTCATCTGCTCCGAGTTCATTCACGAAAATCTGCCTTACGTAAGGACCGGTAACTGTACAGAACATTTCCAATGCCAAAATTAAGTCAGTTTCTAGAATAAAATATGTGAAGTATTCTGAGAAAAAAGAACCAGAATGCTAAAATCTCCGAAACACACAACACATAAGAGTAATAGTGAATTCAGATCCTTCACAACTTTTTTTTACGAGAAAATAATAAAGGATGCTACTGGCCGCCTTCGTAACCATGGGAAGTTCAAAGACGTTTGCCTCTTTTCCAATTTATAGAATCAAGAAACAAAACTGTTACAACTTATATGACATTCATTGTTTATATTTAAATTCCTGTTACCTAACCTCACACATTCAGCTGAGTCACTTCATTTATCATTCACAGTAGGTTCCAGACCGATAACACCGACAAAATATAAAATAACCGCTAAAAGACTTCACATTGTAAAGTTCTAAACTTAACATATTCTTCTGTAAAGGCACATCTGCAACTTACCACCATTCATAGAATCAATGAGAATTTTGAATGGCTTCCGGCCCTCCGATCCTTTAAGGAGCTCTCTTAGACTGTCAAAATCAAATATTTCTTTCATGAGCCCGACATAATCAGCCACCGAATCTACGACTTCCACATTAAATTCATTGCCGTCAACCTGTGAAATTAGTAAAAGAATGCAATGTTTAAAGAGCACTGTCAAATACAAAGAAATTCACATGTGAACAAGTAAAAGCAGACACTTTATGAAAGAACCATGTTTATACAAATACTGATTACATATTGCACTTCTGAATTATATCAATCTGTACAACCTTTGCAGTTGGAACAAAATTATATTCAGTTCCTTTGCAATCAGAGTTACAAAATGTGCAGTATTCACATATACGAGGGCGTTTCAAAAAGTAACAGCAAATTGACAATATTTCATGAAACGAATACCTCAGGCATTTCAAACTCCCACGCAGGGAAGATACATTCTTAGAAAAGGTTTTGACACGGCCCATTAGATGGCGTGGTGTGCTTAATTGGAAGGGATGCATATACAAAATGGTGGTGCCCTTAGCTGTTTGCACAGTAGAGCAGCGAGCAATCATCAGATTTTTGTGGTCGGAAGGTGTGAAACCTCGTGAAATTCATAGAAGAATGCTGCAACAGTATGGAGATCCCTGTAATGGCGAGAGAAGAGTGTTCGAGTGGGTAGATGTGTTTAAAAATGGGTGAACATCAATCCGTGATGACCGACGCTCCGGTCGTCCGTGATAACGCACGCCCTCACGCGGCTGCTGCAACTCTTTGACACCGTTCAGAGATTGAAATTTCAGATCTTACAGCATCCCCCATACAGCCCTGATCTTGCTCCCTCTGATTATCATGTGTTTGAACCCTCAAAGGATGCTTTGAGAGGACGAAGATTCGGGAATGACGACAAGGTCAAAGCGGTGCGTTCCTGGCTGAAGGCACAACCAAAAACATTTTTTTCTGATGGAATAAAGAAGTTGGTGCAACGGTGTGAGAAGTGTATTGAAAACGAGGGTGATTATGTAGAAAAATGACATTTCATTTGTATTTCTAATTAAATTATATATCTCAAAATATTTAATTTGCTGTTATTTTTTGAAATGCCCTCGTACTTAACTGATTAATCTGCTTTAAACTTACAATGTATGTATAAACACCCTGTGTATCAATATCACATTCAAGGTCAGGAACTATATTATAGGACTCCAGACCAACGGTGATATTAAAAATTTCTGCTGTAACATAATCTGGCGCTGGTCCTGAAAAGTACGACAGTATTATTAACACTGCAAATGTCAAGAATTTTTAAGAAAACAAGAACAAGTTGTACAAGTACCAAACAAATTTATCATTCCTAGAACCCTTTGATTTATTGGAAAGAAAAGTTGCCACACGACTTACATCAATTCCATTAATCACTTATATGCGTGTGAGTATTTACCAATCACGATAAAAACAGTGGGAAAAAAGTGATAAAACTACAATTTAAATTCATAACATACATTTTTAGCATCTGAGAAATTTATGCCTGAATTGGATGAAACTTGAAGCAAGTCAATGCAACTGATTCTTTTACTTATATAAAAGAACTTCAACTGGAATTATTTTCCCAAACTTCCAAAAGAACCATAATAATATCATCCTCTTACCAATATCTGTTCTTGGATTTTTCCAAATTTTTTAAACACTGCTTGCTTCCCTTGCTACAAAACCTGCCCATCTTATTCTATCTGATGTATTCACCCTACAAATAGTCGGAGAGAGCACAGATTGTGAACTCCTCAAAAATTATGTCTCTGTTCACCTGTCAGCACCCTGCTTCAGACATTCTCCTCACTGTTCTGTTCCCGAACACTCACAATTCACGATTGTCTACAGAAATTAAGACGTACAACCTAAATGCTCAAAACAACACTGAATTGTCTGCAAATATCAAGAACAGAAAAGCTGTGGTATCACCATACTTTACCTCCATTATCTGTATTGAATTTGATTCCAAAATCTTTATCGGGGCCTCCTGGATTGTGACTTGCAGTCAAGATAATACCTCCAGATGTGTTCCTTTTTCTTATCAGGTTTGATACTGCTGGGGTTGAAAAAATTCCATGCTGGCCTACAATTAATTTCTTAACCTGCAGAAACACCAAAACATATTACAAACACTCAAAAAATTCATACATTTAATGACCCAATTATACATGAGACATACCAACTGTAATGAGAATTTTGACACTGTCAGTCAATTTAATAATTTCTATAACAAATACTAAAGTTTAGAAATGCAACTGTGGAGTTACCCTTAAGGCACAACTTCACTGCTATAATAATTTTAGTTCATGATGGTATGGAAATCTCTGAAGAATAAAGCAGCACCAAGGAATGTGGAGATAATGTAACTTCTGCAAATTCACAAGGAAGCTCTGGAGCAGAAATAGATAAATATATTTCTACGTAACTTCTGAAAATTCACAAGGAAGCTCAGGAGCAGAAATAGATAAATATATTTCTAAGCATATCAGCTTAATCTAAGAAGGGTCAAGTAAGAAATTGGGAGGAATTAAATTACAAAAATTACTTTGATACTTTCTCCCAGTATTGTGAGGATAGTTACATCAATAAGGCTATAATAAGATAAAAATATTGCTTAAAATCAGGAAATCACGAGCACAGGTTTGGTGGGAAACACTTTCCTTGGTACATCTTTAAAAACAGTGACCACTTCTTAAAACTTGGGTAACACTCTGATACAGCCACAATGCTCCCTGTAATACTTATGTATAGCAGCAAAGTTAAAACAAGAACTTTTTATTTGAATATATTTTAATACTGATCTGACAAATCTTAATTCAGTTACAGATTAAGTTAGTTTCATTTTATTTAATGTTCATGGTAATCAATAAAACTGAACAAATTATATTAGTGGACCTGTAAGCAATGTGGACGAACATCTACATACCTGTGTACGCTTTACAAAACATTGCTTTTTAAACACCACCTAAACAGATCCAATCATCGTAACTACTAAATTTAGAACGTAGTTCATGGTAAGAAACCAAACAGTGTTTAAACAAAAAACACAGACATATATTAGATATGGATGCATGCTATAGATCCTAGATAGCAAAGTACAGAAAAAGTCAGAGAATATATAACATTCACAAAATATCCAAAAATACTAGTTACAGAACAAACATACATAATTACATCGTCAACAGTTGTATATCAATTCTACATAACAGAGACAGCCAAAAGTTCACCCACTTAAAAGAATATCACATTAGGCAACTTCCATACATATATGCATTTATAATCAGTTGAACAAAGCGTGCAAGTTCGTTTCACGGTATGCATACTTTGGATAATTAAACACGTGTTTCCATGAAAAATAAGTGACAACTAACAAGGACAACAAATATCCCAATAAAATTAATACTGTACAGTATAAAGCTACAAACCCCATTAGCGGCACATATTCTTATGATCAATTTTGCTGCATCCTTTACATAGTATCTACCATCACCTCCTAGAACAAGCACCGAACCTTGCAAGTCGTCGCCTAGTGAATTCAATATAGCTTGAACAAAATTTTCTGTGTAATTTTGCTGCTGAAAAACAGTAACTCTCTTCCTAAGTCCACTTGTACCCGGCTTTTGATCATCGAAAGGCCTGGTGGGTACAATCACCGATTTGAACTCCGTCATTCTATAAAAAGAATTAGAATACAACGTTGAACAATGTTACACGAGAAACAGTTTTCATAAAACAACTCAGAGCAATACTGAAGCACCAGCTACTACTGGCACTCGCCCACCCATAGATAACCCACAGTGATCTACCCATGATTCCCAAGGACAAACTTGGAACTTGACACTTGAACAAGGACAAAACATGCTAGCCAACCATGGAATGTACTTTCTAAATATACGCTAGAAACATAAGATCAACAACGTCAAACCCATTTTAAAAAATCGGTCCAAATAGTAGTTGCAATATAGCAACAACATCATACTTGTATTGCAGAATCTGAAATTTATGTACATTGATATGTGAAATACGTTCTTGTACTTGTGTTGAAAGTTGTGAAGTGTATGTATGAACATGTTCTACATCCTTTGGTTGAGTCCTAAGAAGGATCTATGGAATGTAAATAAACTCAACTCAACTCAACTCTGCGTTCAGAATCGTTGACACATCCTAAGTAGGACGTAACGACCATATTTTTTTTATTTAGAAGTATAACTTTTTTAACATCACACAGACCATATTAATATATTAAGCCTAGTAATAGCAAACGCAGGAGTGCACTGAAACAGCATAAATATTTCGACATTATGGCTGAAATTTTACCCACAGTTAGCACAGGCAACAATCCTGCAAATCGGTTAGTGGTCTTTAGATGTTCGTTCCGCTCTAAGTAGACAAAAACACCTGAGGTGGAACAAGGGGGAAGCATTAACCATAATTCTCTGAACGTGGGCATCACTAAACTAAGCTGCAGGAACTATTTCACCACTAACACCCGTTGGTACACAGTTAATAAGCAAAGAATGGCGGGATGAAAAAAAAATTAACTCTGTTGCAAACGTTGCGTTATTTGAGGCCAGTCCAAAATCCCACTTATTAATTTCAGAGAATTATTAGTGGACACGCATAGGGTGGGGCAATGATGCCCCATTAACCTCTGTGCATTGGTGATAAATCGCCCCTAACGTAATCAGCCTGATGGTCATTTCCGGTGAATGCCAACTGCATACAATAACCGGATAATGGTTGATGGTTATTTATGAAATGTATGGACATTACGCCGTTTGATATTAATACAACATCCTGAACTTTAAATTCTAACACTTCCTAACACCTACAAGTTGTGATATCCGTCTGTACGTATTAGTAACGATTTATATAAAATTTTGTATACACGTTATGCCACGGGAGATTACTCCAGAAAGGATGGTGAAAACATAATCTAGATAACTTTCTGATGACGAGACGAACTACGTCATCCAACTTGGTGGAAGACAT